TTTTACATTATAAAACGGAGAAAGTATGTGAAAGTTGTGATTGATTGAAAGGATAAGGTAGCTAGGTGAGAAAATTAGGAGGTGCAAGGTTGTGGTTAGTAGAGAAGAGAATAAGTTGTCATATCTTAGGACAAATGTTGAAGGCTAAAAGTTATTATTACCTCCGTCCGAAAATAAGTGTAGCCATGAGAATCCGCGTCCAGCGTTTGATGTCCGTCTTATTTAAAAAATTTATGAAAAAAAATCACACAAAGTACTATTTATGTTTTATCATCTAATAATAACAAAAATACTAATCATAAAAAAAATTCAAATAAAGCGAATGATCAAACGTTTCACATAAACCATGCAAAATGTACTTATTTTGGCACGGACTGAATATATTTTAGAGCGGTGAGAGTATTATAATATACTTTTTGAAAAAAATATACATAATAGAAATTCATTCCATAACGAGGGAAAAAAGAGGGCATGTACTATACATAACCTGTACTATGGGCACTTGGCCGGCATGCTTGATGCTCTCCATCTCAGCGAACTAGTGCACAGAAGCGAAAAAAATGATCTTTAGTACTCGTATTTCTATTTCAGTCATATTCGGCATCCTCTTTATCTTATTATTGTGTAGGCGACATCACCGAAATTGCTAACAGAATGTCACATGTACGGACTGTTTCGACTGAATTATTGACCGCACCTTTGCCACCTTTCTGATACCTCAACACATACCATCATTAGCTAGCCATGGTGCTATGCAAACTTTCTGATACCTAAAAAGGTGGTGTTTGAATCTTCTAAAGATGAAGATTAAGTATTTCACGCAAAACGATGTGGTAATAAATACGTGATTAATTGAGTTTTAATTATTATAAACTTGAAAAATGGATCATATAGAAAATTTTTGCATGAAACGCACCGTTTAGCAGTTTGAAAGTCGTGCTATTTTAATCCAAAATTTAATCCCCTATTTTAAGTGGATTCGAACGGGGCCTAATAGCTACAAATTGCGTCAGATCACCTGTCAAGGAATCAAAAGAAATACTAATAGCTACTAATAGCATAGTCTTTTCCACAAAGAAAAAAAAAAGAAAAGTAGAAGTGATACTGTATGCAATTAAGTGTGAGAAGATGATTAAGGCTGTGTTCATTTACTTAGGGTTGAGATCCCCTCCCACCCGACGAGCAGATTAACGTATAATTAGCTAAATATTAGTTAAAAAAGACTTTTAAATCGAATCAATATGATTTTTAAAGAGATTTTTCTATAGAAACTTTTTATAAAAGGCACGCCGTTTAACAATTTAAAAAACGCGTGTGAAAAATACGAACGTATAAGTCGGAAAAGTGTTAAAAAACATGGCCTTAAATAATCCTATCATTTCGCATATAACTTATAAGAATAAATAATAAGTGAAACTTTTATATATGTGCTCTTATTAATTAACGATCATTTGCAAGAAAATAAAATTAAAAAAATTAAAATCAACCCTAAAATAAAAATTACTCCTAAATATATTTTTTTGTTACGGACGATAAGCTGAAGAACCTACGGTAGAGCTATAGGTCATATTAATCGATGGCAAAATTCTAACCAAAACCATAATATAACCCATCCCACTAGCTTCATTTTCAAATGGAGTGATGTCGGCTTAACTTAAATTATTTATTTTTAACATGTTCATCATAGTTTCGCCGATTGCGACGGCGAAACCGATCAATGAGATGTCTGTTCCTTGTCGTGTTGGTTCTTTTAATTTATTCTCTCCAAACCCAGTGCTCAAATTAGCGATCGATGTGTGCCCAGATTATTAGTATTTAAAATGATGCGCGACTTTAGATGATTCGAATGGGTCAGCAGGTGCGGTCCAATTCAACATTCAACCGATGTGCATCTCGCCCATCGATCAAAATCACGTCAGCCACATAATTTAATATAAGTCTAAATTATCTTCCTCAAGTTACGTAATTAGCAGCTTAAATTAATCCAACCTTAAAAAAGATGGAGAAACACAATCATTCGAGCATAGCATAGCTAGTACAACTGATCTTTTAGTAACAGACGAACAGCAGAACATCCACAGCTCATGGTATCTTATCTTCTGAAATTATAATTAAACTGCTGCTGATCATGCCTGAATTCTAATCGAACTCGTATCTTCTCTGAATTCTAAACCCGTGTTGATGCAGAGGTTACCCAATGATTGATTGTCGGTTGGCGTGCACGGTTGCAATCCACATGGGGTCGATGATGAGACGACGCTGGAATGATCACCGGTTTGATTAGCTGATCTGAATTCGGAGGCGATCAGCGGTTTGAAAACGCTCCCAACCCACTACAAATTTAGGGATTAATAAGAATCTCTGACATAACTTTTCCCCGTCGTCTAACATGTCAGCGAACATATTTCTCTGAATTTACGTCAAAAAGATCTTAATTCTAGATTCAGACCATCCATCGTGAATTCTCGTTTGAAGCATAGGAATTTTTCATATGCCTGAAAAAATCATTAAATGTTTTTTGTTCATTGTCTGTCTTGAAAATACTGTGAAATTTCCACGGAATTTCTCATTCCAAACAGGATGTACACATACAGTAAACCTAGCTATCACCGCGTTCAAAGAACAGTGACTCTGTGTAACCCCAAAGTCTACCACAGGAGACTTTGAGTGGAGCAGCACACCGGCCAGTTGACCGGCGATTTTGACCGAGTAAAACAGACAAGAATTTTTATCTGCAATTATTTTTCTTCTAACTGAAACTTTACAACTCGGACTGATTGCTATAGTTCCACAGCATAGCAATCAAAATCATTTCACTTTCTTGATAATTCTGCAATCCAATTTTTCAGCTCATATGGGTGTTGCGTGGAAAGCAAAGGCAGTGCATGCGTCGATAGATCATGTCTAAATTCTCAATCAATCCTAATAAGCTTTTCTTGATGTCACCACCCAACTAGGCATAAAAGAAACGTTTCACCAAATCTTTTTCTTTTTGCAATTAAGTATGATTACAAGACGGTGCCGGTTTTCGATGGCGACGTGTTTGTATCTATCTGATAAATAATTAGGGCTCCATGTTGGATTTAGTTAATCTGTGGTTTAGTTCCTGATGCCGTAAGCCAAGGCTATATACTAACATTGCTGATCAATTCGGGGGTTAGTTTTGGTTTACATCTTCTATTTTTTTCCTCTGAAAAAAAGTTGCTTTGGTTTTCTCAATGTTAGGGCCTGTTATTTTTATGGTTGGGCAGATTCAACTAAGTAGGAATAAATTAAGCTTTTCTTGATATATATATATATATATATATATATATATATATATAAAGCTATTGAGATCATGTCCAAATCTCAACCAATCCTAAAAAGCTTTTCTTGATGTCACTACTTGTTATTTTGCAATTAAGTACGAAGAAATTAGATATTATATTTTATAAAAATAAAAATAGCATAGACGAATTGCCTACTTTTGGAGAAATCATAATTTAAAAAGTGTAATAACGCATATAATCCATTCGTCCATAAATAATTTAGAATGCGTACCTTCTAGTCATCCCACTGTACAATGGTGACTTTGTCATACTATAATATACAACTGTACAATAATTATGCAACCGAAAAGGACTTGGCATAATGTACTTCCTCTTGTCAAAAACATTTGATGCTTACGATAATATCTGATCAAACTTCTTACAATTCCGACAATCCATGATTTTTTAAATGTTTTGACTTGAAACAAAACAAATGATATACTACTACATAGATTTATCTCAAAAAGTACTATTATAATATCATAAATTTATTAGATCCTAAAAACTTCTTTTAACATAAAATCAGTTGTTGAAATTTTATAGAGTTTGAAGAAATATTTATGACCAAGAGAAGTATAATGAAATGAATGAACATAGAATCCCCACATTAATTAATTTAATAAAAAGAGAATTTATTACTTCTTACGGCCTAAAAATGTTGCTACCTACTAGTTTGTCAAAAAAGACAAACCATGTCCAGGTTCGTAGCTAGAATTGAGTTTTTTTTTTTTAATGGATGGGGTAGTTATATATTTGTCGGGGGCTAGGTAATAGCAACCTTTAAACTCAAAGTTTGTTATGTTTTGGAATAGAAATGCAGTAGTGGTAACGGGTGTATCGTTTCAACCTTGCGGTCTCGTGTTCAATCCTCAACACGCTAGCAATTTCTTTTTTAAAAAGTATTTGGAATCTCTTTCTTTTATTATTTTGGGATAGAGAGAGAATGAATCAATTTCTTTTTAAAAATGTATTTGGAATCTCTTTCTTTTATTATTTTGGAATAGAGTAAGTAAATGAATGAAGAACAGAACTTAGGTGGTGTTTGGATCAGGGACTAAACTTTAGTCTCTGTGACATCAGATGTTTGGACATTAATTTGGAGTATTAAACATAGACTACTTACAAAACTAATTACATAAATGAGAGCTAATTTGCGTGACAAATTTTTTAAGTCTAATTAATTCATAATTAGCACATGTTTACTGTAGCATCACATAAATTATTTATAGTTTAATTAGTCTCAATAGATTCGTCTCGCAAATTAGTTCAGGGTTATGAAATAGGTTTTATCAATAGTCTATGTTTAATATTTTTAATTAGTGTCAAACATCTGGTTGGACTGAAAAGTCCCATCCAAACAGCCCCATCTTATCCGATAACTACAAGCAAACCGTACACGATTTACACATTAAACACACCCTCTCTCTCTCTCTCTCTCTCTCTCCATAGGAGCACTTCAATATCTCTATCGCCAGGAAACTTCCACCCGAATTATTATATCCCTCGCCCACAGAAAATCCCGCCCAAGCATCACCACACTCCCCATTGGCCCCACCCCCCATGTGAAAAAGGGACCCAAACCGACCAGTCACCAACTCACCATCCACCCCCACCCCAACCCACCCCACCCACACGCCAACCCGGCCCCACACGTCAGCCACTCCCACTGACAACCCGGCCCCACCACCCCACCCGCTCGTACTCCTCCCCTCTCGCCTATTAAACGCGCTCCCCCTCCACCACCGCGCAGCCAAGCCAAACAAGAAACCCACCGTTTCTCTCTCAAAACCGCGGGAATCAATCAATCGCCGTTCGCGTCGCGCCACGAGATATTTTCCCCCAAGAAAAGGTAGTAGTAATCTTCGACGATCTTGATCGATCGCCATGAGCTAGCTAGCTAGCGAATTTCTTGTTGTTTCTTTTTTGGGTTATTGATGGCGTTGTTGTTCTTGTTCTTGTTTGTTGCAGTTGGAGTGAGGGATGAGTGCTATGGCGATGTCGTCGCTGAACCCGAACGCGGCGCCGTTCATCCCGGCGGCGTTCAGGAGGGTGGAGGACTTCTCGCCGGAGTGGTGGGAGCTCGTCAAGACCACGGCGTGGTTCCGCGACCACTGGTTCAGGCAGCACCAGATGTACGAGGACGCTGCGGCGGAGGAGGACCACCACCGCCAGGTGTTCGACGACGACCTCGCCGCGCTCCTGCCCGACGACTCGCTCGACCTCCTCGACATGGTCGACACCGACGACCTCTTCTACACCCCCGACCCCCCCGTCCACCACAAGCCGACGACGACTCCCACCCTCGACGCCGACGTGCTCAGGGCGCTCAGCCTCAACTCGCCGAGGTTGGGCGGCGCCGGGATGGTGAGGCACGCCGAGAAGCCGGCCCAGTTCGTCGCCGCCAAGGGCGGCGCCGCCCGCCACGTCATCCACCAGCCTCGCTAGAGCGCCATGGGTGAGTGGTGATGCTGCTGCTGCTGCTGTCTAGTGTATAACCTTGGAGTTTTCAGAGTTTAGTCTCTCTGCTTTTCTTCACTGTGTATAAAAACTGAAAAAAAAAGGGGGAAAAATTGCAGCTTTCTGGTGCTGCATCCCTTGTAGTAGTAAAGCAGCTTCTGTTCAGTTTCAGGTGCATCATCTAAAATGTGTTAGAAAAAAAAAAGCAAAAATAGAGAGTGATGTAGAATCATGTGTACTAATGATTCTACTACCGCCCTTGTTAATGTTGGATATATTAAGATGGCAAGCAGTCTAATGTTTAGAATCTTTCAACTTCTGATTATTCCTTTGCTCTCTTCAGAATCTGGTAGAAACCTGCTCTTTTGTTGTCTGTGAATTTGTTGGATCTCGAAAGTTGGTGGTTGGTTTGTCAATTGTCATCATGTGCGATGCCGATGATGGTGGTTTATTACTGGCATCATCAGTAGCAAAAATGGAAGTGACTGATCAAGAAAGATGATTTAATTGGGAGCTCTGAAAAGAAGGTGGAAGTTTAAAGCCTCTGAAAGACATCAGTGTGGAAATGTGACGAACTGGGACCGAAATCGCCATCGAATTGGTCATGATTTAGTAACTTTAGAAATGAAAGCAACATAAGTACCATTCAAGGAGCAATATCTACGTGTGAGGTGTCACAGATAAATGCTAGACGGAAACAGCATTAAGTTCAGATTGATTTCTGCAGCTGGCTGTTAAGGTTGCAGAGATATCCATAGACATTCTAACAATAGGTAGCTGATTTATTCTTGACGTTGGCTTTCAATTTCTGGTTGGCTCTCTCAACTTTGAACTGAAGAGTTCGTATGATGAACATGCCAGCTTTGCATAAACAGGCATACAGCTCAGCCATGTCAAACTGTCATTAAATTATTTGAGAACTTAGTATGCAATGCAAGATAAGACATGGTTTCTAAACTATAAGCATGAAAGCAAAATGTATCGTGCAAGAGAATGTCTTGGTTTAGGTTCAGTTAGGTAGCAAATTATGGAAGGCCATGTTGATTCAGCAGTCAAGTCTCTAAAACAAGCTAGGGAGAAGAACATGAATTCAGAAGTAGTTGGTCAAAACTCAAAAGTGATTGTAGGGTGAAGAACATAAATGAAGTAATTGGTCAAAGTGATAATAGAGAAAGGAACATGAATTCAGAAGTAATTGGTCAAAAGTGATAGTGGTCTGCATGAATTCAGAAGTAACTTGGTCAAATATAACGCTCAATGATATTATATTGCAATTTGACTGGTTGACAATACCACAGAGAAACAAAGAACGTATCAACGCAAACAAACAACTAAAATGCTTGACAGGAACAGCTTCAGATTGGTTTTTTCATGCTCCAGTGCTTTCTTCTTTACAAAATGCTAGACAGGATCACAGGAACAACTGCAGATCGGGATTTCTGCATACTACAGTTACAGTGTGTTGATCTGCACAAAATGATGATCCGGTAATTTTATTATGTATAATGTATTAACAGGCAGATGCCAGCTTCAGTTCAGATTGATTTCAGAAGGGTTCCACTACGGTTTATGAAGATGTTCACTGATAAACAATTTAGCAGGTTTCTGGGTTCTAATCATTCACTGTTATTCATGTTGTTTTTCAGTTTCAGACTTTCAGGGCTCCTTGAACAGATAACATCAGCAAAGCACAATCGGCAGCTTCCTCGATTTGATGGTTGTCACAAGCTGCAAATTAGGACGTATTGACAGAGAAATCGAATAATTTGCACATCAATTCATGCTCGAACAGTGGAGTGATTGTTACTCCCTCCGTCCCAAAATACAAAAACCTATATTCTGGGACGGAGGGGGATCTTAGGTATACGTACCGGATAGTAGTGTAAAGCCTCGGGAGAATTGAGTCTCTGAAAGGAGATGAAGGATGGCACAAGAGCAAGAGGAGAAAAATACAAATCAGTGTACAACTGTGCAAAAAGGGTGTTGAAATCCTCATTTGATAGATCATCCACCATTGTGAAGAAATGACATCTGCACAAAGAGTGTTGAAATCCTCATTTGATAGATCATCCACCATTGTGAAGAAATGACACCTCATTTGATAGATCATCCACCATTGTGAAGAAATGACATCTGCAGAATTCATTTTGTAGTGCAAGATATCATCTCTTGCGGATCATGATCCAGCATTACGAGGAAATGGCATCTGCAGAAGTCATTTTAGATCAGCCACGATCTCTCGTATATAGTAGGCATAAACTGCTTCACAAATTCACAGTTTCAGGTTGATCTCTACAGCTTCAGCTTTCCAAACTGATTGACAGCCACTGAAACCTGAAGCGCAGTAGGCAGCCATAGAGCCATATTTCAGCAATCGTCAAGCTCACAAGCTGGACGTTTTAATCACGTTTTAATATAATCAAATGCAACACCGCAATAACATGATCAATATAGTTTCTTAGGGCTAACGAGTGATATCATCTCATGGTTACTTTAATGGTCATTACCAAGATGACATTTGCATTTTACAAAACCTCAACAATGGCCTGAACAAAAATCCCCCACTATGTGATCAAGCATATATAAATAAACGCAGGAAACCAGGCACTTGACACAAGATTCTCAGTTACACGGCAGCTACATTAACTGGGCGATATAGTTAGTATATATCTAGCTGTTCAAGCAATAAGAGAACCGCTAATCAACTCCGTAGCAATACCCCCAAACTTATAATTGTTTGTAGAACAGGACATATGCTTGGTCATGCAAGACCTTGTTCAGACTGACAGGTGTGACGTTATCATCGTCGAAGCGAAGCCACTGCCCACTGGCAGACTTTGCATCGGCAGTGTAATGGCCCCTGGACGGGTTTGCCCCAAGATGCGTGATGGTTGCAACAAGCTCATATCTTCTACTCTGCATGTGCTGAAATCAAGTTGTTAGATCCCATTTTAACTATTTGAAGAAGCGTCAATTTGTCTCAAATTCAATAGCATGTTGGAAACTAAGAAATGATCGTGATTCCATAATGGGTGCATAAACTTGGAGTGCAAGCTTAAGCCTACTGCATATGCAATAACACAATAATTGCATAACCAAGACATGGTTGCCTCTGTAAGAGGAAAATGGAGGGATGAAACAAATGAAAGATAGCTCAAAATTTTGAGAGGAAATGTATAAAACCATATCGGGCAAACTATCACCTCTGATGATGGCGAACTCAGCAGATCACGACTAAGAACCAGCTCAAGAGGGAAGTGAATTGGCTTGAAGAGTTTCGTGCAGCCATGACTTCCATAACTAAACCTCTTCAGGTGCAGTATCATTATCTTTGAAAGTGAGTGTATCTTCACTGATTTTCTAGCCGTCACCAACCCAGCCTGCAAGATCAAAGTTTGACATATTGTAATTTTAACTCATTGCAAGAAATAACAGTTGCATCTTTCATATGAAGAAGAAAGCACCAAATATAGTGGTACCACAAGGAGAAGTTTCAACAACATAGCTTATTAAATAGCAGCTTTAACAGAATATTAACATTAAAAAAGGAAGGCTTCATAAATAGTTTACTGAGTAAAATGCAGTAGATGCAAAATGGATTTTCCATTGCATGTAAAAAAACCAAGTTTACATACATGCAATTAACAAACCATTTGAGTGGTGACATAATTAAGAGGTCAAATAATAGAGTAAATTTCAACAAGCTACCTTTCCAGCAGCTGTTCTGTATCCTTCCAAAGATTCAGGAGCAGCAAACAGACGAAGGGCATCATCAAGTTTCTGAACAGCATCGGGGAATATGTCAAGATGGATCAGTCGAAAAGGCTGAACGGTGACTGATGCTTTGTTACCTGCAGATAAAAGAATAATCCATCAGTCTGCACTCACCAAGCAAAGCTGAGCAAATGACTGCACAATTTGACCCACTCAAACACAGTTTTCACCTTGAGTCTGTGAAAAATGGTTTGCCAGTCATGAGTTCATGATCAGTGGGGAACATATTCGCGAAAGGTATATTGAGTTACATGATTCATGTAGGAGTGGTATTCAGTAATACCTTAAGGACTAATGGGTGTGATTTGACTTGTTAGTAAAACTAGAAGAATGACAATGAAGTAAACCTTCCAGGTATAAAATAAGGACAATAGCCCATGATTCTGGTAATAATGTCAAATAACTTCTTAGGGAGAAATAAATAGTATAACAGTTTCTTTTTTTAAGTTAATCTCAATTGTCAAGCATAAGCATATACACTATTTCCCTGACAACTTTCGTGCATGCTTAGGAACATCATTTATAGAGTTACATGGCACAAGCAAATGTTGAGTTGGTTAGATATACCATAACAGTAATGACATGGAAAGCAAGGACATTAAAATTTCCAAAACAGTGTGCGCTTTTTCTCTGCACAAGAAAATTTTACCAGTAGCTTTCACACAGCTTTGCAGCTGGCCTCCAAAAATAGCAGTTAACTCGGAGGGAACAAAACTCTGACTCCTCATTATGGCTGACTTGTTCTTCTTTCCAACAGTCTCCCAAGCATCATCATCATTTGATGAAACAATCATACCCTCCTTTGAATTTGAGCCATTGCCATTAAGCTTCACTAGTTCATCATGCATTCTATCCATCGCAAAACTTAAGAATTCTTGAGCATCTTCCTGCCTGCATAAGTACATAGCATCATAAACTGAAACAAGGATAGCTTACTGCAAATTGAGGTGAACCCTTAAAACTGGACATCTACAACAACACAAAGAAATGGATAGAGAATAGCATGCACAATGTCCCAGCGATATGTGATGCAGCAAACTACTTTGTTTGAATGAACTTCATATTTATATGGCATATATCCTAAATATCATAGTGATACACAAGCAAAGCCTCAAGCAGAGGGTTAAAAAACAAAAAGGATATAGTCAGGGGTTCAAAAGCATCGTAAGCATCGTGCAATCATGCTTGTAAGCATTGAGCCATTGGTTTTAACTTAATACACTCAATACAGCTCTTTAAGAAAGAATGAACAAAATATATTATAGTACTAGAAGGATCAGCTAAACACCAGACTATAAACTGCCATCCATGGCTTGTTGGACTAAAGATGTTAAAGAAAATGCCAAAAAGTCATTGATATCCACAATTTGCACCGACAAACCAAACATCAGATTATCAGCATTAACAACTAGATGAGTTACTTTCACACAAGTAAAACTAATAGTTAAAAAAAATGCATTAACAGTCTTTTACCTTGGCCTAGAAGCTGTTCCAGCTGGCACATCTGGAGTAAAATTTCTCAGAACTGTGTCAAACATGGAGGGAATAACTGATTTTGAAGCTATTGTAGCAAACTTCTCGTCTTTCTTAACATTTGAATCATCGAGCACGTCGAATTGAGAGATGAACTCAATAAATGCATTCAGTGTTGGGTAACCAGCCTAAAATGCAACAAGTAGTCAGAAAAATTAGCCTGAAATAAGCGGGGTTAGAACATCAAGCTTAATTGTTTAAATAGCAGCACCTTAGGTATATTCTGGTTCCTCAAGTTCTGTAAAAGCTGGACAAAAGGCCAGCATGAGAGCAATGCCTGCAAGGATGAATTCAGGAAGCATATATTTCCTGTATTCTTCAAACCATGAGGAAGCAAGGGCTTGTTCCGAAAGTCCTTTTTATTTAAGCTTGTCACAAGCTCATCCACTGGAGCTGCAGTAGTTGGTGTATCAATAGCTGGCCCTCCATTTTCAGTTATTTCTGGGACTAAACTGCTGTTTTGATTGCGTTCGATCCCATCATGGTCCACCTCTGGAACTGAAAGTGGTGCTGGGCTGCTGACATTTTTAGCAGGAACACTCGTGAGAACTGCAGCTACAGCCTTCTGATTATTCTCAATGACGCCATTGTTGGGAGACACATTGGCATTGGCAGTGGGAGATCCATTGAATAGCACTGGCTTGCCATTTGGTAATGTAGGAGCTACTGTTTCCTTTTTGTTGCTGCATGCAATATCCTTTGTAATGATGATTTTGTTCTGGCCGTCACTTAATTTTGCAGGATAGACAGCACCTTGAGTAATAGAATTTGATTCTTTCGATAAATTTAGAGCTGAGAAATTCAGTGACCCAAACTGGATCTCAGAGAGTTCCCGTGTTTTATTTGCATTAGGCTGCCACAACTTGGTTTCAGCCTCTGTGAAGCTCCCAAACAGAAGGATCTGCACAACAGGAGCAACTATATGATGAGAAAATCATAACCACAGGACCATAATAACTTGTGGAGCGTCCAAAACAACTATTAATCGAAATATCGTCGATATCTGTAGCCCTAAATATCAAGCTAACACAGAAGGAGCTGCATTGGCTTAAGGGAATGCTTGGTTCCACTTAAAATTTTGAAGTAGCACCTTCAAAACTCAAACGAACTACTCTTACTCCATATAACTTCAAAGCAACAACAGCTTATGCAGTAATCGGCCACAAAAGCCCCTAAAACAAGTGAGTAGCATACTTATTGCGTTAATCTAGTGCCACATGTACCATGATCCAGACAAACTTTGAAGCATCACAATACCGCCCCCCCCCCAAAAAAAAAAAACACAACATTAATTCACTCGCACCCAAAAACGCAATTACCCCGTAGCAGCCACGAGCCAGCCAGTGTCGATGCGCGGGGAGCAGATGGGGGTGGGGTATATACCTGATCGTCGCTGCTGCTGCTGCCGCCGCCGCCGCTCATCTCGGCTAATGAAGCGGGGAAGACAACGGGGTCCGTGTGCTCGGCGACCGGGGGGGCGACATCAAAGGCGGCGGCGGCGCGCGGCGGCGCCGGGGTCCCGGCCGCGCTGCCCGCGGGAGGCCCGCGGCGGCGGAGCGCTACCGAGAGGTAGGAAGGTCGCTGCGGCCCCGGGCCCGACCCCGGCGGCGGAGGCGGGGGCGTGCGGCGGCGAGGAGGAGGAGGCGGAGGCGTAGGGTTTCTAATCGGGGTGGGTTTGGGTTTGGGTTTGGAGGAGGAGACGGAGGAGACCTTGGACGAGGAAGCCGCCGGGTGGTTGGCCTTGCTGCTGCCCATCGCCCCCAATGTGAAGGTGTATGTATACCGTGCGTGCGTGCGTGGTGGTGGGTGTGGTTTGTCGTGGGCTGGGCTTCTTCTTGTCGCGGTGAGCTTTGAGCTTTTTTATTAGGCGGAAAGGAGTCCAGTAGCGTTTGTGTTTCACGGCCCTGGAAATCGACTCCGATTGTGTTCCATATTCGGTAGGTTTTGCTACTAGCACTAGTCTACTAGAGAGATACTGATTTTTTTTATCTAAGCACGTGCAAACCACTAATTACAAATGTGAGCACGCAACAATCACATTTAATTATTTAGGCAACAAGATGCTCATATACAGCAATATGTTTCCATCTAACCAGTAGCCCAACAAACTACTGGGCCGTATTGGGCTGCTGAATTGATTAAGTTAACCCAACAACCCACCTCTAAAATTGGTTAGTTGCATCATTACGGGGAGTCAAGAAAACTAGGGCAGTTTGCCATCTTGCCGTTGTCGTCAGAGTCGAACTTTGTTCATTCTCCATCGCAGCTTCCTCCGCCCTAACCCAGCAAACAATATTTCTTGGTTTTAGATGTTGGCTTCCGTTTTGGATATTGGAACTGCATAGACGGTGAGTTTTCCCCATTGTTCAAATCTAATTCATCCGGTAGTACATCAAAATCATAGGGTTTAAGGTTGCATACAACGAGTTTTTTTTTCCATTGTTCATATCACAAAGAGAATACAAACAACGTGGTATTATACTACTAAATTTTCAATACTAACAATTCATATTAGTGGATCAATTGTTTGCTGCACGCTAGTTTGATTAGTCTCATGTGCTCAGAATTGATGAATTTTAGTTGCACTATGGCCACACTAACATTGTCACTGTCGAAGGTTATATTAAATGGTTTATACATACACACACTACAACTTGGCCGTTGTCTACATTGGACCGTATAGCGCTTTTCCCATATATACGATAAGTTAGATAACTTTTTTCATGGGGCACCGTTTTCCGCATATGTTTTTTTATATATAAATTGTCTATTATATTATGCCAAAAACTTAGATTGAATTCAACATTTATATATGTTTGGTAAATAGTTCACGCTACTTTCACATGTATATCAAGTGAATGATAATAACATGTTATTTGTTTTTTAGGCACAACTACACGAGCCATGATAATTGTTCTTGTGTATGCGGGTGGTGAAATCATATACGAAGAGAAGGCAGGTGCATCATATAGTATTCCTCCCAAGATCACTTTTCCTGCTATCAAGTCTACTACGCTAGAAGATGTGAAAAATGAGATTTTCCGTGGCCTAGATTTTTCTGAGGTTGCATATTCATTGGTTATAAAAGTGAGGTATGATGTTGGGGCACCTGGTCCACATTTTTTCCAGTTAATCCCTTTATACGAGGAAAGATCTTGGCAAATGATCCTTGAAATGACATCAGCACGGACCAATTGGCATATGGTAGAATTGTATGTTGAGACTGCATCAATTAATATTGGGAGAAGTCATACTTCAAGTATTGGTGTCATGACAAGAGGAAATAATGAACCTAACACTGCTCCAACCATTTAAATTATTGAGCAAGGATTAGTTAATCAATCACCTAGTCATGTCATCTCTTCTGAAGCTAATCAAGATGGAGAAGAATCAATTGTGATGCCTTCCCTTGATGGTCATAATGCTAGGAATGTGGTGCAAACAAATGTTGAAGAGGAGGCTTATGTTGGAGAAGAGACAGACAATGAAGGCAATATTGACGAGGATGAAGACCAGGAAGATGTGGAGGAGGGTAGCGAAGACGAAGAGAATATGAATGATAGTATTGCATTGGTTAATTCTGCAAAATCGCAGCCACTCATGGGTAGGTCTGGTAAGCACCCCGTAAGTGCCTTTCATGACATTTCTGTGTTGCGTCAGACAAGAGCTGATGATTGTTTCTTTGGTTCAAAGAGACACTTTGAGAGTCCATTGGCCAAAGGTCGAATTTTTTACTCCAAGCAACACCTACAGTTTGCAGTAAATGAATTTCACATTAGTAATAATATGGAAGTAAGGGTATCTACAAGCAACAAATCAAGACTAGATTTCAAGTGCAAAGATAGTACTTGCAAGTGGAAGCTATATGCAAAAACAACAAAAATTGGTTCGAGTTGGAAAATACAAACTTGCCAATTTCCCCACACATGTCGTGCACCTGCTGACCGATTTGATCATGCACAGCTAACAGCAGCGGTCATTGCTGATGTGATACGTGATGATCTAAAGGAGAATTTGGAGTTGAGTATATTAAGCATACGTCAGTTGGTTCGACAAAGATATAAAAATGTGAAACCAAAGTACAACAAGTTGTGGCGTGGTCGAGAGTTGGCCATAGTTCAATTGTTTGGTAGTTGGGAAGAATCATATGCACTTGTCACACCGTTGTTGGAGGCAATGAAAGCATCTAATCCGGGTACAAAATATCAACTTCTATCAAATCCTACATCTCCTGAAGGACACCAATCATTCAAATGTTTGGCCTGGGCTTTTGGGCCATGCATTGAATCTGTCCCATACCTTCGACCGGTAATTAGTGTGGATGCTTCTTTTTTATCTGGTAGGTATCGGGGCAGGTTGTTGATAGCATGTGGATATGATGCTGAAAATAGGTTACTACCACTTGCTTTTGCAATCGTGGAAAAGGAGGATAGTGACAATTGGGGTTGGTTTATGAGATGGCTAAGAAAAGAGGTGATTGGTTTTGGTAATTTCATGTGTGTTGTTCTGATCGTCACAAGGCTATAAAGTGGGTATTCAAGCAGCCACATATCGGATGGAACGAAATTGGTGGTGAGTGTGTGCATCGATTTTGTTCCCAACATATTGCTGAGAATCTGTACAAGCGATGTAAAAATGATGATGTGATAAAAACATTCAAGTGGGCTGTAAAGAAGAAGAAACCACGCAGGTTTGTAGAAGGCATGGATGCAATTACACAAAGTTGTCCAAATGCAATTGATTATCTAAAAAGTGTTGGAAAATATCGACAGGAGGATAAAGATGAGCCTGAGAAACCTGAGAGGTGTTTCAATGCATGGATGGTGGTTACCGTTGGGGTATAATGACAAGTAATGGTTCTGAATCATTAAATAATGTGTTCAAGTACTCAAGGAGATTACCTGTGACAGCAATAGTGGAGGAAACATTTAATAAATGCTTAGAATGGTTTGCTGATAGAAGAAAATCTGCTCTTGAACTTGCAGATTCAGAGAAAATGTGGTCCCATCGGGTTGAGAATTTGTTAGTAAAGCGAGGGAATAAGGCTGGATCCATGCACGTGACTTCTTATGGTGATGAAGGTGGTGAGTATGAGGTCAAGGTTGACCGTGAGCGAGTTGCAGTAGTGCAAGGAAATCATACTGCATATGTTCGAAGAGATTTCAAGTATAAAGTAATAATACACAATGATACTCCTCCTATGTGCGAATGCCTAAAGCCAAACCTCACTGGAATACCATGCGCTCATGCCCTTGCTGTTTGCAAGGATAGAAATTTCAATGAGAATCAATTTATCCATCCATATTACTCTTCATCAACACTGGCAAGCACTTGGGCAGGTCAATTTCATCCCTATGGAAATCAAAATGAGTGGCCACCATATATTGGTCCAGTTATTGTGCCTGACAAGAGGTTAATACAACGGGGTCGACGGAGACACAACAGAATCCCAATATATATGGATGAAATGCAAGGTCGACGACTGGGACATCAAGCACATCGTTCAACACGAGATAAGAATCAAGCCGGTTTGTAACTGTACCTTTTTGTTAGGATAGTTCTCTCACATTATTTGAGACCTTACTTAACACTATAATATGCTAATATTGGTTTACTTGCAGGTGCATCATCAAGCGGACCGCACTGACAGAATGATCTAGTCATTGGGAAGATAATATAGAAGGCCAACAATTAGATATTCTAGAACCGTTTAAATGTATCGTGTCTTAATTCTGGGACCTATGCCATGAAGGCTCCAATGCATTTTGATTGCAAAATTAATTATGTCTTAGTTTTTTCGGGAAAATGAATGGACATCTCTAGTTTCTGTTACTTCATAATAATGTTTTTGACATACTCATGGTCGTTTATTTGGAGTTTGCATGTTTAAATATGGTTTATATTGTCTTATTTTGGTTTTACAATTCAATGTACCGTATGCATTTCTTACTTTTTTTTTAATATAACTATGCAATTCTTATCTCAGTATTATATGAATATAGCCAGATACGAGAAAGAAACAAAAATACTTGTATGTTCTTGATTAAAAACAAGACAGCAAAATTGCCAACCGGATAAGAAATTAGGGACGTGTATAGACTTATTCCTTAAACAAATAGGTAGCCCATATCGTGGACAGTTATCACCAGGCCAATCAGATTTATGGTGGTGACGTGGGCAGTTTTGCTTAGAAGTAGAATTCCAATTTTTGCGTGCTTACAATTGTAATTAGTGGTTTGCATGTGTTCAGAAAAAGAAAAATCGGAGAGAGATACGTTTCTGAATAAGGTGGTGTAAGATGGAGATGCAAATTAAGTTTTTTAGCGAAACGATATGATATTAACGTATGATTGGTTGAGTTTTAATTATTACAAACTTAAAAAATAGATTAATATGATATTTTAGAGCAACTTTCATATAGAAAGTTTCCGCACGAAACGCACCATTTAGCAGTTTGAAAAGCGTTTTTGCTATGAAAATCTTAATCTTCATCTAACCCTTGTTGGAGAAAAAAACAGGGCCTAAGATCATTTTACTTATAACGCTTTTTAAACTACTAAACAGTTCTGTGCAGAAACTCTCTATACAGGAGTTGCTTTAAAATATCAACATATCTCTATTTGTCAAGTTTGTAATAACTAAAAACTCAATTAGTTATGTGCTAATGGCTTTTTCATTTTACGTGCGTCAACTTAATTTTTATTTTCATCAGATTCAAATACCATAGGTGAACTAAGCTCCATCAGATTATATAACATTTTCAAGGATTGAGTTCTTTGTTTTGTTTTTTTTGTTGTTGTTGTTTGGAGAAACTAGTTATATAGCAGTGCGTTGCAATGGTCTATTTATTTAGTTTAGTTTAGTGGAAGAATTTGGATAGGTTTGGTTGCTTAGGTTTTTTTTTTTAATTATGGTCAGGTTTTCTTAGAGAAATCGATTTTTATGGAAGGAAGTGGTTTTAGGAGGAGGGGGGCAGAAGGATGAAGGCTACCTCTTTTAGGTGTGTTCGGCACTACTGGTTCCTAACTTTTCCCTCTCGTTTTTCACGCGCACACTTTTTAAACTGCTAAATGATGTGTTTTTTGCAAAAAGTTTATATACGAAAGTTGCTTAAAAAATCATATTGATCTTTTTTAAAAAAGCATAGCTAATACTTAATTAATCGCGCACTAATGAACCGCTCCGTTTTCCGTGCACACACCCTTGTAGTAGTAGAGATAAGACCACAATTGCATGCCGATTTAGCTTTGTCATGAGTCAAATATTTATCGTTGATTTGAATAATCCATGCAGTTAAACTTTATAATATTTATATATTTTTAGATTCATCATGAGTAATGTTTTTATGTACAGTTAACATGTTAGCCTATATAGCATTATAAAAATTAATAATCAAAAGTTAAAATGTTTATCTTAGGATAAAGTTAAAGCAACAACTAATTTAAAAGCGAGGGAGCAAATTATCGTGAATTATATACCTATGCCTCAATTTAGTGTCATGGGCATATTAGCACATGAGCACAAATCTTCTTTTATTTTTTTTTCTTTACAAAGTCAAACGCTCTTCTCTACTACTCCCTCCATTTCACAACGTAAGACTTTCTAGCATCGCCCATATTTATATAGATGTTAATGAATCTAAGCATATATATATATATGCTTAGATTCATTAACATCTATATGAATATGGGTAATGCTAGAAAGTCTTACAATATGAAACGGAGGGAGTAACATATTACTCGTGCGCTGCAATAGATTTATTCTAAAAAAACATTATCATTGACCTGTTTTTGCCATCACTTTCGACATACCTCCTTTTTCTAACAGGTGGGTCCATTAGCGCCACACTATTTTCTCTCCATTCATAAAAAGGTAGGTACTTGTTTGTAGGGGTGGTAGTAGATCCACCACTTGCTTCTTCTGTGGGATTGTGATTTTGTTTGTAACTAGTTATGTATCCAATAAAAACGTGCATTCCAAATCTTTTACGCATGCTTATCATAGGAGGCCAACATAAATCTGCTATAAACCTTGTGAAAAAGTATAATAGTTAAATTAGGAGTCCATAAGAACCAAAATTAATTTTCAAAGTTTTATTTAAAATTGGATGTTTATTTAAGCTTGTTTTTTAACCTTGAGGTTTTGTTTGGCAAATGGGATTGAAAAATAATATCCCACCCTCCAAAGAGCAACATAGCATCTTAACCATCTATTATTCACACTTTATTTAATCCTAGCCATTCATCCATTTCCCTTTCCCAGTCCCATCTCTCATATCCCATTTATCAAACACACTCTGAGTTTATAAAACTCTAAGAATAGAGATAAAAAGTTTTAACTAAAAATATTTTTTGGTTACTTTTGTTTATTTCTCAAGGGCTTATCAAATATATCAAACCCCTTGTCAACCACTCGGTTATGTTTCTGCAGTCCCTACAACCATCGGATCTTAAATCTAAGGCTCAGATCACCTCAGCACAGTATCAATGCCAATGCCAATGCAGGCCAAGGGCAGTTTCAACTGAGGAAGATTTACACCGTTAGATAACATCTGGACGGTCCAGATCTCGTTCTCTGATCACTTCGATTCCACGCAAGATTCCTCATGCTTCGCTAGCCATTCCAGTGGCCGCCGAACACGTGACTCCAGCCAATGGGAGCCTGCCACGTCACAACACGGCCGCGGCTATAAATTTTCCCCGACCTCCTCGACGGCCCGGCCCCCCTCGCCGGCGACCAAACCCCCGCCACCGCCGCCGCACCAGCCGACTCGCCGGAGAAGCTCTGCCGAAACCCTAGCACTCCCCTCCTAGTCTCCCATGGACGCCCGCCGCAGGCCCGCGGCGACGGCGGCGGCGGCGGCGGCGGCACCCGCTGATGCGCAGCCGCGGGCGAGGCCGGCTGCTGCGGTGGCGGCGGCGGAGGCCGCGGATGCTGAGCTGGTGCTCCGGGCGCCGAACCTGCGCGTGGTCGCCGCGGCGATGGTGGCCTTCCTCGCGCCCTTCTCGTACCTTGCGTTCGTGCACTACCCGCTGGACGCGGCGCTGCGGCGATCCATCCTCATCTGCGGGGCCATGAGCTTCGGCGGCTTCGTCGTCGTGCTCCGCCTCGTCCCCGTCGCCGCACGCTACCTCCTCCGTCGCGGGATGTGGGGGAAGGACATCAACAAGCGCGGCTTGCCCATGGGCGAGATCAGAGTGTTAGTCACCGATTGCATTTCTGAAAGATGGCTTTAACTGCAGTGTTTGCAAATGCGATTTCCCTAGGATTAGATTTAACCAGATTTGAGCGTTTAGCATCAGAATTTAGGTGTCATTGTTGAGGATCTGCTATTGGAAGCATCAGGGGCGAGGATTTTGACTTTGGGATCTTTGTTACGCAGATGGTTACTGTAGCTCGTAGCGGTTACTGATACTAGTTGTGATTTAGCTCAGTTGGGGTCAGTGCATTTGGGGTATACGCCATAATTAGAGGGCACGCTACTACAATACCTTGATTTGTTCAGTCCTACCTGACTGTTTTGCATGACAGCTCAAGTAGGAATTTCCTCAAGTGATGCGTCTGTATGTTGGTAATTGTTGTTGCGGTAGCTGACCTGTCTTACATTCTACATTCGCATTACAAATGTTGATTGTGGAACCTGACACATCATGCATGCTCCGTACGTGTAATAGTTTATCAGGTTCACTCAAATTTGTCTTGTAGGATTGGGAGCTAGTAATTGGGTAGGTATGGTCTCTGGAAAGTGTTAGCATGACTTAGTGTGCTTTGGGAATTTGAAACACGCCAGCAGTATTTAGTGCACTTTGGGAAGATAATCACATTTGGGTTGCAGAGTAAGTTGTTCTATTAAAAAAAGATCTATCTTAGTTGTAAACTCTTAAATTGTGTTGTCTAGTTTCAGTGTTTCACCGATGTACTGAAGAATAACATAGTTCAGATTTTGTGTGTTCTAACTAATTTTCCTTTTCTTCTGGGCCCATCATAGGGTTACATTTCTATGGGATGTTAAGCATTTCCTTTGTCTTGCATGCCGACACGTAGAGGTAGAGTTGATGCACCATACCGTTTTTGTCTAACTACTTGTTTAGTGTAAACTGAACTGATACATTGGAGTTCATCAATCACTCAAATTTCATCCAACAGTTCCTTCTCTTTTTTTTTTTCTTCTTGGCAAAAGTTCTTGATTCTCGGAAATACGTGTCACTCAAAACAAGGACACAAAAGTTGTTTTAAGGAAGGTTATGAGTTGTGACTACCTCCTTTGGGCCATGTTACTAATGCATGCTAGTGCATACATATGCTTCAAGGTTTTTAAAAATTCAGTTGGAGACACTCTTAACCTGCTCATGAAGTATAGGAGTAGGATTTTAGGAAATTATCAGCATACCTCTAGAGTTTTACTGAGCATGTAAGAGAATATTTTAAGATATGAAAAATACCCATTATGTGCTATTTGTTCGAAATATTTAAGAGTTTAGCAGGACTCACTGGAGGTACAAATCAAATAGTTTTCATTCTTGCTTGTCTAAGCATTTTACTTGCTTTGCAGGCCTGAGGCACTTGGCATTGTTGTTGGGATTGTCTACTTGGTCATTGCTATTCTATTTCAACATTTCAACTTCACAGCAGACTCTATGGTATGTTGACTAGAAGTTACTATAATTGGCATTCATAAACGTTGCTTTGTGACCTGAAACATGTGTTACAATTACTGTTTTTGACTTCCTTGTTGCAGTGGCTTGTTGAATACAACGCGGCACTAGCATCAGTCTGCTTTATGGTGCTTCTTGGATTTATTGATGATGTTCTTGATGTTCCATGGAGAGTGTATGTTGTTTTTCATAATGCCTTCCAGTTTACTCCGATGATGTACTATTATCTTCCCTTTTATGATAATAACATTATTTTGGAATGGTCTGTGTTCAACAGGAAACTTCTACTACCCACAATTGCAGCACTTCCTTTGCTGATGGCATATGCTGGTGGTACTTCCGTCAGCATTCCAAAGCCTCTAACATCTTATGTTGGAGTAGCTGTTCTGGAGCTAGGTATGTTGATAAGTCCAAAATAAGCTAACGTTGTGATGATGAATATTCATTAGTTGCGCAATATTTTAATTCTGGTTGCAGCACTGATGATCTTTGTTGGAAGGTGGGAGAATTGATACTTTCCTTACTTAAAGTAATTGGTGAAATTTCATCAAATTTCACTAACTTTTTTGTATGCACTGATGCAGTTACTAGACACTATCTCTTAATTACGACCTATATCATTTAGAATTGTGATTATCAGTGACATGAAAGTACCACAGTACTGGCTATTATTTTTTATGAGAATTTATGGAACAATCAGTAAGTATGGTCTGCTGGAGCTATTTCACTTTTTCCTTTCACCAAGGTCCTCTGTAAGAATTTAGCTTTTCCAGTCACCCAATGTTCTAAATAAGCCCTCAATGTTATTTCTTGGTCCAAATAAATTTATCCGTGTAACTGATAAGTAGGCATGTCCCTCAGGTCAGTGGCAGTGTAGGATCGAGATGTCGACTAGAAGGGGGGGGTGAATAGGCGATTTAAAACTAAATGACACCTAATCAAAACTAACCTAAGTTGCTAGGCTTGGTGAGGGTCAACTCTAACTAAGCAACTAAGTTATGTTTTGCAAACCTAGGGTGATTGTGGCTCAACTATATATCTAGGAAAGTAAATCACACTCCTATGTCAATGTTTAGTAATCTTAGGGTGATATGATCTCTAGTTTGTTTCTAGAAAAGTAAATTTGCACAAATGTAAATGCGACAATCAAATGAGACAAGGAGACAAGAGATTTTTCACCGAGGTTCGGAAACTCGCCGGTTTCCTACTCCCCGTTGAGGCGAGTCCAACTCCACCGCTCAACCATGAAGCCACCGCACGCCCCCTTCGTCAAGGGGTGGGCAAGGCGGGAGCCGGCCCACGGAGAGGACTACCCAAGCCTCGATCACTAGGGTAGTTCTTCTTTCACTCCGAAGGTGGTGAACTCCAAACCACTCACAAACCGGCGCCGGGCCTCCTCCACAATCTTCTCGGAGAGGTCACCGGGCAACTCATCCACAAGCCGTCTAGGAGGCGGCAACCTCCAAGAGTAACAAGCAATGACCCGGCGTGGAGATGATCAATCAAGTGCCACACTAGCTCTACAAATGGAAGCAATGCACTTGACTCTTGGCTAATCAACCCTCTAACACACTAGATGGATGAACACAAAGCTCAAGTGGGTGTGAGAGAGGTGCAAGGGATGTATGCAATTGAATTGGGTGCCAAGAGAGTCCCCTTGCTACTGGTGGGGGAGTATTTATACTCCCACCCACCAAAACTAGCCGTTGGGGGCGAAATCCCCCAACTTTGTGCTCTGCCGGTCTGACCGGAGGTATGTGGCTGGTCAGACCGTGCTACTCTGCAACGGCTAGAAAACTAGCCGTTGAAGTGCTGTCAGAGGGCCCCATCGGCCTGGCCGGTCAGACCGGAGTTGAGTGGGCGGTCAGACCGGCCTCGGCTCGGTCTGATCGACTACGGCTCCGTCGGCTCTGTATCGGCCATCCCGAGCAACATCATCTCGGCCTCCAGGGGGCCGGTCTGACCAGGCAAGTGCCGCCGGTCAGACCGGCCTTATGCGCCGGTCAGACCGCCCGCTTGGGGGCTGATCAGACCAGCCAGGGCACGCCGGTCAGACCGCCACTATGTGGCCGGTCTGACCGCCCCCTGGTCAGGCCGAACCCAGTGAATTTGCAAGTGAATGTGTGTGTGATGAAAAAGAGAGCACAAATGAAAATGCAATGACCTAATGTGGCAATTCAATCATCTCTTTGCTAGGTCATTACCCCTCTTAATAGTACGGCGAAACTAGAAAATAAACTAGCAATTTTGATCGCCCTACACCTCGATCAATTCTAAATTAAAGCACTAGTTTTACCGTCTTCTTTCTCTTTGCTTTGCGCCGTCAATTTTAATCCATCGATAATCATCCATGCGCACATATGACGTGGACCTGACTTAAAATGTATAGCTCAAAGACAACGGTTAGTCCACAATTAGCGCTTGTCATTAATTACCAAAATTAACACCGGGGCCTAGATGCTTTAGGCAGTGGGCTTATAAACTTTTAAATAAAGACTTCTGTTGGACAGGGGGACTTGGTGAAACATTGGGCCTAACATGGACTCTGGTCAACTTGTGTGATGGTTTACTTCATAGGAACTTAGCTTCATCAATTTATGATCTCGTATATCACTTAATCCTGTAGGTCGTAGGAGGCTTGCAAATTAGTACAGGGGGATCTTATAGTATTGATCCTACGTTTTTGTAATAGCACTATTAATCCTTGTTGGCAACTATTTTTTTTTGCTTCATATGTGAATGCTGACTGCTAACGTGCTAGATGATAATCTACCATCAGTACTCATTCCAGTGAACCACTTTAAATGCTTCTTCCACAAGTGACCTAAATCTGTTGAAGATAAAATGAATGAAAGAAGGGATTTTTGAGCCAGTGCATCTGTGATATACTTCTTCATTTTGCTTATTTGCTTTCTTTATGCAAGTTTCAACCTAACTCTATGGATGAACCTTCATTCTATTATTGCTAGCAAATAGCTATACAATGCACTGACCTGACATTGTCTTCCATATGCAGGTTCTCTGTACAAGCTCTTTATGCTCCTATTAGCAGTCTTTTGTACAAATTCGATCAATATACATGCTGGCCTGAATGGTCTTGAAGTTGGGCAGACAGTTATTATATCTGCTGCGGTATGAACAAAATATCTGTCGATGAGAATTTTGTAACCCAAATTCTATTTGTCTACTGATGTTGTATAACATTTTTTAGGTTTTGATACATAATGTAATGCGCATAGGATCTTCTACGGACATTGAAGCGCAACAAGCCCATGCATTCTCGATTTATCTTGTCCTGCCTTTCTTGACCACTTCATTAGCTTTGCTCGCATTTAACTGGTAAGGACCATGGGAAGCATGCACATTTATTTAAAGAAAAAAGTTCTTTTGCTTTGTTTCAGAAAGAATGACTTTGTATGTGTGTGTATCAGGTATCCTTCATCTGTTTTCGTTGGTGATACCTACACCTATTTTTCTGGAATGGCATTGGCTGTGGTGGGAATTTTGGGTCATTTCAGGTAAACGTCCTCAGTTATCCCTTACATGTTCCGTTATTATCCTTTGGTTGTGACTTAATCTGTCCTGTGTAATGATGCTTTTGCTTTGTCTGCCTGAATTAGCGTGCTGAGTTGTGTCCTGAGTTTTGTGTTTAAACTATGTTATGCTCCTCTGTTTCGCTGGTATCCCCAGTTGTAAGACTCTGCCTATGTGGCTTTCGATTAAAAGCCGGGTCTCTGACCTTTAGTCTAAAAAACATGTTCCGTTATTATCTATCAATAAAGAAAACAAGAAGCACTTAGCGAGCTTCATCTGGAGTGGTTGTTTGTGATATGGAAGGATATGCAATTAACAGCCTGCATTCTGTAGTGAAGTACAGTCAAGAATCTTTGTTCTAGCTTCATGCACATTTAAGTCTTTCCTCCTTGCACTTTCTCACCGTTCTCTTACCTCTTCTGCCACATATAATGTAAAGCATGTAAATGGTGATCTTTTGGGATGGTCCTCTTGGTCTAGTACAGCCCACAGAGTGTTGGTTGGATTTAATATCTAGTTTTGAAATGTTAAGTATGTTGCCTGTTGAACTTCCTGTGTACCATCCATACAATTATATATCCTGGAAGCGTAACTGTGTAGGCTTCTCTTGTGCCATCAATACTTTCTATGTGCATCTGTCTGATGTTTCTAGCATGTGCTCGTTGTGCATACAGTTTGCTTTACCCAATACTGATTAGCAACTGCAGCTGATCAATAACTCTTCTCTACTTGCAGCGAGACATTATTGCTCTTCTTTTTACCTGAGGTTCTTAACTTTCTGTGCTCAGTCCCACAGGTATGGAAGAATCCATTTCATTTTTTTTATTTTCCTCTCAATTGATACAATATCTTCTTTAGTTAATTAGGCATTTGGTCTGCTTACACTTTAATTTGTGCTTCTATTTGCTACAGCTGTTTAAGTTTGTTCCCTGCCCAAGGCACAGGTTGCCAAGGTATGTAGAATATATTTTCAGAAAACCTATTGAGGTGTGGGTTGAACTTCTGATAAATATTGTAAAATGTGTTTGCGTCCCACAGGTTTGATCCCCACACAGGACTGTTGACGGGTACCAAAGATGGTAACTTGGTAAACATATTCCTTAGGATATTTGGAAGATGCACAGAGAGGACCCTTTGCATAAGGCTGCTCATATTTCAGGTAAAATCTAAATGCATTGATGCTATAAACTACTACAAACTACTGATTTCATTTTGTTTCATTGTGGAAGTTATCATGAATAAAGTAGTTGGTATTTGCAAATCTACTCCATTATGGTTATGGCTAAGCCTTGTCCTAGGGTTCGTGCAAATGTCAGTACACAAGGAATATCTGCAAACAAAATCCCAGCTAAAACTTTGTGCTATGCATAACAACATTAAATGAGGAATAAGTTCTTTGAATTAAGCCATCCGTTTATCCTATCTGCTTTTTTGTGGTCACTAGATTTCCTTAAACCACAAATTTATTTTTTTTGGATAACGGTAACTAATCCACATTTGTTATTATATGGTATAATGGTGGTTCAAATGGAATCACTTTTCAGATATCTTGACATTGATATCCTTATTACTTGGAGATCCAATCCTCTCTCTAGTAGCCCCATGCTACTTAAACATATCGCTGTCCGTTACTATCGCTTTTTTGACAAATTATACTTGCTGTGTGAATTTCAATCTGTGGTAATAATAACTCCATGTGTTCATGTCTGGCAGGCGTTGTCATGCCTATTCTGCTTTTGGCTGAGGTACATGATTACTGGATGGTACAAATGATCACCTGGACAGGATGCCGCGGCAATCAAAATCTGTTATTACCTGACAGCTGTTCTCTCTCGGCAATATTTGTAGACTAGCAGTAAACAACCAACCTAAATCTTCCAAATAGGAGTAGCTGATGCAAGAACACCTTACTTACTGTCCACAATTTTTTAAATTTTCTCATGACTTAGCATTTGCATCTAGTTTGTGTCAAGCCTTCGGGGTTTTGGAGTTCGTACCTTTTTTTTTTGTACAAAACAACTACATGAGATCTGAGGTGTGGCCTTATGAGGTTGCTACGATAGAGTTCCTGAAGCTTTTGATCGAAACAAGACTTGTATTTTTGCAAACAGTTTCTTCAAGGAACTTGCTTGCGCTACTCTTCTGAAAAATCATTACCGCCTTGTGCGACATTAGTAGCGGAAGCGTTTAAAGACTCCATCCTTTGTTTTGTGTAGTTTTAAAATTCCAGCTCAATGTTTCAATTCAATCAAATACAAACTTCAAATCAATGTCAACTTCCACTCATTTCCGGTCGAATTCATTCTCCCCCGGCCGACTTAAACGGGCCGCACGTAGCTGCAATCCCGTTCCGGCCTATATACATAACAGGCCGCTTGAAGGCCGCAATCCCATCCCATTCCGGCCCAACTGAAGGCCCACGCCTTTTCTCTGTCCTCGCCGGCGAGGCGCGCGGTGGCGACTCTCCCCGGAGATCTCCACCGTGCTCGCATCCCCGGCGCCGGGATTTGCAAGCGGGAGAAGGGACTGGACTGGGTGCAAGGGCCGGCCCACGAATCCACCCATAGTACGAATAAATGGGTAATCCATTTTTTTAGATTACCCACTTATTTCCGTTACATTATGGTAGTGTTTGGCAAATGGGAAAGGGAAATGATTTCCCACCCATTTTAAATCCTAACCATTCATTCTCCCTCTTCCATTTAATCCTAACCCTTCATTTATTTTCTAATTCCAATCCCACCCTTATTTCCCATTATCCAAACCCACCATATAGGTGGATTCTCGGGTCGGCCGCTTGTACTCTTAAACTGGACACGCCCGTGGGAACATAAACGCAGAAACGATGGAAAATCTAAAATCACAATCGAGACCACATGGATAATAAATACATTTATTTGTTCCGACGCCGATCGACAGGAACGCATCTTGGATTACCCTACGTCGTCAGCTCCTTCCCGACGCGCTCGAACAACTCTCTCAGAGACCTCTTCAACTCGTCGCCGGCGAACACGAACTCCACCGCGTCCTGAGCTAGTTGAAACAGCTCAGCCTTGCTGAGACCTGCCACATTTTGGATTTTGCATTCAGAGTTCAGAGTACTGTACACACACACAACAACAACAATTGTCAGACTATTTGCAGATCTTTTTTCAAGGAGAGCGCATACCGAAGGTAGATGCAACGAGGTAGTACTCATTTGAGAGGCTCGTTGAAAAGAGGCCGGAATCATCGGTGCACAGGGACAGAGGGTGCTTCGCGTTGTACAGATCGGCTGCACATATTCAGTAACTCAAAAATGTTAATCAGCTGGGAAGCCAACTTAAATTCTTGTCAAACATTCAGTAACTTCAATTCTTGTCAAGATTCAGAAACTTAAAATCCTCTCAACATTCAGTAACTTAAAAATTCTTGTCAACATTCAGTAACTTAAAAGTTCTTGTCAAGATTTTTTTAAGTACTACTATTGCCAGGGACAAACCGAAGTGATGAAGCTCCAGTGAAGGCGCACCACCGGTCATAACATTGGAAGTCAAGCATATCTCGACCTGCAGAATTTCAGTTTTGGATTAAGCGTGTGTGAGTGTGACATGGAATTGGTTAGGGACAATGAGAGAAAAGCTCACTGGAATCATTAACGACTTCAACTTCTTCCATTCCTCGTCGTTGAGGCAGCAGACATGACCCAGCCTCTGTGGGCAGAAGTCCAGCACTGCTCGGATCTCATTCCTGTTTGCTACCTGTTGTCACCAAGTTTTTCACTTCATTGATCAACTAGTTCTGCAGGGAAATAATGATCAAGAAGGAGAGAGTGGTTCAGAAGTTGTTCTAATATATTTGCAGACCTCGCCACAGTGAATTGTAATGGGGATTCCAAGCTCTTTAGCATGTTCCAGGGCAGGCAAGTATGTCTCCCTTCATAAATGTTTAAAAATCCCAGGAATGTCAGCACAAAAATTATGTAGGATGTATCCACTTAGTTCAACACAGGCACAGAATATTTTACCACTCCCCCACAACTGGATTGCCAGAAAGATCAATGCCAATGACACCTTGATCCTTCATCTCCATTGCTAAATTAACCTGACAAACAAAGGTGAACGATTTATAGATATTGTCATTAGCTGTCATATTGCTAAATTTGCTTAGAATGTTAGACAGTTTGTAAAATCTTAACATACAGTATCCAATGCAGCCAAAGTAGTTTCACGGCGGTCAATGCTCAGAAGAAGCCTAACATATATCTTCTTTTTCCTTGTGTCGCCACCCAGCTCACTCATAGGAGTTTTATCTGCTCTTGAGTTAGAATCGAATAACACGACTTCAACAGCTTCAACAGTTTTAAGACCTTTAATAACAGCATTCATGTAAGACCTCTTGGTCATCCCTTTGGCTTCATTATTCTGGATGGCAGTGAAACAAAATAAAGTAAAATAATAAATCACACTATTTCCACAGAGACTAAAAAAATGTACCAGAGGAATACGGAACAGACAAATAAAAATATTACCTTAGGTGTTGTTCTTATTTCCAGATATACTACATTCTCCATGGCAAAATCTTCCACAACCTGCCAATTTTGTCTCGATGATGAATCCGGCAAGTACAGTATACAAATCACAAAACTATAAATATCACAATACCTCCTTGGTGATCCTAGTCACTGTATCATGATCAGTTGTAAGTATATGATACAGTTCAAAAAGTCGGAAACACTCAGGGAGAGATCTTCCATCTGTTTAAGATGTTCAGAAGCCAGAGTTAATGAGCACCCTAATTACTTATGGCTCACAAAGAATTGCAACACAGGTATCCATCAGACATTTTTTTTCTAACCATGTGATTAATGATTAATATTTCAGAGGTTCTTTTACACCCTTAGTTCATAATGTCTTTTGATATGGCTTAGACTTGGTAACTCTGCTGAACAACACTAACAAAAAAATAAAAATAAAAATCTTCCACTTACTCTTCATGATTACATCCTTAACATCTTCGAATACAATGTCTCCTTTATCACCTAGTTGCTTTGCAAGTTCTCTATTCAAGAAGACAACAAAGCATTAGCATTTTGAAAGATAGAAACAAAATGCTACTGCAGAAAAAATCACATATGTTTTGTCTGGTATTCTTTATTGTTGAAGACAAAGTAGTTATTGGCTTATTGCATTTTAAAATCAAGGTAGTCAATTTGGTACTACTTAATGGTAACAATACAGACCTATTAGTTGTTTAAACAGCTAGTTAAAATTTACAACTGTATAATATTTTGGCTGAAGTGGGAAACAAAATTATCCATATTCATACACTAGTAATACTGAAGTAACTATCAGGCCTGTCTTCCAGTAACTCCTAACTGAGGTCATTTTCGTGGAGGCCAAGTCATTTGTGGTATGTTAATCAAAAGTAGCATTATAAAAATGTAAAAGGTAGGCAAAGATTCTGTCCCACATGAGCACTTCCAATATTATAAATTTATAGTGCCAGGATCCCGATGTCTGCAGAGTGCAGACTGCTGTATTTGTTCTTCATGCTTCCTGACCATGTATGAATGAATATACACTTTGTCAAAACCCAAATTTCACAATGGCACACTCCTAGTCTCCTACCAAAGTTCGAATTTCGCGTGCACAATTAGGTCTTTAAGTGCTGAATTCCCCATCTCAAGAAAAAAAATGCTAAACTCCCCTCCTAGAAATCAAGAATCGTTCGACCAAATCCATTAATCCAAACGATCTTGGATCAGATGAAATGATGCATAGGGGCTAAAATTTGGAAGAAATATACTGCCATGAGGACCTATTCTAGAATCAGATCAAGAACCAAGTGACTAGCTATCAAATTCAAGAAATCTAAAAACTGGGGAGGGAGGCAGGCGAAGGCAGCGAGGAAGGGAGGAGAGGGAGTGGCGGTACTGACAGGAGGGTGGAGTCGCGGACGGAGCCATTGAGGTGGGCGTGGAGCTCCACCTTGGGGAGCGCGACGCACCACTCCCTCATCGACATCTCCTTCTCCGCCTCCATGGCTGCGGCTGCTGCTGCTTGCTTGCTTAGCTTCCGCCTTTGGTTTGTGCGTTTGCTCGGTTCGGCGGAAGAGTGCGCGTGATGGGCGCGCTATATATATCCAGCTTTGCTTTGAGATTCGTGCTGTTGGGATGACAAACTGTTAGTGAAGTCATCACTCGAATTAGGCAATGTTTGGATGGGGTTAAATTTTTTTAAGTACCCGTCACATCGGATGTTTAACACTAATTATAAGTATTAAACGTAGACTATTGATAAAACATATTTCATAATCCTGGACTAATTCGCGAGACGAATTTATTAAGCATACTTAATCCATGATTAGCCTATGTGATGCTACAGTAAACATGTGCTAATTATGGATTAATTAGGCTTAAAAAATTTATCACACGAATTAGCTCTTATTTATGTAATTAGTGTTCTAAGTAGTCTACGTTTAATACCCTAAATTAGTGTCCAAATATCCGATGTGACAGGTACCAAAGTTTAGTCCCTTTATCCAAACACCCCCCTTATTGACACGGATTATATCTACTCTACTACTACTTAAAAAATAAGAGGTGCTTCCATCGTCCGTCAAAAAAACCGGGTGAAAAAAAACCGGAACGAATCCGATTCATCAACGCGGTAAAAGAATATGTCCGATTCCACAAAAATAGGAAACAAACTCCCATCTGTTTTCGTTTGAGCTGATTAGGACTTTGTTTCTGTTTGGGCGAATAGGACTTGGTTTGAATTATACCAAGTCCTATTCGGTTAGCATCACTAGGAGAACAAGTGCATATATACATACATAGTATAAAAAATCATAGCACATAACAAAGAATCACATGCAGCCTTATAGCACTTTGCAAAAAAACAAAAAATTAGATCGAAGGGGGTCGCCGCCAGCACCACATATATCCAAATAAAAACAAAAAATTAGATCGAAGGGGGTCGCCGCCGCTGCCGCCGTCGCCGTCGCCGTCGCCGTCGTTGCCGAACCGCCGCCGTCGCCGTCGCTGTGGATCCGGTGGAGGGGAGAGCACCGCCGCCGCCGCCTCCCCTCCCGCTAGATCCGCCGGCGGCGGCGGCAGAGGGCACTCTCCGGTGGTGGGGGAGAGCGCCGCCGCCACCGTCGGTGGTGGGGGAGGACTCCACCGCCGCCGCCGCTCGCGGGAGGAGGGGCACCGTCACCGCCGCACGCGGGGCGCCTCCCCACCCGCTAGATCCGCCGCCGGTGGTGGGGGAGGGTGCTGCCGCCGCCGCTCGCGGGAGGAGGGGCGCCGTCGCCGTCGCCGCCGCTCGCGGGGCGCCTCCCCTCCCGCTAGATCCGCCGCCGGTGGTGGGGGAGGATGCCGCCGACGCCGCCGTGGGTGGTGGGGGTGCCGCCGCCGCCGCCATCGGTGGTGGGGGAGGGGCGCCGTCGTCGCCGACGCCGCTCGGGGGCGCGGAGGAGAGGGCGGCGAAGTGAGATGGGAGGGAGGGAAATGGGCTAGGGTTCCGCGGCTGAGAGGGAGTGGGTTTTGTTTCCCCGCTATTGACGCTCGGCCGTCCGATCAAAACCCTAGAGATCGGACGGCCGGTGTCGTCCGGGCCGAAATCGGCCCAAGAGGGATCGAGAGTGAGGCCTCTTTTCCGACCCAAGCCCAGGTTGCGGCCTGGGGGAGGAAAAGTGCGCCCGCTCATGCGCAAAAGGCCGTGGGCCGACCGGCATAGGTCGGAAATAAGTCTATTGTTGGTCCCTCGAGCCGAAAAAAAGAGAATAAGTACATTTTTAGTGCTCATTTTTTCAGAAGCATTACAATTATAGTTCTATTGAATATGTTTATTTCGAAGCAAACCTATAAGAAAGTATTTTCTTTCTTTTTCCAATTAAATAATTGTTAAATGATGTTTGTATTAATAAAATTAGCAATTAAGCTCTGAAAATTCCAATAAAATTCCAAAGAGCATAACTAATTATGGAGAATTTAATAAAATTAAATTTAACCATGTCATTTTATTTAACCATGGAGAATGGAGAATTTTACTTGTAAATTTATTTAATTATACACATACCTACTTAAAAATACTAAATATTTCAGCGAATTTGTATTTTAATTAATTGCATATTTTTCTGATCTGTAAACTTCCCGGTGCAACGCACGGGCACTTTTGCTAAACCAAACAACACTTTTGGTCAATATACACACTCTGTAATCACCCGGTGCAACGCACGGGCACTTTTGCTAGTACTTAAAAAATAAGAGGTGCTTCCATCGTCCGTCAAAAAAACCGGGTGAAAAAAAACCGGAACGAATCCGATTCATCAACGCGGTAAAAGAATATGTCCGATTCCACAAAAATAGAAAACAAACTCCCATCTGTTTTCGTTTGAGCTGATTAGGACTTTGTTTCTGTTTGGGCGAATAGGACTTGGTTTGAATTATACCAAGTCCTATTCGGTTAGCATCACCAGGAGAACAAGTGCATATTTACATAGTATAAAAAAATCATAGCACATAACAAAGAATCACATGCAGCCTTATAGCACTTTGCAAAAAAACAAAAAATTAGATCCAAGGGGGTCGCCGCCAGCACACATATATCCAAATAAAAACAAAAAATTAGATCGAAGGGGGTCGCCGCCGCTGCCGCCGTTGCCGTCGCCGTCGTTGCCGAACCGCCGCCGTCGCTGTCGCTGTGGATCCGGTGGAGGGGAGAGCACCGCCGCCGCCGCCTCCCCTCCCGCTAGATCCGCCGGCGGCGGCGGCAGAGGGCACTCTCCGGTGGTGGGGGAGAGCGCCGCCGCCACCGTCGGTGGTGGGGGAGGACTCCACCGCCGCCGCCGCTCGAGGGAGGAGGGGCGCCGTCGCCGCCGCTCGCGGGGCGCCTCCCCACCCGCTAGATCCGCCGCCGGTGGTGGGGGAGGGTGCTGCCGCCGCCGCTCGCGGGAGGAGGGGCGCCGTCGCCGTCGCCGCCGCTCGCGGGGCACCTCCCCTCCCGCTAGATCCGCCACCGGTGGTGGGGGAGGATGCCGCCGACGCTGCCGTGGGTGGTGGGGGTGCCGCCGCCGCCGCCATCGGTGGTGGGGGAGGGGCGCCGTCGTCGCCGCCGCCGCTCGGGGGCGCGGAGGAGAGGGCGGCGAAGTGAGATGGGAGGGAGGGAAATGGGCTAGGGTTCCGCGGCTGAGAGGGAGTGGGTTTTGTTTCCCCACTATTGACGCTCGGCCGTCCGATCAAAACCCTAGAGATCGGACGGCCGGTGTCGTCCGGGCCGAAATCGGCCCAAGAGGGATCGAGAGTGAGGCCTCTTTTCCGGCCCAAGCCCAGGTTGCGGCCTGGGGGAGGAAAAGTGCGCCCGCGCATGCGCAAAAGGCCGTGGGCCGACCGGCATAGGTCGGAAATAAGTCTATTGTTGGTCCCTCGAGCCGAAAAAAAGAGAATAAGTACATTTTTAGTGCTCATTTTTTCAGAAGCATTACAATTATAGTTCTATTGAGTATGTTTATTTCGAAGCAAACCTATAAAAAAGTATTTTCTTTCTTTTTCCAATTAAATAATTGTTAAATGATGTTTGTATTAATAAAATTAGCAATTAAGCTCTGAAAATTCCAATAAAATTCCAAAGAGCGTAACTAATTATGGAGAATTTAATAAAATTAAATTTAACCATGTCATTTTATTTAACCATGGAGAATGAAGAATTTTACTTGTAAATTTATTTAATTATACACATACCTACTTAAAAATACCAAATATTTCAGCGAATTTGTATTTTAATTAATTGCATATTTTTCTGATCTGTAAACTTCCCGGTGCAACGCACGGGCACTTTTGCTAAACCAAACAACACTTTTGGTCAATATACACACTCTGTAATCACCCGGTGCAACGCACGGGCACTTTTGCTAGTCTGCTAAAATATAGAAAAAAAATAAATATCTTTGATAAACAAACCTAATAAATAATCAAACAAGTAGCTTATAGTGGAGGAAATATTTTTCAGAAAACGTAGTTTTAAAGACGTGGAGCAAATAATCTACTGTAATAATTTGGTGGATTATCTGAAAAAGATGTCGTGATTCTAAGATTCAGTGGTTATAATATTTTAAATATGGAAAAGTGTGAAAATGGTGGTTATACTTTCATTGACGCAAGGAACTAGAGCTTCTCCATATTCTCATCAACTTAGTTTTTAAAAGCTTCGGTTTTCTATAAACCACGCCAAAATGTAAAAAAAAATCTAATTAGATTTCTCTGCTCAAAGCAACCTAAACATGTTTATTGAATTGGTTGTCCATCGCGAACTGTAATCTCCGAGCTACCAATCTGCCACTCACTACTAGAATTCAATAACTTCCCTAGAGTCTAAATTAGAACTCAAGGGATAATAAGAATCCCTAGGGTGACTATGGAGAACTAAAGGGAAGATTTATGTTCTCTAGAGTAACAATATGCAACCTAGAGAACTTATACCACATAAGCTCTATAGTGAAATTCTTGGCGCCACAGTGACAACCAAAGTAGATCCCATATAAAATTTTGGAGGCAAAACTCCCAGCAACGATTTTTTTTTGCGGGAAGGGCAATATAGTAGACAAAAATATCTTCTCCCCCCCCCCCCCCCAACTCCCCTAAACAACAGCACAAGGGTTTCTCCTCCCCAAATTTGTTGTTGTTTCGTTCTCCAATCTCCCCCAAAATCCCTCTTTGTTCTAGTTGCTATCCAAATCGACTAGGCTTCCCTAGAGGGCATTCCCTAGGGTTCACTCTAGAGTTTTTGCGCCATTCCCTTGGGTTTTTGGTTCTAGGGATTAATTCTAGTAGTGAGTAGAAGCTCAGTCCATCCTCCTTAGATACCGGAAAATGTTGGGGTTGTTTGGTTGGCGAGTTCGCCACACTAAATCTTAGGTTTGCCACATTTTCTTATGCTAGTATTTGGTTGAGTGGCATGGTGTTGAGCAAATCCATACTTTATTAATACATTGGTCTATACCTCATACTCTTATTTTTTAACCAATGTTTACTATAGTTATGGTCAAAAAATTGTTAGTCACATTTGTGTGGCAAAGTTAGCCTCCATCTAAATCAAGTTGATCACACCGGTGCAAGTGTGCAGCGCGGCACAAACCACAATGAAACTAGAAAAGATTTAACAATTCTCTCTATCCTAACATATAGGAGTAACGTCTACTACAGTAACCTAACATGCCCTACTCCGTTAAGATATATCCTGTGCAAGTACATCTCTGTTGTTATTGAGAAAAATAAGGAAAAGGGTAAAGTAAGAACAGAAGATTTACTGTTTGACAATCACGCAAAAGGGGACTTTTAGACGACAGAAAAGTTTGACATCCACAGATCCACTCGCTGGTCGCGTGCACGCATCTCCCAAGCTTTTTTGTCGTCACTAGCTTAATTGTGCAATCTTCCAACGCTATATTAACAAGGTCACAACGCAATTGTTGAAGGAACAGTTGGTGATTAGATAGCCATCAGATTACATCTGTGACTTTAATTTCGCCGCGAAAATCTAACACTTGATTGATTTGCTTATGCTGACGATAACGCGTGGTTATTGATACCTCTCCACTCTCATCATCGGATCATGTGCCAGGAAATATCTGATGAAGATTTGTGGTGAAAATGGTGCCAATGTGTATCTGTCACGAATGGAAACAAAATCTGGATAATTAATATGCCTAATCACGTCTGACATGATACATACTTTAAAGCATGTTGTTGGTGCCAATCTGGAAATAGTGCATAAAATCTGCATCTGGATATGATCATATGATGGGCTTAATAAATTCAGAAGTTATTTTATTCTCAAATCTGATAGTTCCAGGTAGCGTACTAAGAATCTGTTCTTGACCAGGTGTAAGTAATTTGCCAGTACTGATAGTATAGCAGCAGCAGCTAGCATACTAATAATCTATCATTGACCAGCTTCCAGCTTCCACTGAGTAAACGAAAACAAGAAAGGAAATGCAGACAGACAAATCCACTCATCAGATGATCTGATCAAGCTTAGGTTGCATTATTGCTGATATATAGCACACTTTGTCCTAGTAAATAACTCATGAAATATCTCCACAGATTTGTCATGGTTGTCATCTACAATTTTCAAGACTAATCTAACAGCTTAATTTGTCTGTTCGATCTGGGGACCAGAGTTTTCACTAAAAATCAAACCCTGACAGAACAAAACGCATTGTCTTGTTCAGTGCTAGTCAGGTTAAGGTGGTGTTTAGATCTAGGGACTTAACTTTAGTCCCTGTCTTTAGACACTAATTTAGAGTATTAAATATAGACTACTTACAAAACTAATTACATAAATAAAAGCTAATTCACGAGACAAATTTTTTAAGCCTAATTAATCTATAATTAGAGAATGTTTACTGTAGCATCACATAGGCTAATCATGGATTAATTAGGCTCATTAGATTCGTCTCGCAAATTAGTCCAAGATTATGGATGGGTTTTATTAATAGTCTACGTTTAATATTTATAATTAATTTTTAAACATCCGATGTGATAGGGACTTAAAAGTTTTCACTACGCCAGATCCTCACACCTCTGACGGGATACCTGTGACGGGCAAACGATTTGGTCACTAGTGACCATTACCTCTGACGGGTCAGACGGGATAACGTCACCGGTGAGCCATCCGGCCGCGGACCGTCACAGGTATCCCCTCACCTGTGACGGGCCGAAAGGAAAACCCGTCAGAGGTATACCAGTGACGAGTTTTGCTTCCAACCCGTCACTGGTATCCCCTCACCTGTGACGGGCCGATACATTAGAAGCCGTCAGAGGTGATGGGCCGCCACCTGTGATGGCTTTCATTTCTGGCCCGTCACAGGTGAGCGGATACCAGTGACGGGCCGTTGAATAGAAGCCCGTCAAAGGTATGAGCAATACCTTTGACGGGCTTTTTAAATTTTGACCCGTCAGTGATGAGTGAAAATTCAAATTTTTAAATTTTGCAAAAAACCTCGGATTGAAACATGTCCTATATAAAAGTTGTAGCTCTCAATGATATCCACAACTTTATAACTAACAACATTTCTATTAGAGATCGTTTACATCCCCGAACATACATTACAAGTGATCAGATCTACTTTTAAAAACAAAATTTTGAGTTTTTTTTCAAATGACATGGATGGATACATGCCCCGTATCAAAGTCATAGAACTCAATCAGATCTACAACATTATAATTGAAAATATTTTCATTTCACAAAATTTACATGTTATAAAGTGAGATATATTTTGAAAAATGAAATTTTGAATTCTTCAAACAACATCGGATGAAGATATTTTCTATGTAAAAGTTATAAAACACGATGAGATCTATAACTATTTAGTTGATAATATTTTCATTTGAAGTCATTTAGGGTGTTAAATATATGTTAAATGATTCAGATAAGCATAGACAAAATAATAACATTGGGTTAGTAGTCAATATGTGTTGAGTAGGTGAGTTGGTAAGGGAGCTCTATATGGAGGTTGAGGTCTTGAGTTTGAATCTCACTTGTAGCATACAAGTTATATTGCGTGAAAAATTGTGAATTTGTAGGTAGTGATGTGTAACCATGTATAGGATGGCTAGTAAAATTCAAAATATTTTTTTGAGGTTTTTTGTTGCGTTTAAAATTCAAAAATTGTATTTCTTGCTTTGTCATCAGTGACGGGTCGTAAGTTACAACCCGTCAGAGATGAGTCATCAGTGACGGTCAGGTATTTACGACACGTCACTGATGACTCATCTGTGACGGGTGACAAGTTTTAACCCGTCAGAGATGACTTATATACCGGTCAGAGATGGGTTATCTGTGACGGGTGTTTCATCCGTCACAGGTGATTTTGTCATCAGTGACCACTAATCACTGACCAAGACCAAACCCGTCAAAGGTGAGGGTTTGGGCCCGTCAGAGATGACCTGGTCCGGCGTAGTGTTTAGTCCCATCTAAACAGGGCCTAAGTAGACTTAACGCCAAGAACACAACTCGGACATGGACTAAACTATACCACATCTGACCTTGTTATACACGAAAGAATCTTGAGCAAACGTATCAACAGCTCGTGGCCTGAAAGATCTTCGAGGCTTTTAAAGTCGTCCAAGAACAAGGGAATCTGCGGTACAGCTAAGTGTAATCAGCAGGTGCACTGAACTAGCGTATATCTTTTCTTTCTCGATTACACAGAAGACACGTACACACAAACACTACTACCCTCACACATCCACTGATCCACATATATATATACTGTAACACATACTCATGAAGATAAAAACCAACGACAAATCCTGGTCTCACTAAATTTTTATTAAAAGCTCAGCTGCGTGTACATAATAATATCTGTAAACACAATTTAACAGCAAGCGAGATGAGCTAGCATGTAGCTTTCTTTTCAGATTATATGGAAGACACATATGCCCTATATTTAGGTACCCGTGAATACACCGCTGAGACCATAACACATTTAGGTCTTGTTCGGTTTAGAGGGGATTGAAGAGAATTGGAGGGGATTGAGAGGGAATAATTCCACATCACAATAGGTGTGGAATAAATCCCCTCCAATTTCTCCCTTACAGGGATTAACCGAATAAGGTCTTAAGAGACGAAAGCCAGCATAAATATTTAGCCTTACTAAGTTTTTATTGAGAGATTATTCATTTTTTTTAGAGAAGATTTAGAGATCATTCATGTGTGCTTAGTATTCATGAACACGATTTACTCCAATATAATTGCAAGTGAGCTGAGCTAGTATGTAGCTGTTGCCTTCTATTGTTGCTGAAGAATTCGATGAGCTCTGACGAAATGCAGAGATGAGTCCAAAAGCAGATACAGTGTTAAAGCTTCTTCCTTTGGACACATTTCCGTTGAACAGGATCATCGGATCAATCAGGCCCCGAATTGATGCTCCTCGGAGGGCAAATCATTCATTCGTATAGCTCTCTCATCAATCGTCGCCATTTTTTTTGTGTGTCCTTTGTGTGATCTTGACGTTGATTGGGCGATCGAATCTGACCTTTCATGTGTCATTTTTGTGGAGCTGCAGCGTTGCATGATTGCATGGTCAGTGAGTGCAAATGATTCAGAGGAAAAAGGCTGATTGAGCTGAAAAGATGAGGCAGCAGCTGCATCACTTTCTTTTCGATCGATCTCGCACTAGTTTTGGCTGTCATGCTGCTCACTGTTACCTTTGTTCTCTGTTGTCACACCATGCTCAATGATTGCTCAACTGCAAATTTAGGACATGTTTGGTTGCCAGCTATAAGTTTGTTCCGTTTAAGTAAGTTTGACCAAATTTGACAGCTATCTGGTTGCAGCCACGATTATAGCAAGATTTGCTTCCAATGAACTAGGTCTCATAGGTCACAGACTTGGAAAACTACTACAAGATATGTGACAAAATAATAGGCACCTAACCTTAAACGAAAGTTTGACGAATTTTGTTAATAAATAGCGGCAACACGTGCCTGGCAAACATAGTCTCTTAACAAGCACATCTTAGCTAGCTTAAGATCCATTAGAGAGGGGATGAGAAAACGGAATTGAAAAGATTTCGTAGATCAGATTCACAATGAGCTAGCAATCACCTGGGATCTTACCTCTACTCCAATCTCAAATTCAGAATTCATTCCTCGGTAGATGCATTTCTACAGCTTCACAGCCCTGTACTGCTGTATAGGAGTACATCTGTAGGCCAACCAAATATCCTGCCTGAGAGCTCTTTGTGATTGGAAGGAATGGACGTCGAGGCTAATCGACGAAGAACTGTGGTAGTACAAAACTACATTGAAGAAAATTTCTGTCCTATAGCTAGTTCCAACTACAAATACAACGCTGTGGTAATAAATGGGTCAGGGATTTAGCTCAAATCTCTCCAGAAATTTGTCGTTTCATAATGTTTTTTGTGCGTACAAATACAATTGCGTGTCTAAAAAAATACAGTGCACACCACGTCCAACTCCAAAATATTCTTCCAATGATTGAAGCACGAACTGCCAAAGCGACTAGCATAAAAACTGTTGAGAAAAAGGGAAAGAAGATCCATGCTTCACGCATTCGACAATATCAGGGCACTTTAGCACTTTACAATACTAGTATACCTCAATAGAGCACATCCTAGAACATTTTTTCCCCTCAATATTGAATATTGATAACTGAACATATCGTCTCTCCCTATTGGTGAGAGATCATGAAAATCACACCCTAATACAAGCCGATGCGCTAGTAAACAACATTGATATGCATTGCAACGGAAAATATCAAAACTGCATCGGCCGTCAAAAATTGCTTGTGGACAACCTTGCCCTGTGAAATGGTTAGGCTACAAATCTGCAAAGAAGTCTGATGTGGGTCTATCTGAACTCTGACCCTTGCTTGTCTTTGTACTCCTTGATCCTGACCAACCAGAAAAGAACTTAGTATCAAATAACTTCCAGCAAAGAATAGGCTAGCACAACTATGAGAAGACAGGAACGGTATTGCTATAGCAATGCTCTATGTTAAAATCATATGCTACCTTTCGAAGAGTTCGGATCCATGTCTACATCCATACCGTCATCATCACTGTCATCACTATCTTGTTCACCAAGTTTATCATCCTGAACTAACTGTTGGCGATTCAAGAGGTCTTGCAAGTCCCAGAGCTGTATAAATCAGGATACTGTCATTTAGACCAAGAATTTGGTACGGTATGGGGGAATGGGAAAAGAGATATCACCTTCAACATTTTATTGTGTGAAATGCTTCCTAGATAGGATACAGTTATTTAGACTAAAAATATGGTGCGCTATGGGGGGGATGGGAAAAGAGAGATCACCTTCAACATTTTATCGTGTGAAATGCTGCCTAGATAATTTCTGTCATTTGAGAAAGCTGTGATGCAAAGGTAAGTAACTAGTTAGAACATATGTACTTTTTACACGTATTTTAAGCAGGCAGCAAATGATCAGAACGTACCAAGGGCCTCAATTGGATATTCTGAATGCTCAGCGAGTGGCTGAATGATCCTGTTAGGTAAGATACCCACTAATCTGAAAGGAAAACATGGGCATCATGTTAAAACAGCAATACATATTATTGGGAACTGGGGCAGGGTAAAGGGAAGCAAGGCACCAAACCTGATCACACCATCCGATGCACCAGATATTAGAGTTTCTTCATCCAGCTAAAAGAAAAAAAGAAGACATTTGGCTTACAAAGGATTGCATATAACAACAAATAGTAGGCTACAATAAGAATTGTCACAAGGTTTAGGCTCTAACCTTCAGCATTGTATCAACAGACTGTGCATGCCCCAGAAAGCGGTCACTAGCCACAACACATATACAGTCAGTACACAACTCAAAATGACAAAACTTACAACTTTGGTCTGCCATCCCAGTAGTTGAATGAAGAGATTATGATACATTTTTTTAGTTTTTTTTATGCATTTTATATAACCACAGCTCAAACACCGAGCAAGAGTAGATGAATGGAAATATAAATATTTAGGACAAAAAAAAATCTAGTTCATCAAGTTAAGTATAGGGTAGTGAAAAAATTAGTACCTGCAATCCTTAAAAAATCCCCATGAATATAACAACAGAGCTCCACTTGGGGTGCCACATACAACTTTTTTACCGTTCTGAGAATCACAAAGAAACAACTCTAATTCAGTAACCATGAAATTACACACGGAAGACTTTATTAACATTAGTCATTAAAATAGTTACCTTCATTACCACCACAGATAGTAACTCATCTTCTGAAAATTCAGATTGTGATTTTACCTGTTAATGTAACAGGAAGCATATGAGTATGCAAAATAGCATATGATAGTATACACAAAATCATATAACCAACTAGAATTCAATAAACTGGAACAACATTGATATACTATAAAGCAACTCACTTTATTCCTACGAAGATTGCTGACAGATAAAGTCCCGTCGCCACTGCAAACAACCCAAGTAGTTAGTTCTGATTACCAAACATCAAGGCAACGAAGACTTCTGCTTAGAATTGAACGAGCAAAAGTAACACAAAGGAAAAATAAATTCAGTGAGACAACAAAACATTAGCATCATTAATACAACACCATTGCACTAAGAAACAAATGAGTAGTTTCTGAACCAGTATGAAGTAAATTATATAAGGTTCAAATCCTGGTATCCACAAATATGGCTTTGAGCATCCTTAGTTGGTGCAGAAGCCAGAAATTATAGTTCCTTTGTTAAAAAAAGGAACGTGGAAATTTTACTGAATTCGTGCTGGAATGTAAAAGTTTCCTTTCAAATCCATGTGTTCCAAGTAGGGCCTAAATGGCTGGAGCTGCTTCATGAATAATTACATAAAATGGTGTATAAGCCAAGCAATGCTGATCTCTTTCCAACAAAAAAGCAGATTTCGCATGCATACTGAATGACATGCATATTGATCAGGGCTTGAAGGCGAATAAAATTATTTACCTTGTTGCCAGTATTTGAGTTGAGTCAGATACATATGTCATATCTGATATGTAATCTTCGTGGCAGTGAAAGGTGTTACAGCAGGAACGTTCCCGAGTATCCCATACCTAAAATTGCACAGCTATTTTACTTCAAATTGACTTTACCAAAGAGGCAAACTATAGTCAATAACACACAATACAATGCAGGTGTCAGTCCAAAAACAAATGTACATGGAATTTTGGCCAGGATGGTCTTTTCTGCTTATTACCCAATCATGTGCTGATGTGCATATATGTATACTCACGAACAAGACATCCTTGGGTAAATAAGCTTATCAATAATATATATTTGCACACCTTTTAAATATACAGGTTTTAAGAGTCAATGATAAAGCTGGCCTACACTCAACAACCATGCACGGTTAAACCAGATTGACTACTTATAATACCTTAATGCAACCTTCATCATCACCTGAAGCAACAGTAGTTTCAGTAAGACACACAAGGCGATTTATGCCATTCCTATAATATTTTAAGAAGAAGATATTTAGTTCCACAAGCAAAATTCAAAGAAAGAACTGCAAGTCTGCAAACTGACAAAACTTACTCATGTGCATCCTCCAAGCGAGCAATGGGTTTGCCAGTTTCCACATCAGAGGCAAGAATTGAGCAATCAGCAGATCCTGTCAAAATCACTGAAACATGGCACAAAGTCAAGATAGCCCGCACAACATGGTTAGAGGAGCTAACAGATGAATGTATGTGTCTTCCTTCCCATCCAAGTTAGTTTTACAATTCCATTGTGAACACGAATCTGCTAATGTTGCAGCACCATGCTTGAGCAAATAAGCACAACTACGGCAAGGATCACTAAAGCTGAAAGTTGGTGATTAGTTATTACCATTTCCCGACTCCACAAACCGGACAGCTCTGCATGACTCCTTGTGAGATTTTGCCGCAAACAACCTTGAAAATCAAGAGAAAAAAGGAGTATGCATCAATCCCCAGGATATAAAGTGGACATGCAACAACCTTAACATATTAGCACTCAGAACAGACGACAATACAATAAAGAAAGAAAAGTAGCTACTGGATGAGGATTGCATAGATCATGAAAATACATTTACTTTGACAGCTTAGCGCATGTAAATTTTATATCAAAATAAAAGTAGCACTAAAACGCTGAAAAAGGCTGAAACCCTTGGATATCAAGGAAACAGTGTGTATATCTTAACAAAAGACTGAAATACAGCCGATAATCCAAACATTTAGCATTTACTTTCTACCATAAGCTGCTGAAACAGGCACCTAGTAGTACTACAAAATCCTGAAGTATACATAAATTCCAGGGAAATCTCAAAATAAGCATTAGCAGCACGAACATCTGTAGCTCAAAAGGTGGTAATTGTAAAGTTGTTGAATCCAAGGAGCGAGAGACTAAAACTAACACCTAAAAACTAAACCCTAAACACCTGATACAATGATAGGATCATCAATGCAAACCACAAACTAACAGAGCGCGATGAACAGCAGCGTTGGTCGTGAGTACCTCTCAGGCTGCGACTCCGCGGCGTACCGGAACCTGCGAAACCAGCTCGATAAGAAGAGAAGATTACCAAGGTCGCGATAAGAACAAACTAAAATCAGAGGAGGGGGATGAAGAAGTAGTGGGGCGCGCCCGTGGATCGTACAGGTAGAGCTCGCCGGTGATGAGGGAGGTTGCGACGAGGGGGGAGGACGGGTGGAAGGCGAGGTCGAAGGGCATCTCCTCGTGGAGGGCCTCCATGGCGGCGGCGGCGGCGGTGGCGGCAGACAGAGGTGGCGGCGGCGGCGGCGGTGGCGGCAGACAGAGGAGGCGGCGGCGCGACGGGGAAGAAGCCTAGGAGACGGGAGCAATGCGCTTGTAGCCTCACGTAAAGCTTCCTTGGCTGGGCTGTGTACGAGCAAATGGGCCTCAAACAAGGCCCAAAAACTTTTTTTTCCACATTTTTATTTGCAAAAAGTACACCAAAGGTTCCTCAACTTGTCATTGACCCCAACCACAAAACCAGATATATGACATCCCTCAACTTATGAAATCTGTGGTTTTAATCCCAGTTTTATCCGACGTGACATCAGCGTGGGACTCCATGTGGGTCCCACATGTCAGGATGCCACGTCAGCACTCTTTCTTCCCCCTCCTCTCCCAGTCTCCCTTCCTCCTCTCTCTCTCTCTCTCTCTCTCATTTTCTCCTCTCAGGGCAAGCCGGCCGGCGGGTGGGAAGAAGGTCGCCGGGACGAGGCGGGAGAGGAGGTCCGGCGGTCGGCGACGCGGCGGCGGTGGCGAAGCAGGGTGGGGGAGTCGCGCAGCATGGAGAGTGTGGCAGCCACCGTCTGTACATGGCCCTCACGGATGTCGAGCTGGACGCGGTTCCCGCCGTCCGTGGTGGACATGGCACCAACGTCGGCGTCCTCCGGCGACGGCTGCCGCGGCGCCATTCCCTGCCTTCACCTCCCCCTGCCCCCCCCCCCACCTTGCTAGCGGCAACAACGATGACCGCATCGACGCAAGCACCTCTTTCTGCGTTGCCTCTCTCGCCTCGCCCCACCGGCCACCTCGCCCTGCTGGCCTTCTCCCTACCCGCTGGTCGTGCCTCCACCTCCCCCTCCCCTCACCTTGCCGGCAGCGACGACGACGACCGTATCGACGCGAGCATCTCTTTCCACGTCGCCCATCGCCAGGCGCCTCTCTCACCTCGCCCCACCCGCCCCCTCGCCCTGTCGGCCTCCTCCCCACCCGCCGGTCGCGCCTCCGCCTCCCCCTCCCCCCCACCTCACCGGCGGTGACGACGACGACCGCATCGACGCGAGCACCTCTTTCTGTGTCGCCCGTCGCCGGGCATCGCTCTCGCCTCGCCCTGCCGGCCTCCTCCCCACCCGCCGCCCGCACCTCCGCATCTCCCTCCCTCCACCTCGCCGGCGGCGGCAACGACGACCGCATCGACGTGAGCACCTCTTTCCGCGACGATTTTGTAACTCGTTGACAAGTTGAGGACCTTCGATGTATTTTTTTTCCTTTTTTCTTTCTTCGTGTGAAATTTTCCTTGACGATGATACCACGAAGAAGAGTGACATTTTAGTACCATATGCTTCTCACCTTGTAAGTTTTATGTTATTGTTATTTGAGTAAATTTCGCAAAACTATATGTTTTATGGTCAAGTTACAGAAAGTCACGCATATTTTGACACTTGGCATTTAACTACATATATTTTGGCAGTGTCGTTTCATAAACCACACTATCAATAAATGGATTCACCTGTGAGATGATGTGACTGTTCCACCAAAGATGAGGGTCAAGATTCACCAAATCGCTTTTAGTCGAGTTACCGTCACCACATGGTAAGACGGTTATCCCGTAACCGTGCGGTTACCATGACATACGGTTATCACGAGAATTACCGTGGTTTCAAACCTAAGAAGGTTGCCACGTGTTATAACAGTGGTTCTGTAAACCCTGGTGAGGGCATTATCAAGGCAAGCAACTCATATTGTGAGTGGCCTCAAGTGCTATATAAGCTGGACACACATATTCCAGTACGATGCATGTTAGCTGTAGGTTAGTATCTTTGATTTTGTATATTAGCCCCTTAAATATTTTTTATTTAAACATAAGCCCAAAAATTCAAACTTTATACACTCAAAACCAGAAACTATTAAAATGTCACCGTTCTCCCCCTTCCTCCTTTTGGCAGGCTAGAGTTCATCAGCCGGCCGTTGGAGAGTTGAGACCTCAACCCTATTTGTTGTCTCCTCTCTCCTTCCTTTTATCGTCGGGTGTTGTATTCGAGCAAGAGGCGAACGATGAGCATTTTGTCTCCATGCAGTTGAAACCTCACCTCTACCATCGATCCACATCTTTTGGCTCATGCAAAAGGAGCTGCGCGACCTCGTCTTCCTCTCGGAGGTACTGCCAAGAAGAATCGCGAGACCTCGTCTTCCTTGCCTCTCCCCTCCATTCTCCAACAACGAGATCGGAGCAACACAATCGTAATCTAGTTGCTCCTCCCCTTTTCCCCAACACCACCATTTCTTTCTTCAATCCGGTGCTGATGCATATCAATCTAGCATTGCCGGTCAACGTTCTCGAGCAAAATAATGGTTAGAGTTGGGGGACAAGCAGATCCAACCAGATGTTTCATCTTCTTCTTGTTGTTGGTTCTTGACGACAGTAGATGCATCGTCCTCGTACCACTTCCTCATGTCGGTTATTTTCTTCCTTCTTTCTCCTGCTTCACGGGCCCGACCTATGTGGCTTGGTTTTTCTTTACGAGACTATCCTTGCATGTAGAAGCTTTGTGAAGTCACTTCACCAGCTAATGATGTTACTCATCCGTAGGTGTATTGTAAATGAAAGAACTACTCTCACATGGGTCGCTGTCTTGCTGAAATATGGGCTAACAAGCTGTGGGGGTTCATATGTCAACCACCGGTAAGTTATATGATCCGTTTCCATTGTGAATGTCGTAAAGTACAATCATGCTAAATGTCAATCTTTTGAAAACTGAATCCCCTAGCACTAAAGACTACTAAAGGAAGGGGCGTACATAAATCAAGTCTAAAAATACAGCAATCTATAGTTTCTATATTGGGAATGCCATGGCTAACAGTACAAATACGGTACGAATTGGCTGTCCGCTGCAAATTGGAGTCTCGTACATAAAATCTGTCAACAGATTTATAATTAGTCCCTAAAATAAGTCCAAAACTCTCCGAAAAAGTCATCGGATCCTAATCCATTATTTAGTACAGTGGAACCAAATTGTCACATGCCATTTCACCATTTTTTTCTATAAAAGGAGAACTCGTACTTTTGGTAACAAAAAAAAAATCAAGGACAAATCATTCTCTCCCATCTCTAGCCGCCGCGACGCGAGCGAGCAAAGCAATGGAGGACTCCGCCGCCGCCGCTGCCGTCGCCGTCGTGACGGTGCCGTTCCCGACGCAGGGTCACCTGAACCAGCTCCTCCACCTGTCCATGCTGCTCGCGTCGCGCGGCCTCGCCGTGCACTACGCCGCGCCGGAGCCGCACCTCCGGGAGGCCCGCGCGCGGGTGCACGGCTGGGACGCCGCGGGCGCGCTCCGCCTCGCCGCCGTCCGCTTCCGCGCACTCGACATCCCCGGCGGGTACGCATCCCCTCCCCCCGACCCCTCGTCCCCGTTCCCGGGCCACATGATGCCCCTCCTCGAGGCCTTCTGCGACGGCGCCCGCACGCCGCTCGCCGCGCTCCTCCGCGAGCTCTCGGCGTGCCACCGCCGCGTCGTCGTGCTGCACGACCGGATGGCGGCGTTCGCGGCGGTGGAGGCCGCGCGAATCCCCAACGGCGAGGCACTCGGGGTGCACTGCCTCGCCGCGTCGTACAATGTCGGGTGGGTGTACCCCGCCCACCGCCTGCTGGTGGAGCACGGCCTCGTCTTCCACCCGCCCGACGCCTGTACGACCAAGGAGTTCGTGGCGCTCGCCAAGCGGATGGGCCAGGAGCGCAGGCGCGCGGCCGTCGCCGGCATGGTCGTCAACACCTGCCGCGCGCTGGAGGGGGAGTTCCTCGACGTGCTCGCGCAGATCCCGTCCTCCGATGGCGACAAGCTGTTCGCCGTTGGGCCTCTGAGCCCGGTGCTCCCCGACACGCGCGCGCGGGGCTCGCCGGAGGAGAGCGCGCGCCCGCGGCACGAGTGCCTGAGCTGGCTCGACAAGCAGCCGCCGTCGTCGGTGCTGTACATATCGTTCGGCACGACGTCGACGCTCCGTGGCGAGCAGATCAGGGAGCTCGCCGCGGCGGTGCGCGGCAGCGGCCAGCGGTTCATCTGGGCGCTGCGGGACGCCGACCGCGCGGACATGGACACGCGCGAGGCCGAGGCGGCCGTGCACGGCGCGCGCCTCGCGGAGGCGGCGGGCGGGCTCCGGGAGGAGATCGCCCGGGGCGTGGGCGTGGTGGTCACCGGGTGGGCGCCGCAGCTGGAGATCCTGGCGCACGGCGCGACGGCGGCGTTCATGAGCCACTGCGGGTGGAACTCCGTCGTGGAGAGCATGAGCCACGGGAAGCCCGTGCTGGCGTGGCCGATGCACAGCGACCAGCCGTGGGATGCCGAGCTCGTGTGCAAGTACCTCGGCGCCGGCGTCCTCGTGCGGCCGTGGGAGGAGCGCCACGACGTCACGCCGGCGGCCGCGATACGCGAGGCGATCGAGAGGGCGATGGCGTCGGGGGACGGCGCGGCGCTGCGCGCGAGGGCGGCGGCGATCGGGGAGGCCGTCCGCGCCGCCGTGGCCGAGGGCGGGTCGTTGCGCCAGGACATGGACGACCTCGTCGCCTACCTGACGAGGTGATCGTCTCGTCGCCGGCGCGGCGGCTGAGCTGCACTCCATGCCGCTGTTCGCGCCAAAAGATCACTGCTTGCTTAGAACCACTCTTTTGAATCTTATAATTGGGATAATTTCGTCCAGGATTTAAGCTACTACTGTAATAAGTTTGGGACTGTGCTGGTTGTCCTCGATCCTGGGCACCTGGCTCTCTATTGGACAATTTAGTACTGCGTATATCTCATTTTCTTTTGGCTCCCAGCACACAATAAGCAGATTTTGCTGGAGACAATGATAATTTGCTCCTGTAATAATAAGACAACAAGTCTATAAACATATGCAATTTTAATTCAACAATTTTAGAATATAGACTTTTCCATTTAAAAACACGTAAGGGCTTGTTTGAAAGGGTCCATGGATGATAGACAAAACTGAGTTTATGACAATTATTCGAGAGCACAAACAACTTAATTAAATATTACTAGCTGATAAATTGATTTTAAAAAATTATAAGAAATGCAAATGAAGATTGTTTTAAAAAAGTTATACGGTTTAGTAGTTCAGAAAGTGTGCCCGCAATAATTCCGTGACTATAATTAGAAAATAATGGGCCTTAAGCATCAGGAAGTCACTGAATTGACAGATTTGCATAAACTCAGTAATTATATCACATTGCTTTTAGATTCAAACAGCAACACTCACACGGTCCCCCTTGATTCCTTGTTCAATGTTCATTGGAGGACTGATGTATACAGTCTATTGCCCTTTTTACAGTAGGCAGATATGGTTAAATTTTGCACTAAAAATATTAGCATATGGTCATGCTCTAACAATTAACATTGACATATATGCTTTTTTTTAAAAAAAAATTGAAGTATAATTGATGAATTTCCCCCAATTTCATCGCGTTATCTTCTGAACCCGCCAAACCAGCAACAGCGCGGCAGAAGAAAAACCCCACCCAAAACCGCCGAACCCAATCCCGACTCCTCCCTCCGCCGCCGCCGCCGCCGCCGCGATGCCGAAGGCGGCGGCCTCCCTCGCGTCCCTCCTCCCGCAGCTATGGCACCGCCCCGTCCAGCCCCCTCCCTTCCTCCACCGCGCCCTCTCCTCCTCCTCTCCCCTCCTCCGACGCCACCGCGCCGCCCTCCACTCGCCGGCGGCGCCCCTCTCCGCCGCTGCGGTGTCCACCTCCGCCGCAACCGTCGAAGCCCCAGCGACCGCAGCGTAAGCTGCCCTCTTACCCTCAGACCAAGCTGCTCTTCTCCGAGCGATGAACTGACTGGTGGTGGTATATATGGGTTCTTGCAGGTATCCAGTTTATGGCAGGCTCTTGCCTTGCCCTCTGCAAGATGACCCTCCAAGGATCGAGCACCTCGTCGCGCGGGAAGACGAGGTCGCCGTCGATTTCATCTCCAGGTCACTCACCCTCCCTCCACTGTAAGCAAGCACCCCTATGCTCTCTTTTGTTTATTGCATCGTTCATGTGAAATTAGTAGTGGTATAAGAGTAAATGAGTAACATTGTGGGTGTGAAGGTACGTTGCAGATCTCATCAAGTTTGGGGCTGTTTACTATGCGCTTGTCGCGCCGCAGCCGCCTCCTCACGCGGCTCCGGAGCATGTTAGGATTTTTAGAGAGGTGACCGAGCCTTCGGTCCTGTGCCGTAGGAAATCCATTAAAGGGAAGACGGTGAGGGAGGCGCAGAAGACATTTAGGGTGACAGACCCCAACCAGCGCCTCGAGGCCGGCACGTATCTGCGGGTTCATGTGCATCCCAAACGTTTTCCTAGGTAAAGATTTGAACTTTGTAATGTAGAAACCTTCTATATATTGTGATGGTCTATGTTTGAGCTTTGTTTTTAACTTCCCACCGTGAAATCTTTCCGGCGGTCAGTCAGTTATCAAATCATCTCAGATGCTTATGTGTCTGTGTTTTATCTGATACTGTCAGGTGTTATGAAATTGACTGGAAATCCAGGGTAATAGCAGTAACTGATAACTATGTCGTACTTGACAAACCAGCTGCAACATCAGTATGTTTCTCTTCTCTTTCCCTTTTCTAGTTGGCATCTACAACAACCTCATAGATTTGGATTTCCAAGGCCACATATATGAGAATATTGGATATGTTTTTTGCAAGTAATTATCTGGTTTATTAGTTTCACTTAGTGTGTGTTGCAAGAATGTTGGATATGACTTTCAGATTGTCGTCGAGTAGGTTACCCATTTGGATTTTACTGATTATTGGTTCACACATTTAATGTGCAAATATGCCACTAATGTAAGATAAAACATGAACACAAATACCAAGAGTGTTACTTAAGAGATTATAATTGGAAGTTCTTGGAGTTGATGATTTAAGAAACAGCCCAATTGATGCATCTAGGCTTATGATTAAACTTTTTTGAGGCTCACGTATTTTTTTTTCATGATTTTTTTACATGTAGGTGGGAGGAGCAACTGATAACATTGAGGAATCCTGTGTGGTTTTTACTTCACGCGCACTAGGATTAGAAACACCTTTAATGACAACTCATCAAATTGATAACTGTTCTGAAGGCTGGTTTGTCTCTTACCATTTTACTTCTACAAACTAGGTATACATAAGTGTACAATGTAATTAAGTAATGTCATGATTGTTTGCAGTGTGGTATTATCTAAAACTAAGGAGTTTTGCTCAGTTTTCCATGGAATGATAAGGGTAAGCTACTTTATCGATTACTATGATATATAACATGGTATTGAGCCTCTAGTAATGTTGTTAAACTTTTAATTTTGTGACAGGAAAAACAGGTCAATAAACGTTACCTTGCACTTACTACAGCACCTGTGTCTACAGGAATAATCACACATTACATGCGTCCTATTAATCGTGCTCCTAGATTAGTTTCAGAAGGTAATCCTTGAATTGCAGTTTATTATTGCTTCTAAAAGTTTTGGCGACAGTTCATTCGTGGCTAGGTGCTAAAACATTGTTGGCTCTTAGTGTGCAAGGTCAAAAACATTGTTGGCTCTTAGTACTTTAACAGCTCCTAGATTAGTTTCTACTATGCATATGTTTTGGTTACAATTTACACACATATTAGAGTTTGGGTGAGATTCTTGTGTACTGTTATTTAAATATATATGCAGTCACACAGCATTGTAAATTGTAACCGTTCATCAAAGGTATTGAATTAACTGTTTACGCATTTTATACTCACCTATTTTACGTTGTGTCATTTGTCATTTGGCTTGCGCCATTACTTACTGGATTTTAAACAATGGTAAAGATACCTTGATATGATTAGATTTAGAACTAGGATCCTACATACTACGTACACGTGGGCCTGACTGGTACCACTAAGAATTCTGAATTAGTCCGTGGTCGGCTCGTTGTATTCTGACCTCGGATGTTTTACCATGCATGCATATATCATAAATTTCCTGTCTCTGTTAGTAGATTAATATTCTTGTCACACTTAACCAGATCATATTAAAGGATGGCATGTTTGTCAAATGGAGATATTGGACTGTAAGAAGGTCCCATGGCCAAGCTCTCTGATCAGAAAAGTCCATAAAGTAGACAACTGTGGTTGGCCCCAACAGGAGGCTGCCTATGAATGTAAAATCAATCTCTTGACAGGAAAAACTCATCAGGTATCATACTATTGTATTTTTTGAGATGTCAGTCTTAAATGCTAATTATCTTTTTGTGGAGAAGGCTTTTTTTGGGGGGCTCAGAGAAAAGATCCATGACTAACAAACTCTCACTTAGAATAGGAAACTCTGATTTAAAGTTTGCTTTATTCTAGTTCAATTTGATCATAAACATGGACCATGTGGGTCAGTGGGCCGTAGTTTCCTGGGTTAGGTAGGCTAGCACACACACATTTCTGATGCTTCTTTTGATAGTTTATACTCCAAAGTCCAAACTAGTATTTGAAGCTCCACCATTGATGTACTGAAAAAAGGAAAATGAGGGGGCAACAACACCATTACATAAGCTAAACCTGCAACTATTTCCTTGGGTTGAATCATAGCCCAGCGCTAATTATGTTGTTGCATTGAATGAGTTGTCAATATGTTTTTGTTTCGTTGAGTGGTATGGTCATTGCCAACATTGTGTTTATATAGAGTAACGGGTAGATGATATGGTATGCAGATACGAGCACAACTTGCTGCTATAGGCACTCCAATTGTAGGGGATTCTGCCTACATGACGGCAGCAATGGCAGCAATAGTTAATCCAAGCATAAATCCATTTGGTCGATGGGGACAGAACTATGATAGTGAAGATGAAAAGGCAGCTGCTGTTGAAGCTTGGATTTCTTGTCATGGCAAAGAACCAAAATCAGTAATTGGCCTACAAGCATCTGAGATCTCATGGGATTATGAAGGTGAACACCATTCTTATAAGGCAGGAGTTCCATGGTGGCGGCAAGATGCAGTTGAATCTGACTTGATCTGAAGAAGAACAGGAGTATATGAGAATTTTAGCCCTGAACCTCAGCCTGGGGTGGCTCATTTTGTGTGTTCTGGCAGAGGTCGGATCTCCAAGGTTATTTGGCCGCCAAAGAGAAACATAAAAAAAAATGCCAAATATGAAAACCACAGAATGCGTGGTGCCACCGATGAAAAGCTTACACGCCAAAAATCTTCCCACATCCTTCCAAAATATCTTGCTACAGATTATTCTACATCTCAGATGAAACTTACTGACAGAGTTGAGTTGTACACTTCTAGCTGTTATATCTGGGGTGGAGTAGCTCATTTGCATTGCCACACATGCAACATTTTACTTCTAGAGTGTAATTTTGTCAGAGTTTTGCCCAAGGTGCTGTACATCTTCGAAATTTACATCTTTTGTCAGTAACTTGTTCTGGTATTTTGTACTGTCCCGAGATTTGCTTTCCTGCTTCACATGGCACTGTTTATAAATTGAATTGAATTTGAGGTTTCACCTTTTGTTCTGAGCTGTGGTACACGGGCCAGGCCCAAGCTGAATGTCGACCCAGACTTGAAAGCTATCCTGGTGTTTTTGTGGGCCTGTGCTGAACAGCGGATGGGTTCGCGAATGCTGGCGGCTTCTGCTGCCACTTTGTGACGAGTTGCGATTCGTGCAGGGGGCAATGACGTGATTGCTATAGGCCAACGACACGAGTTATGACGTATCTGACCAGACAAATCTAGGCTCCCCTGGGGCCAGTATTGGTTGAGGTAAGGTTTGTACTGAACAGTTAGGCGAGGAGATAAAGTGAAGATGAAAAGACGCCACAAATCCATCCCTAAAAGGGAGATGATTACTATACTTCCGTTTGTTTTGTTTGATCCGAATATGATACAGCCATACAGGCATGGTGGGGAACAGGGACAGAGCTAGAACGAAATGGAGGGTGGTACCACTAATTTACTCTATTTTAGATCGAGTTTAAGCTCATACGGGTGCCTAAGTTTGTATTAAGGGGGTATATATATGGTGAAAATAGATGAGGTATAGCTAAAAAATTTTCTTAACCAGTTTCTGGGCACCCCCTTAATATATACTAGCTTCGCCCCTGGAGAGAAAGAACAATGAATTACATTCAACGTAGACATGTAAACCTTAAATATCAATAAGCAATTATTCACACCAAAGTTATCACATAATTTCGATAATCCTTTCTACATTTTCATACACTTTTCGTCAAAATTTAATGATTACTAATAGTAACTATATCGACCCTATTTGTTTATGATTATAAGTTGCCTCGAATTTAAAATTCTAGGTTGGAGAATTTCTTTTTTATGTGAAGTCCACCGTTAAATTTGAAGCGGAGGAAGTGTCTATTTATGGATTAAATCAAATATACAATATATAAACCTATAAATAAAAAATCGGCTTAAAAGCTTAAACCAATAAAGTTAAGCACAAACAAAAAGGGCCATAGGCTCGCCCACACAAAACACCAGATGAATGGACAACGAAAAGCATGCAGCTACAATAGCCTAACCCAGTGAAAAACGAACTACCACAAGAACCATAAAGCCAAGCCAACCCTCTCCGGGAAGAAAGCCAAACCCAAAGCGTAAATAGAGCGTAGATACAGCACTACACACCGACACACGGACCCCACCCCCATCCCGGGCCCCACTTGTCATCCACTGACCCCCACCCCCGTGGCGCCTCCTCACGCGAAGAAAAAAAAAATTAGGGGTTGTCCAGAGACGAGGCGAGCCTCCCGAATACCGCAAGGCCCAGCAATACCCGCATACAAAAACGCGACCAAAAAGGAGAAGAAAAAAACTTATCTCTGCCCCCCTAATCTCCCCTTACCCTTCTCTCTCTCTCTCTCTCATAGATAACCACCCCCCTCCCCGCCGCCGCCGCCGCCGCCGCGGGAGGCATCGCGTCGCCGTCCACCGGGTCCCCTCTCCCCCGCCTGTCTCCGGCGATCGCCGCTTTCCTCCGCCACCCCCGATCCGAATTTTCGAAAAAAAACCCCCGCGGAAATACGGAGAAAAATCGCGGAAATTCGTTTTTTAGAGTGAATCGCACCTCCTCCCCACCCCTGAGCCCGCCTCCACCCCCCGCCCTCGTGCTCGTCGGCGACGGCGATCGCATCGGGGAATAGTCATCGCCCCCCTTGACGGGCAATCCCCCCCCGCGCCTTCTCTTCGCGGTCCAAACCTGAGGGAGACAGAGGTGGGGGGAGCGAGCGAGCGGCGTCATCCTTCCTCCTCGCCGGCGGCCGCAAGAGGTGCGTCTCCTCGCCGCCTCGCGGGTTTGTTTCTTCGCGGGAATTTGTGGGTGAGGGGCGTGGTTGCTGGGTCTAGGGAGTTGGGGGAAGCCTCCGCCGCGCCGATTTGGACCGCCGCGCGCCCGATCCGCGCCCCGGGAGGCTCGATCTGGCCGCCGCGCGCGCTGATCTGCGCGGCGTCGCGCGAATCGGTCGGGATTTAGGGTTTCGGAATCCTATTCGAATTCCTCGCGCCCGAGGCTGCGCGGCGCCATGGTTGCCCTCCTCCTCCCACTCGTCGATTTTGAATAGAGTTGGGGTAGAGTTATTTCTTCCCTTGGGAGAGTTCAATCCATGTAGCACCGAAATGATCAAGCCATAACAAAAAGCATGACAAAACAATAGGATTAGACTTTGATCGCCCCATTTGAGGCGCTAAATGTTGTCCTAAGAGCTACTCGAGTGGGCTTCTAAACTAGCTTCGTTTGATGAACTGCAGGGAGTGATAGACTGCTGAGGCCGTGAGAGTTTTTCATGTGTCGTCATGGCATTCTTCAGCAACTCTGGAAGCAGGGCTGATTCAGGAGGGTACAACCTGAATGAGAAGGCTGAGGATGAAGCTGCCTATGAGTCAGTTGGGGACAGGGATGTCGACTTGAACTCTAGGCAATGGAACTTAAATGAGAAGGCTGAGGATGCCTATCATAGTGATGAGGAGCAATATGATGGTGGCCGGTCAGGTCCGAACTCCTCGGAGAATAAATCTGTGCAGAATGCCCGGAAAATAAATGGGCCTTCTGGCCCATGGGGTACAAACTTTTTGAAGGATTGTGGACCCACACAGACGGCTAAGGAAGAGCAATTGACCAGTAACAGGGGAATGGAATATGGGTCGGCGGCTAGTTCACATGACGACATGGATGCTAGTGGAGAGGATGATGAGCTGAACCGAGGGCATGGGGAGGTGCCTGCTGAGGAAATGCTCTCTGATGACTACTATGAGCAGGATGGAGAGGAGCAGAGTGATTCATTGCTTCGTGGTGGGATGCGCCGCCCAAGCTGTTCTACTTCTGGGGCTGCAGCAGAATCTGTCTCCTCTAGACAAAAGAAGAAGCCGACAAAATACAATGCTTATGAGGATGAAGATGATGACGAGTACAATGATGAGAATGATGATGAAGACGATGATGACGCAGACGGTATACTTATATCTGGAAACTTGAGTTAGCAAAGCAGATCAGTTACTGTTTTAACCCGCTGCTTTCTTGGCAGCTGCAAAGAATACAGCTCATCATTGATCAACAACTTTCTTTCTTCCCTATTTTGCAGAAGATGATCCAGACGATGTGGATTTTGAGCCAGAAAGTGATACTGAAAAGGCTGCCGATAAGGTTATTTATTGACTCAAGTTCATGCCACCCCATGCCATAATATTGTCCTATGTATTAAGTTACATCGTCATCTTATTATTTAAGCTAGGTGGTTTAGTAGTAATTCTAGTTATAAAAGATTCTGGTTGGTATCTTCTTTCTTGAAATAAAGATAGAAAACTGCCTTAGTCATTGAAAAGAATCCACTCTAATTGAACTCTATGTTGCTTAATACTGAATGTTTCTTAAAAGAATAACACGCTAAATATCACTAACTGCCCCTTGAAGCATCTGAAAAGCAATCAATGAGAAATCTGTAGATAGGATGAGACACACAGAAACAAGCAAGGAGTGAGGCTCGAAGCTTGGAAGATTGATGAACCTGTGTTCTTTGGTGTCTTGAAGAAGGTCATTTAATGCATTAAATAGTTCCCCTGTGAACTACCTCTGTCAACTACTGTAATGCAGCTATAAACTCTTAATCCGTGAGCTGTAGGATTTTGTTTATTTTCTTAATTGAACGATTTGATCGCATTTGCATGTATACTGCATTTTATTGGGTGATATTATGGAGAACTGCACACCATTAGCACCTGCATTGCTTATTTTATAAATTACGCCAGACATCTAATAACAAGTGATATGCATTCTTTTGCTCCTTTTCTAATCTATAAGTTTCAATCAGTTTATTATCATAACTTTTATTGAGTTATTTTCTTCTGAAATGCTGATGATATTGAGTTATTTTGTTATTGAATTTTAGGTATTTCAGCACTCTTGATCATCAAATATTAATTAAGTTCACTTTCTTTTGTAACATTAAAATTTTAGGATAAGTTTGTGGATAGTGAGAACTCCGACGAAGAAGAAGATGATGAGCTTGAGCTCTCAGATGATGATGAAGATGATTTTGTTGAGAATAAGAGGCAATGTAAGCGACTTAAGGTTGGTGGAACTAAAACCTCCAAGGGAAGAAAGCTTCCTGTACAGGTTCAACGCAAACGAGGGGTGTCTTTTACAGATGAAGATTCTTCAGGAAAAGACTCTGATGCTCCCAGTGATACTGATATCAGTCACCGAGCAAAAAAACCCGACAAGTTGCATCAGAAAACTGTAGGCCGCAAGGATGTTTTCTCAAATGTTGATTCTCATGAGGTTCGAACTTCTGGAAGGAGGAGGACAGCTAGAAATATTTCATATGCTGAAAGTGAAGAAAGTGATGATAGTGAGGAAAAGTTAGCTAAGCAACAAAAGGTGAGATTTTGTTGTGGTTATCTGCGCAAGAAGCATTTGAATTGCTTAGGAACCAAAACAGATAACTGACATACCATTTTAGATGATTCGATGTTATTGTTTGCTATGCTCTGGAAACTCCTTTCTATTCTTGCTTGGTTGCAGCACAGCAATATGATTTTTCTGTTTTATTCTTTTTTGTTATGGCCATCATGCTTTTACTATAAAGTCACTTGGCTTCTAACTGTGTCCATAACATTGATTCTATGTGATGTGCATGTCCTCGTACAGTTTCCTTTTATTTAACCACAGTACTTTGACACATGTTCATATATAGGTCTTGAAGGAGGACCCAGAAGAGGAAGAAGGGGAAACAATTGAAAGAATCCTTTGGCATCAACCTAAGGGTGTTGCTGAAGAGGCACTGAGGAATGGCCAATCAACTCAACCTACTGTGATTAGCTTCACATCAGATGTGGATCAATCATGGGATGATGTAGAATTCTATATAAAATGGAAGGGCCAATCATTCTTACATTGCCAGTGGAAGACATTATCTGAGCTCCAAAACGTAAGGATCCTCCTGGATATTTGTATCTCCTTACAAATATTCACTGTTTTTTGATGTACATTTTATCTCTTTATCATGATTCTCTTAAGATATGATTTTTACATTACCTTTTAAATGGCAGGTTAGTGGATTTAAAAAGGTTCTAAATTACATGAAAAGAGTTACTGACGAGCTGAGGTACAAGCGATCGTTATCACGTGAGGAGGTAAATAAAACAATCAATTTTGTATTATCAATGGTGTAACTCCACAGATGGTACTACATATCTATTCCAGTAAATAAATGCACTATAACCTGAATGTAAAGGGTGCAAAACTTTATGCTAAAAAATGAATTACTTCTATTTATTTTTTCATAGGGACTTCATAGGGTGTTAACTTGCAACTACCTGATCATGGCACAGTAATCATGTTATGGAATTTGGGGCAAGTTGGTTTGATATTTTTATGTCCATGCTTGCCAATGCTTGGCTTACCAAAATTTTGGTACTCTTAATAGAATTTTGCCAATGACAGAATTTCCTTTGGGGCATTTAAGTTCATATGTGGAGGCCAAAAATGGTCCACCAATCTGGTGTCCCCAAACATGGCTTTTATTTATTGCTCTATTTTGAGTAAATTATAGATTTAAAATTATTGGTGATAAATTATTTTGGTATGAATGGAATTGCACGCAGTAATGTAGCAACTGCCCAAGCATAATGCTGGTTTGAGTTTTTTTTTTCTCACATCAGGTTGAGGTGCATGATGTGGGCAAGGAAATGGAGCTGGATCTTATTAAACAGTACAGCCAGGTTTTGTACTAACTCTAACGAAACACTCTTGATAAGCAATTTTTAGTGTGGCATTTGTATCCTGTCTAAGTATACAATCTTCAGGTTGAACGCATATTTGCTGATAGGGTTAGCAAAGTTGATGGCGATGACCTGGTGCCAGAATATTTAGTCAAATGGCAAGGACTTCCTTATGCAGAATCAACCTGGTAATATTCCTGACATGGCTCTGTGCTTTCAGTTTTCAGGGCGATGATAATGTTTTGCACATGGATATTATTTTACAATAAATACTATTAGTCTAGATGGACTTTTTGGTTGGTCACCGTAGCCATTTGTGATGTACAAAGATGTTGCTGCTGCTTACTTGATGTTCAATATTTTTGTTTATCATTGTTTGCTTTCTTGCAGGGAAAAAGATACAGATATTGAATTTGCTCAGGATGCTATTGATGAGTACAAGGTAAGAACTTGTGTATTTTATCAATATGATATTATGTAACTTTATTGTGAGCATATGTGCATAAGATTGTATAATATTTTGGGTTGCACTTTAATTATATTAATTATAGGCCCGTGAAGCTGCAACATCTATACTCGGGAAAACAGTTGATTTCCAAAGGAAAAAAAGCAAAGGTAAGTTCCCCGCACAATATTTTTTGTTTGTTTGCTTTATTACTTTTGGTATTTTATTTGGTCTTTTTGTGGACAAGTTTCTTTTCTGGATGGTCTGGACACCAAGTGATCACCTATTCATTTGCCACTCGTCACTATCATGTGCGGTCCTGGCCCTAGACGTTGTAGACACATGAGTGGCAAATTATCGATTACCACTATTGTTTTAAATGGCCTGTTCCTCAAATTTGTTGCACTTCTATTTAGGGTCACTGTTTTACATGTGAATATTGTCAAGCATTGGAAAATCCATGCATGGTATAATTTGAGATCTTTGTCTAGCAACAAAGGATCATTACTCTTCAGTTAAATCTTATACTAAGTTTACATTATTCAGCTAGTTTGCGGAGGCTTGACGACCAACCAGAATGGCTAAAAGGAGGCAAACTACGTGATTACCAGCTTGAAGGCCTAAACTTCCTTGTTAATGGGTATGTAAGATCTGTTTATATGAAAATGAGAGCACATGTGTTGCCACTTTGTAAGCTCATTGATTTATTTGTAAAACAGGTGGAGAAATGACACTAATGTTATTCTTGCTGATGAGATGGGTCTGGGAAAAACTATTCAATCTGTCTCCATGCTGGGTTTCCTTCATGTAATCTTCTCCTACACAGTTCTGCTCTTCTCTATTATCGTGACAGTAGTAGAATTCATCTATTGATCACTAACACCCTGTGTGGTTATTACAGAATGCTCAAGAAATTAATGGTCCGTTTCTTGTGGTTGTTCCACTGTCAACATTGTCAAACTGGGCGAAAGAATTTCGGAAATGGCTACCTGACATGAATGTTGTGGTTTATGTGGGAAATCGTGCTAGCAGAGAGGTAAATGTTGTGAATTTCTTCCGTTGCTTGTTTTGCTTTCTGTGCAGCTCTTGTACATCACAGACATCATTTTCTGGTTTGCAAATTGAAATAATATTAACTTGATATTAGTAATTTAGGTTGTTGCTGAAGCTGAAAGTATCCTATAAAGGTCTTGTAGGAAATAAAAAACTAACCGTGTGGCATTTAGAAACCAAGAACTTCTTGACTTTTTAATCTTTTATAATACGTATGTTATGACTGGAACTAGCTTTTACAGAACAGGAATATTGCATTCGACCATCATTGGCCTCTGAATGGTGCAATTTTACCTCTTTTGGTTTAATTGCATTCGACTGAAATGAAATATTTTGGTTATCATGGATCTTGAGCGGATTTAAAGACATATACTTTATTCATATGTGCAATTCGTCACGTTTAGGTTATATATATACATATGTCGTATCTAGTTTCTGGGATATGGAAATGTTTGTTATTCTTGTGCGCCTACTTGTGGTCTTCAAATGATAAGGATGTGCTTTTTTTTGAGTGCCAAAAGAGTCAACATTCATAATTGATGGTTCTACATTTTCAACAAAGTTATCTTCTCCAATTTATACCCGTGATAGTTTCAATCTTTTTGTGGCAGATCTGCCAGCAGCATGAATTTTTTACAAATAAGAAGGGTGGTCGACATGTAAAATTCCATACATTGATAACTACTTATGAGGTCATACTTAAGGACAAAGCTGCCCTTTCCAAGATCAAATGGAACTATCTTATGGTCGATGAAGCTCATCGATTAAAGAATTGTGAAGCATCGCTGTATACGACTCTTTTGGTATGAACAGTATTTCCTGAACTAAAAATAAGAGTGAGTTGACTACCTGGAAAGATGACTCTAATTTCACTGCCCCCACACAGGAATTCAGCACTAAGAATAAGCTTCTCATCACCGGGACCCCATTGCAAAACAGCGTTGAAGAGCTCTGGTATGCGATTTTATGTAGATTTATGGTTGGAAGTTCATATTCTTATTGTGAATAGGTGACTAGAGACTGCAACATGTTCATAGCTGTTGCATTTTGCCTCTATATATATTTTTGTTTTACCTTTATTATTCTTTGTCCCATTTTTGCTGAGTGTATTTTAAAATCTGCAGGGCGTTACTTCATTTCCTTGATCCATCTAAATTCAACAGCAAGGATATATTTGTTGAGAGATACAAAAATTTGAGTTCCTTCAATGAAACTGAGGTAAATATTTTTCTCTTTCAAAATGTACTTTTCTCTTGACCTAGACTATTCTGTCAGCATTGGACATCCATAACTTTGCTTGATTTATTTTTATAGCTTGCAAATCTTCACAAGGAATTGAGGCCTCATATTCTAAGACGAGTTATAAAAGATGTGGAGAAATCTTTACCTCCGAAAATTGAGCGGATTCTTCGTGTTGATATGTCTCCTCTACAGAAGCAGTAAATACTTTGTACTAATGTAAGTTTATGTTCCTTTTATTCATCATTGAGATAAAATCATTTTTCCTAATTAATTATTAGGTATTACAAATGGATTTTGGAGCGGAATTTCCAGAATCTCAACAAAGGAGTTCGTGGGAATCAGGTGTTGATAAATCTTGAGCACTATTTTATTTTAGTAATGATTTCTTCTATTCTTCTGTTCCTACGTAGTCGCTATGACGGTGTACTACTTTTATATATGCAAACCTTTATTGCCTGATTTACTCGATGCATTATTATTTTTTGACAACCACCACTTATCTTTAACTTCACAACTATTTATAATTAGGCTGTTCACAATGCTTGTGTAATGCTGATTGTCCTTCATGGAATATCCTGTATATTGTATTTGAGAAATGAGCAGTGCATATGTAGCAGTTCTTTTTCCAATCGAGGGCTATTTTTCCTGAGCTAATCTGCAGTTCTTCGTGTTTTCAATTTTTTATGATTCCATTTTGTTTTTTCTAGGTGATTCTTCATAATATACACACAAAGAAAATAGCATTAACAAAACACAGATTCTTCTGCAGGCACATTTAAATGTCTGGTTATTTAAATTATTCTAGCTAACTTGATTATTGCATATGCAGGTCTCGCTTTTAAATATCGTTGTTGAGTTGAAAAAGTGCTGCAACCACCCATTTTTATTTGAAAGTGCTGATCATGGTTATGGTGGAGATAGCATTGGTGATCGCAATAAAGTTGAACGCATTGTTATGAGTAGTGGGAAATTAGTGTTATTGGACAAGCTGTTGGTAAGACTGCGGGAGACTAATCATCGTGTGCTTATCTTCTCTCAGGTTTGTATGTTTGGTTTACTTGCCATTTGATGCCCATTGTGTTGCAGTCTATATTAGTCGAACTAATAGTATCCAATACATTGTCTAAACTTATTTTCTACAATCCATTAGCAATATGTTGCATACGTGCAGAAATTTGCTTCAATTTGAGAAATTAGTATGGTGAGTCAAGTTAACAACGTGGTTAGTTGGTTGCATAGTTGGTTAGTGTTTTGTTTGCAGAATGAAACTTCTCTTCAGGGATGATAGGAAGAGCTGGCTCAGTGTATTTGTTTTGATACTTTGCAGTGTTTTTTCTGTTCTTTTATCTGACAGAACAAGCTTATTCAATTGGTTGCTTTTGTTAGTTGGTAAATGTATTTATATTTTTTACAACACAATTATGGTTTCCCTGCATTTTGAAAGCTATTGTGTTACTAGAGCCACATTTGTATTTTACACCAACATCAATATATCGGACAACGAATATATTATATGTCGCTTGAAAGCATTTGCACCTTAGATAACTTATATAAGTGCTTTCTGAATCAAATTGTTGCAGATGGTTAGGATGTTGGACATCCTTGCTGAGTATCTATCCCTCCGAGGATTCCAGTTTCAGAGGCTTGATGGCAGTACGAGAGCAGATCTTCGTCACCAGGCCATGGAGCATTTTAATGCTCCTGGAAGTGATGACTTCTGTTTTCTTCTGTCTACACGTGCTGGTGGGCTTGGTATTAATCTTGCAACAGCAGATACCGTGATCATTTTTGATTCAGACTGGAATCCGCAAAATGATTTACAGGTTCCCCTCTCTCTCTCTCTCTCTCATATATGGGTTTTCAATTTTTGTCTTGAAAGAGTTTCTCATATTTCGGGTTTTTGAATGTGTGATGTCATGCTAGGCAATGAGTAGGGCACACAGGATTGGGCAACAAGAAACTGTTAACATATATCGTTTCGTGACATGCAAAAGTGTTGAAGAGGATATATTGGAACGTGCAAAGAAAAAAATGGTGATGAGCCTGATTTGTTTCATATATTGTTTTAATAAATATAAACGAATAACCTCTGACTTGTTCTTTTTCTATATATGTCAGGTTCTTGATCACCTAGTGATTCAGAAGCTAAATGCTGAGGGCAGGCTCGAGAAGAAAGAATCAAAAAAAGGTGGTTCCATGTTTGACAAGGTAAGTTTCTGCACCAGTTATTTAGTTTACTTAGGTATTTGGGTTGATTTGGATGTCATATTGGTTTGGTACAACAATATTACTTAGGTAGTTTTAACAATCTTTTGTATATAAGATAGATTTGTATATTTGAAATCTATCTATTGTATAATTGTATTACAAAAGATTGTTAAAACTACCAGTAACTTATCAACTAAGCGATTGTTAGTGATACAGGCTGTAAGTCTAGTGTGGTATATATATGCTCATGTGACTAGACCAGCCTTCTTTCAAGATACCCAAGCTATAATTCTCTCTACAACACAAGAGCATTTACTGATAATTAAAATTCTGAGAGAAATGCATTAAATAGAATCTGGCTTGTCACCTCACTTGTATTTTCTGTTTTGCTCTTCTGATGTGAGCTATACATTTTGCCAGAATGAACTTTCAGCGATATTGAGATTTGGAGCAGAAGAGTTATTCAAAGAAGATAAGACTGATGAAGAGACCAAGAAGAAGCTTGAAAGCATGGACATTGATGAAATTCTCGAGAGAGCTGAGAAAGTTGAAACAAAGGGTGGTGAAGGGGAGGAAGGAAATGAACTTCTTAGTGCATTCAAGGCATGTTCTGTGCACTACCATATGACCTGTGATTCAGACATCATGCTTAAATTCTATACTTCTGTTCATATTTCTTTTTTTATTTTTTGTGTGGATAGGTTGCCAACTTTTCTAGTGGTGAGGATGATGCCACATTCTGGAGCAGATTAATTCAACCAGATGCTTCAGATATGGTTGAGGTATTTATTTGGACTAATTTTGTGTTAGTGCCCTTTTCACAGTTGAAAACCACGTCCAGCTGTTGTCTGACAGTAACTTAATCATATAGTTCCCTGCCAAAAAAATTCAGAGAGTAAGTATTTATATGTTCTGCAGGAGACTTTAGCACCTCGTGCTGCAAGAAATAAGAAGAGCTATGTTGAAGATCACCAACTTGATAAGAATAGCAACAGGAAAAGGCGAGGAATCGATGCACAAGAAAAGCCAAGGAGGCGTTCTAGCAGAACAATGGACACAGCTGTGTCATTACCACTCATAGATGGTTCAGCACATCAAGTACGAGAATGGTCATTTGGAAATTTGTCAAAGAAAGATGCTACCCGATTTGTTCGAGCGGTAAATCTGCACCCGTTCTCAATATTCTTTTCTTTTATGTGGCGATTTTATATTTACAATATCCAGAGTCATGCTATTATGTTTGTTTTTTCTTCCCCTTAATGAAATGAAATGCAGCTCTCCTGCGTTTTCGAGAAAAAAAAAACTGTTATGTTATTATCTCTTCTGCTTTGGGTTTGTGAGAGATTGCAAAACTTCTGCTTAGACAAGTTATTGAAAGTTAGCATTACTAAGATTTGCAAGTTATCAAGTAGTAGTAGTGTAAGTTTCTTCTCTTGTGATTTCTGGGAACTTTACGAGACACCCAACTTTTTCCACAAAATGATTAAGTTGTAGATTGAATATTACTTCCCAGCTTCATCTTACTCCGATAAGTAAACATTTTAGGTTAAAAAATTTGGAAACCCAAGCCAAATTGGGTTAATCGTGGATGATGTTGGTGGTGCAATAGCAAAGTCTTCGGTTGATCAACAGCTTGAGCTGTTTACTCTACTCATTGAGGGTTGTCAAGATGCTGTTAAAAATAATATGGATGCCAAGGTATAATCGTTGTACTTTCCCTCTACCTGGATACCTTTGCCTTCTCATCGCCTTTAATCTCAGTTATTTGTACTTTAAATGCAGGGCACAGTGTTGGATTTTTTTGGTGTAGCAGTTAAGGCGCATGAGTTGATAGCCCGTGTGGAAGAGCTACAGTTCCTGGCAAGGCGCATTGCACGTTACAAAGATCCAGTTAGACAATACCGGATCCAGGCACCTTACAAAAAGCCACAGTGGTCAGCAAGCTGTGGTTGGACTGAAAGTAATTGCTGTCAAACCTTTTGCTTTGTTGAAAATGTTACTAAAAAAATATATACTCATATAATTCTTGTATCTGTTTAGCTGATGATGCAAGATTGATGGTTGGAATTCATTGGTATGGCTATGGAAATTGGGAGAAGATACGATTAGATCCAAAACTTAGCTTGACAGCGAAAATTGCACCAGCAACCCTTGGTGAACGAGAGACGTTTTTACCGCGTGCACCGAACTTGGATAATCGTGCTAGTGCTCTTCTACAAAAGGTAATCTGCATGTCGCACCCCCTCCCCCTACCCCTCCCCCACCCTACTTGCTCTATCTTAAGCTTACACTTACAACTGTACCTAGAGTTTGCTTATTGTGTACTGGAATGACTCATACAGATTACAGCATAAAATGCTTGTTAAGAATTGAATTTCTTTAGACACTCAGCATGAGTGCGGGTTCACAACTTTTTAGAGTAATTTTCACAAAGACCCATATCATGGCTAACTGTGACAAAAAACCCACAGTTTTTAGATTTCTTTGGACATAACCACAGGAGACCAACTTTTTAACAGAAAACATCAGTTTTTAGTATTTTATACAGAACATCTTACCAAAAGCTCGGCAGCTTTGTGCTACGGTGCTGTGCTATAAACAGCTCAGAGCCTCAGAGGAAGTTTGTTTTCTCCAACAACCTAGACGATTTGCTCGGTCAATTGTGCTCATGCAATTTGATTTGTAGCAAGTAGATGTGGACTCTTGTCACTCTATGCAATTACTTCCTTGAAATGAACAAATGCAATTGCTTAACATGACATTGTGTAGAAAAAAATGTCATGTTCCTGAAAATATAAATATACACACCAGTATGCATGCTCCATGCATCAGTATGATTTGTTAATGCAGCCAATGTGATCCGCAAAAGAAAGCTAGTAGCCACTGTAATGCAGAAATTGTCAGGGGCTGGCCATTCCAGTTGGCTGCTCATCTCCTTGTTTGGGGCCGTGCTTTGCAAAAAAACCTGGTGTTTTGTTTTTGTTAAATTGTTTGTCTCCTTGTGGTTCTGTGCAAAAAATAAAAATCTAAACCTGGTCGGGTGGTTATGTTTTTGGTAAGTACATGGAATTTTATGATATTTATTCAATATTTTACTTAATCAGAAGTAGTAGATCCCACATGTGTTCAGCTTTTGATTGACACGTAATTTTACTTATCCAGGAATTTGCCAATCTTCGTGGTAAGAGCTCGAAAGCCAAGGGAGGTCCTCGTCAAGCAATTGATAATGAAAGCAATGGTGGAGCTCGTTCATTAAGAGGCCGGCAAAAAGACACAAAAATAAAAGAAGATAATAATTCAATTAAAGATGACTTTAAGAAACGCAAGGTGGTGGAACCTGAAGCAAGGGAAGAAGGTGAAATTTCAGAATCTGAAGCAGAGACTAAATATCGTCAGGACAAGGAAGAAAAGTGGCTGGAATGGTGTTCTGAAGTTTTGGATGACGAGCAGGAGATATTAAAGCGGCTGGATAGGCTTCAGAATACTAGTGTAAATCTGCCAAAGGAAAAGGTTTCTGCTCTATCTGTGAAGTGTTTACTCTTAAGATGTTAATTCTTCCCTAACCTTATCTTTGACATACTATATTCAGGTTCTTTCAAGAATTCGGAAATACCTCCAGATAATTGGTAATAAAATTGGAGAGATCGTTGATCAACATAGTGAATCATATAAGCAATCACGTAAGTGCCTTATAGCTTCTACCTTGTTTATAACCTGATGTATGTAAAATCGAAGCAGCTGTCTTCTGCAATTACATTCTCAGGGTTACTCTGATTAACGTTGGGTACAAAACCTTCGTGTATATCTTGATCTTTAAAAGATAGTGTAAATAATTGTGGTGTTTGCAGGTATGGCAATGAGGTTGTGGAACTATGTGGCAAACTTTTCAAGTATGTCCGGGGAGCAATTGCACGACCTCTATTTAAAACTTAGTCAGGACCAAATGGAAGCTGGAGTAGGTCCGTCACATGGTGGGAATTTTGCATCAGTCCCTCCCAACAGGGGGCCTAAATCAAATCAGCTCCATCCTTCCAGAAACCAAAGGTCAACAAGGTCTGTCCAGTACGTCTCTGAGTCTTTCAACAATGGTGAAAACACTGGGAATTCTGAAGCCTGGAAGCGACGGAGAAGATCTGAGCCTGATAATCAATTTGATAACCAACCTTTGTATCAGGCTCCTCCAATCATGACAAATGGAAACAGGTTACAGGAATCTAGCAGTTCTGCTGGTATTCTTGGTTGGGCTCCGGTTGAAATGAGACGATACGGCAATGAAAGACCAAAAAGAGGTGTTCATCCCAGTCGTTTTCCACCCGGGCATGGGCCTTTGCTGTAGTTGTTCAAGTGAACAATGTTGTCACTTAAAGCAGCATCGCTCCAAGGAAATATCAGCTTCTAGCATGCCGCACATGTAAAAATGGGGGAAGACCGTTCAATTGAAATTCTTTTTGAAGAAAAAAAAATAATGAAGTGCTGGAACCTGATGTGGACCACAGTTTTGAATCCGAGTCTAAAAGAAATGCCAGGGGTTGCTGAGGAGATGCTGGCACCTTTAGCAGATGTACACACACAAGATTCTTCTGACATTGAAAAAAAAACTTGAGGCAAGAGGAAGAGTCTAGAAAATTTTGTCGGTCAGTTTTGTGATCTAATAGAAGAATATTTCAGTTGGGATGTTTTAAGAAAGTTCATCTCAGCAATGATCTATATAGTTCAACATCAATACATGTATGATCTTTTTAAGTTGCAATATAATGAATTATGGTTTAGTTGCCCATTTTTACTACCCGCCTCTCTCATCTGTGCAACATATATTGTCTTGATGTAACAAAGCAAATGAAATGTAACTCAGCAGCAGGATGCCGTGGGCATAGGACAGTATTGAAACACTTGTTTGACATGATTTTTCTGTAAATAGAGGTGGAATCATAACTTGGCGATTGGGCCACAGATGGGTGATGGTTGTGTGCTTGTGTGGTAACCTTCCCCCCCCCCCCCCCCCCTAGTGCTTTTTGGTGAGTGTGCACATCATGCTCGTATATTTAAGACATAACTGTGTTTTTTATTTTTTCTTGCATTTCATTGCACTCTGTATTTACAGAACCCATGGGACCACCGAACTGGATAGAAGTTCTGTTACTGGAGATGTTTCCTGCTATACTTGCTGCCCTGTTGTTTAGTTCTAGTTTTGATCTCACTGATTTGTTTATTTCATTTTTGCAGTTATCATCTGCAGAATAGGCGCCTGTTTTGGTCATGGGGATTCACGAGCAAAGACCGAAATACTACTATATGTGTAGCAGGTCTAAATTAAGTACTGAAGCACATTGGGCAATGCTGATAGTTTTGTATTGTAACGTGGAAGTATTTTGAGCCTTTCATGGAAAGACAAATTTTACACTTTCTCCGTTTCACAATGTAAGAATTTTTAGTATTGTTCATATTTATTTAGATGTATGTGTCTAGATTCATTATCTATATGTATGTGGGCAATGCTAGAAAGTCTTACATTGTGAAACGGAGGGAGTACCCAATAATGTGATGATTTTTTACTATAGATGAATACTCCCTTCGTTTTCGTTTTATAAGACGTTTTGACTTTAGTCAAAGCCAAACTATTTCAAGTTTGACTAAGATTATAGAAAGATATAGTAATATTTATAATATTAAATTAGTTTCATCAAATCAATAATTGAATATATTTTCATAATAAATTTGTCATGGGTTGAAAATGTTACTACTATTTTTTTTTACAAACTTGATCAAATTTAAAGCAGTCAAAACGTCTTATAACCTGAAATGGAGGTAGTATCATGGTGTAATTGAGGATTTCGGCACAACAATGACATGTATGCTGAGATTCAGACGAGATTCCCTGTGATGTTTTTATACACGTGTTCTTATGACCAGTTCAGAATTCGTTGTAGAATTATCTGATCTAATCTAATTCTGAAATCGAAGCAATCACATCAATACTACCAGCGATAAAAACGAAAACTAGAGGGCTTTACGTTTGACTTCAACATATGGCAGAGATACAAAAACTCGTAAAGGATAAGAATTCAGAAGTGCCAAATTCCTTGATGGTTAACGTTATAATCACATTAAAACAGCACGGAACTCGGCGAGATATTTTTGCTCACTGATTGAAAGGTGAAAGGGATGTATGATGTTTGATAGGTTTATAACTTTGTACCTTTGCTACAACTATCTTCAACCCCTGCAATTCCTTATCCCCCCTTCTGCTTAGAGCTATGTGAGATCCAAATTTCCAGGTACTCCATAAAAATGGCCAAAGTTCTACACTACTAAAGCAACAAGAGCAAGGGCACTTCCCAATTATCCCCAACGTAAGGCTCTCTACCCTGTTGAATTCTCTGCTTTATTTTGCTTAGTCTGTTAGTTTTTCTGTTTCATTTTGCTGCAAAATAAATTTTTTTTAAAAAAACTCTCGCTTAGAATTTGGAGCACTGTATATCAGCTTCTCCTAGCTTGTGCTGGTATCAGATGGAAATGATCATAAGCTAACGATTTTCTGTTCTTCCCTAGTTCGTTTCTAGCTCTTTTTGGTGTGATTTGATGGTGCTTTGGAGGGTGGAGGTGTTCGTGTTGGAGATGGTGTGGGTGATGCTCAGCGGCTGGCTCTCCTCCTGCCTCGCCGTCGCCGACTACGTCGCCACGGCGCTCAGGCAGAGTGGTGACGACGTCTCCGGCTAGAATTTCTTTGGACGAACTGGATATAAATCATCTTCCATGCCTGCATTTGTTGTTTGGTTTCTTTGTGTGTTTGTGAGCATTTATACACATTGCAATTGTGTATATATCCGAATGTTATTTTAATTTTTTTTTGTACGACATGATTTGAGGCAAATTAAAATAGATTGCAATGGATATTTCTCAAATTATCTCAACTGGTCGGTCAGTAGAAGACTAGATTACTTCCAAAGAGCTAAGAATATAGATATGTCATCGTCTTCTTGATTTCTTCAAGGACCTTGATCTACTGGAAACAGGAGCCTCCTCCACCTCTTCCTCATCATCTTCCATCCTTCTACGCATCCTCTTGTGGTAACCACTCTCGTTCATTGTCTAACAGAATCAAAGATTCAAAAAATGATACTCCAGTTAATATCAATCCAGGGAAGAAAAACATAATATAAACAAATGAGAGTTGTCGATTAAAACAAGGAAACTGATACTGTTGAACGGTGAACATCCGTACAGAATTTTATATCACCAAAAGTGATCAGAAGCCTAACAAAGTAGCAGCTACAATTTGGGGTGAGGTAGAAAATTAGTACTTCCTCCGTCTCATAATATAAGACTTTCTAGCATTGTCCATATTCATATATAATATGAGCAATGCTAGAAAGTCTTATATTATAAAACGGAGGAAGTATGTACCTTCAATGCGATTCTCTTTGAGTCGTATATGCGCTCATGAAGTATCATTATTTCATCTGCATCAACCTTGCGAGCCGGGATTTCTTCACCTGCCCAAATACAGAAAGTATGTTTCGAAATGGCCTTATTTACGTGCTGGCACTGGCAGTATGCAGTAAAAGTACTCAAAAAGAAAAATTGTTACCCCCAAGGAACTGCTCGGTTAGCTTGAAAAATTCGCCCTCAAATTGATTCACCAAAGACACAGCATATCCTGATTGCCCTGCACGTGCAGTCCTGCCCACCCGATGAATGTAATCCTGCATTTTGGTGCAGCATTAGGATTTAAACCACAACAAGTATGAAAAAGGAAATCCTAAATGCATCATCTCGGTGCAGCATATGGGAAAAATATTCGCGTTTTGCAATGATCAGGTAAGAACACTGAAATTATAAAGTTGGAACCTTAGAGTTCAGTGGGAAATCGTAATTGATGACCACATCAACTCCTTGAATATCGAGACCACGGCTTGCTACATCCGTGCAAACAAGGATATTGCAATCTCTGGTCCTAAACCTGTTTAAAGCACCTAGTCTCTTATCCTGGCCACAAAGTTATGACTTAGAAAAATAAATTTAAGGGATCATTTCTGCCTCCTAAACCAACTAAAATGAAAGAATCAAGCACTTTTGAATATCTGAGTGAGTAAACCTGACTCATTTGGCCGCTGATAGAAATAGCTTTAAATCGAAGGTTTCTGAGCATAAGAGCAAGGAGCCTTGTTGACTCGCAGGTCCGGACAAAGACCATGATCATGCTCCCTGGCATCTTGTTCAGAACATGAATAAGATAACAATCCTGAAATTTGCATACAACAGAAAAGGTGAAACAGCAATGAAAGATAAAATGATTTGAACAATGAAACATAATTTGTGACATTATTTATTAAAGTTGCATGGACTGTAAAATCATGTATGCAGCATGTAATAGCAACATCAAACATATAGGCACAGTATAGATCAAATAAGAGGTGCAAGTGACCTTGTACTTTGCAGGAACAACATATAAGTCCTGTCTAAGTGTGTCCACCAAGGAATATTTGGAGGCTACTTCAACCTGATTAAAAAAAAAGCTCAAGGCCCATTAATAAATAATAAGATAGCACTTTCCTTTAATATTATTTCAAATAAATGCTCTTGAGACAAAGAAGGAACCACCTTAACAGGATTCTTTAGGCAAGCACGTCGCAGTTTTTTCACCTGCAGGACCGAAAAAAATTTGTCACACGACCAGTAGTAGCTAAAAGGGTTATATAGATATGACATTTAAGTAGTCCTAGAAAATTTATAAGAGCACAAAATCAATCCAATATGGTATTCTCACTATCTCAGGAATGTCTAAGTACGTGTGATTAATAATCACTCCAAGCAGTGACCCACGTCATTCTGATAAATGATGGACAACCAGCAATGTTTAATCTTTTGGTTCACATTCAGAGGAAGCATAAAATCAGTATTTCCATCACAAACGTCCATAACTTTTTTATATGGTCTTAACAGAAAAGCAGAGCTCCTGCTAATAACATAAATAAATAAAGCTCCTATCTGCCAACCTTTTCAGTCATCGTGGCTGAAAAGAGGAAAGTTCTCCGTTCTTTAGGAATAACATTAAGGATATCATCGACGGCTTTCTGAAAGTCCACTTTAAGTAAATCATCAGCTTCATCCAGTACCTAGCAAAACCAAAAGATATGCATAAAGGTGATAAAAAATAGTGGGTTATATTGCGATGGCCCAACAGGCATATGTGTTACATATATAGTACAAGGATTGGACACATCCAAATCCTCGATTACAAATATTAATACCAGGAATACTACTGCACCGTCTCAACAAAATATTCCTAACTATAAATATCCAACAGAAAAGACCAAATTCTGAAAAATACTTACCAAGTACTTCAATTTATTAAAACTGAAACCTTTTGTATTGGTCAAATGGTCCAAAAGGCGCCCAGGAGTTCCAACCTAGGAAACATAATCAAGCTTAGTTGAGATGAAGAAATATTACATGATATCAGATTTACGAGTTTTCACTAAGAGGGATAATAACTGTGCTAAAGTTCCAGTACCAAGTGATTGTTTTTTTTTTTTCGCGAACGTGTAAAAGGATTGCACGTTAATATATTAGAAGAAAGCAGAGTTCCATTTACACATCGCAACCAGCCAGAAGGCCATTGCTGGGGGACCAAGGGGAAAAAAAAAGGAAACAAACTAAAACTAAAATGAAACGTTACTCCTATATTGAAGGAGGGTGGTGGCGGAGTCCCCACTACACTCCCAACAGGCCCCCAAAAAGCGCCGCGCTAGCGGCTGACTACATACAGCCTTCCAGCAAAATGGGCTACAGAACCACTGAAACCGACAAGAGAGAGTAATCGAACACCCTCGAGTTCCGCTCCTTCCAGAGCTGCCAAGAGTCGAAGCCCTTGCGAAGATGCTCAGGCAGGCAGGCCCTAGAAGACCGCCACCAAACCTGAAGTGATTGGTAAATTTGTTAAACTATACTCACCACAACATGTGGACGTTTTGCAAGGGATATGGTTTGGCTTGTCCGAGGAATTCCACCAATCAGCTGAGGAAAGAAAAATCATCAATAGAAAAGTGATTATAGCAAGAAGTAATAGATACTCTCTTTGAAGAGAGTAAGAGACTCTCTTTGATCAGCACTAGCATGTCTGTTGATCACCAAAGGAACATCATATAATGCATCTAATAACTGAAATTCTTTGAACTTTTACTGAGCAAGACAACCTGCTGCTGCGCTAAGTGTTTTTTTTCCACAACATTTAAACACGTTGTCAAAAAAACACTAGTAAGTCAGAGAAGCAAGAGCATCCATAAATTTACAATGCTGGGTTAGCTACGGGAACTAAAAAATTAGTAGTGATTAGACGATACGGCAATATACCACTGAACATTGCAAGCTGATCGCTGATCCGAGCGCCTCAAACTGCTTCGCAATCTGAATCGCCAGCTCCCTGAAGAACCACCAAAGCCGCAGTCCAGAATCACACACACATTCACAATAACAGAGCAATCAAATCGTCCCAGGAAAGGGAAAAAAAAAAGAAGCAGAGATAGAAAAATTTAGCAAACCTCGTGGGCGCAAGCACGCAGGCGAAGAAGCACGGGCGGTGCTCGTGCTCGAGCAGCGCCTGGATGATCGGCAGCGCGAACGCCGCCGTCTTCCCCGACCCCGTCTGCCCCACGCCGATCACGTCCCTCCCTACACATCCAATCAATCAACCAGTAAGGATTTAGCCAGCAAACTAGTACTCACCGTCGATCTCCATTGCCCAATTCGCTGCAAACCTTGGAGGGCGAAGGGGATGACCTCCGCCTGGATCCTCGTGGGCGCCTTCCACCCCATGGCGTCGCACGCCTCACCAGCACCGGGCAAACCCCGAGCTCCGCGAACGTCGTCGGCGCCTCCGACTCCACCTCCACCTCCTCTCCCATGGCTTCACGACGCTCCTCCACCTCTTCCCCCATGGCTTCGCGCGAGGCAATCTCCACCTCCACGCGCGCGCGGGCGGCGAAGCGGCTGGGTTTAGGGCGAGAAAAAAAAAAGAGAAAAAAAGAAGAAGAAGAAAGTAGTAATTGAGAAAGATCTCGCTGCAGCCTGCAGGGTTGCATGATGAACTTGGAAGATGGAGGCCCACTTCACAGGAAGGCTCATCAAGTAATGGGCCTCAAGAGAAACAAAGCTGATAATTTTTTTAGATTGTTTTACAGATTTTTTAATTTTTTTTCTAATATAAAAAGAGTGTTAATTGGATCCATACCATTACAAATTTGCCCATCTAAAAAAATACCATTACTATTTGTTGCTCTACTATTTTAAAATTGGAACTGTGTCATTCTGTCACAGTTTCTGTCAACACATGACGGAGTGGTACAGTTCCAATTTTATAAGAGTAGAGTGGCATCCGACTGATTTGACGAATAGAAATATTATTTTTCTAAATAAGTGAATTTGTAATGGCATGTGTCTAATTAACCCTAAAAAGAAATAAGCCAATCTTGAGATATATTTTAATGTTTAAATAACTACCAATGATTATGTTGGGGTTTTTTTTAGAAAATACAAAAAATTATCAAATTATGATTTCCCTATTTTAGAATTTTTGTGTTGAAATGTTTTTATATGCCATGCTCATGAGCTAATCATGTTATTATCGGAGATGGATATCTGGTATCTACCTCAACTTCACATATCACAAGTACAATGGACCATAATCTCTTCAAGATCCAGCTTATCCAAGTCCTAATCCTTCTTGTATCATTGCTGCTGTCTACTTGCCTTCCATGAATGATCCTTTGTTGCTGTGAACGAGCTAGATAGCTACATACCATCTTTCTGGTTAGTTATCGTCTACTTGTCTTAGAATATCGCAACACCAATCATACCTCTGCTCCTGTTGCTTACTTCTTGGATCATCATGTTGTCCCCGTTTAAAATCTCCATCTCACAATTGCAGTAATGAAAACCGAGAGTAGTTTACGGATCAGAACAAGGAGAAGTGTATGGATTAAGGGTCGCTGAAGCAGCATCAAGCAGAGAAATCGGTATCAGGTAACATAATGACACTGATGACAGATGAGCTGAATGAAGTTCATGTTGCTACTAAACGAATAATGAGAAGGCATGGAACACCATGATGTTGTGTACAGTTTGATGAGAGCTATGTGAAAATTAGCCTAGTTCAGTTGATTGATTGATCATTTGATGCGCCTGGCTAATTAACATTCAGAAAGTTGGACTGAACTGAACTCTGAACAAGCTGGCTGACTTCAGCCATGCATGCATTTCTTGGCAAATTTTCTCTGCAATTTATCCCCGTTATGTGAGCTGTAATTAGATCATGGCCAGAGACCGGACAATGATAACAGATAGCTCATCTTTCTCTGAAGAACCAGCAGCAGATTGGATCTCCTTATCAGACTGTCTTTCAGAATTGGTTAGCCTTGCAGATGTACTAAATGACTTGCTGGGACATGTTGAATTGTTTATGAGCAGCATATTTATATGCATGATTGCATTGCATCAGAGACCTCACATCACTTGGTAGTTGGTACCTTTAATTTGGTTGGAATGACATTTCTGTCCCAGTAAAATATGATTAACAAGAACAGTCTGAAAGTTTTTTCTTCACCTTTTTGAGAACTCTGCAAGAGGAATTATTCAGGATGACAGACTGACAGTAGGACACTGCTTGATCGCTTTCAGATGCTATATGCTCCTATCTTGAGACTGAAGATAAGTGGGAGAAAAACAGCGTATTTTCTTGGATTAATAACTTAATTCCATTACCTACCACTTAATGTCTAGTGTTGAGTGGAACTAAAGTATGGTCCTTAGCTGCATCTTTCGGTTCCTGTGGCTTTACTTACAAGGCATGACTCTGGTTTGTTCCAAACCTGTGGCTTACTCTTTTCACAAGTCAAAATGTTTTTCCCCCTGTAAGATGTATGTTTTGCCTTCTTACATTGATCACTTCTGGGTTAGATGGATATGTTATATTCAGAGAAAACATGTGCTCCCTCTGGTTTTTAATTTTGACAATGTTTACTTTTAAACATATGTTTGACAATTCGTCTTATTCAAAAATATTGTGCAAGTATATAAATCATGCTTAAAATACTTTCAATAATAACATAAATGATAATTACATATTTTTTTAATAAGATGAATGTAACTATGTATGTCCAAAAATCAACGACGTCAAACATTTAAAACCAGAGGGAGTACAAGGTTTCCACAAAAGTATCTAAGGGATTTTCCTTTCTTATTGACAAATATGTTTGTGCTATACGTTGTTCAACATAGTACTTTTAGTCTTTTAGATAAGGGTAATTTTATTATCTTGAAGAAGGTACCAAGATGTACCACATTTTCTAGTGTAAAAATTTGATAACTTCAGGTACTAAAGTTTTAGCGTAAAATTTAGGTAATTCAAGGTACTTTCTCAAGAACTATAAAATTTCTCTTTAGATAATGGAAGAGTTGTTCTTTCTAGTGTTTTTGAGCTTGGTAAAATGGATCATTTTTTAACGACTTCTATTCTATCTCTATAATTTATAAGAAATTGCCAATAAAGATCACAATGTTAAATATATTTGATGTTTCCAATCTAAAAATGAATTGTTCTAATCTCCAGGGAGATAATACTAAGATAATGGTTGAAGAATACTCTCAACTCTCAACGCCACAAAACCTGAAACGGACAGTTAACATTAGCTTACGTCATGGGATATAATATGCTCTTGTTCCGGCTTTTGGAAAAAAGTCTAACGAACGCAACCGCGTGAAATGACCAAATAAACTTGTTCAACAGAAACAACAAAACAGCAGGCGAGGCATTTGCTGCAGTTTTTCTCTTGTTTTTATTTTAGGTGTAGTAGTATCAGTTTGGTAGGCATCGTTGACGCCTTTAGATCTTCCAGCTATTTCTGAATCATCACACCCTGCACGTTAAAAGTTCAGATATTTTCTTTCTCCCTTTCATATATTCTTTGGAGCTCCTGCAACTGAACTCAACGAATTTCAAAAACCATAAATTCAGTTTGGATCAAACTCTAGTAATTAAACGAAATACCAAATCAAGAAAGTTGTCCGGCGAAAAAAAAACAAATCAAGAAAGTTCTCTGAATTTGAATTTGCCCGAAGAACAAAGAGTACCATTCTCAAATTATATCCGTACTCCAGCTGCCATGTGCCAACTATTCACCATCGATCTTAATACAAAAGATACGCGCTTTGCAAATTCGCGAAAAAAACTATTCACCGTTAAATCTATAAAATGATAAAATTAGCAACTCATCAATTCGATCGATCTATCATCATTCAGTAGCATTTATAAAGACCAGCTCAGATGCCAGTAAGATAAGGGGCCCAAAAAGAAGAATTATGGGAGTTTGATGCTATCCTTCTTTGGTCCATGTCCATAGTTCAGTAAACCAAACTGCATGATTTGCATTCAGTTCTTCAGCTTTCCATGTCCCCTACTTGAGCTCATTTTCCTCCATTCTTTGCCACTGTGTGGGATCTCATGTTCCTCAAACTGCAGACATGAAGTACTTCGAAACTTTATGCACGTGATCTGAACAGTGTTCTGCCATGGATAATTCAGGGTTTCAGAACATAGATTTCCATGCCCTGTCTGTACAATTCTACAGTCTTTCAGTGAAGTTATAATTGTCCTTGATTGGAAATGGAACAGTTTTTTTTTCGCGAAGAAATGGAGCAGTAGTCGTGCTATGCTTTTACTCCCTCCGTCCTATAATATAACAATCTAGAACCGGATGAGAGATATGTCCAGATTCGTTGTACTATAAAATGTCTTATCCGATTCTAGATTACCATATTATGGGTCAGAGGGAGTATGTTGTTTAACAAAGATTATGGATAAAAAGAAAGAATCATTTTCAGTCATCTATTGGTCAAATATTAAATTGCTTGGATTCTCCTTCGAAGCATCTGATTGGTTGAAAATACTAAAATTCTCAAGCATAAAATTAGTGTCTAGAAATGCTTATATTGCGTATAAAATTTGAATCCTAAATGTTTGAGAGTGGAGATAGCACCGTTTGCTTAGCAACCTATGAATAGAATATGGTTCACATAAAAAAGAAAGATAAAAAGCGGAGGAAATATGGTAGAGGAGGAAAATGACAGCCTCTCGTTCAGGTTGACCATGACACGTTCAGGAACCTTCTTTCCGGTTGTACAAACCAGTCTATTCACAGCCAACAAAACTAACAAAATGAACAAACAAATTCTTCAGAATTAAGAAAAGAAACGGCAAAAATGTTACTATTCCAGCTCAAAACAGGCTAAACAGAATTGAGTACCTACTCCCTCTGAACCTGTAATAACTGATTAACTGAGAATTGTTAATTACCAAGAATTACCAGTCCTAAAGCTACTATACAACTCAACATCAAGCAGGAAAAAAAATAACAACCTCTGAAAAAGGAAAAAAGAAACAAGAACAAGAAAACTGTCAAAAGTTCAGCTTAATCAGAAGAAAATATATATACGCATCCACTAAACCCCCACGTTCACGGCTAATTCCATTCTCGCTTTCCCCCAATTCGCTTTCTTTTCCCCCTTTCCTCGCCTCTCCGCAACCGCCATTGCCAAGAACCTCACCTCGTCTTCTCCTCCTTCTTCTTCTTCGGCGGCGGCGATGGAGGACGGCTGCAGCAAGGTTGTGAGCGGTGGTGGGAGCGGGAGCTGCGGCGGCGGCGCCAAGAAGCCGTTCCACTTCGCGCGGTCGCTGACATACCACCACCACCAGGGGCACCGGGTGCTGCCGCCGGCGGCGAAGTGGAGGCGGCACCAGCTCGCCGACGAGCCGCGAGCGCGGCCCAAGGACGTGGTGCTGTACACGACGTCGCTGCGCGGGGTGCGGCGCACGTTCGCGGACTGCTCCTCGGTGCGCGCCATCCTGCGGGGGTTCCGCGTCGCCGTCGACGAGCGCGACGTGTCCATGGACGCCGCGTTCCGCCGCGAGCTGCGGTCCCTGCTCGACGCGCGCGGCCGCGCCTTCTCGCTCCCGCAGCTGCTGGTCGGCGGCCGGCTCGTGGGCGGCGCCGACGAGGTCAAGCAGCTCCACGAGAGCGGCCAGCTGCGGCGCCTCCTCGACGGCGCCGCCGGCCAGGACCCGGCCTACGTCTGCGACGGCTGCGGCGGCGTCCGCTTCGTCCCCTGCACCGCCTGCGGCGGCGGCCGCAAGGTGTTCGTCGAGGAGGAGGATCGCGTGCAGCGCTGCGGCGATTGCAACGAGAACGGATTGGTACGCTGCCCTAATTGCTGTTCTTGATCGCCAAAAAACACATGATCTTTCCAATTCAATTCGAGCTGCTAATTACTAAAGGATTAGAGGCTTTAGAATCAAGAACAGAGGCGCCTTTCGGTTTCTGGGTGTGATTTGTGTTCATCCGATTCATTTGGGGGATTGGATTTGCTGCTCATGGATGAGAGAACGAATTGTTCTTGACTCCTTGATGCAAAAATTGCCATGAGGTGTGGCGATTGAAAAAAAATTAATAAGAGCCGATGGCTGCATGTATGTATTGTATGTAATATATATGGGAGATTGTCACTGATATTAACATGTAAATACATGAGTTTGGGTTGTGTATAGTTCTTGATTATCCTCATCTTTTTCCTTGCCTGAACTCATCCTATGACCTGTGAGTTGTGACTTGTTCTTATTGAATTTCTTACTGAATAGATGACTCTACAATTCAAAACAATGCGTTATGGAAATGATCCAACTGTACTAACTTAAAGCTCCTTAGTTGTAATCATGTTCTCCTTTGGCTATTCTCTAAATTGGAGTTTAACTTTTCGACTTTTTGTTTCTTTATTGAAGTGCACTGTATTTGAATTTGGCTTTGAACCAGTAGACCCCACTCCCATCCCCACATAGTTTTTGAGAAGTTTTGGGGAGTTCTTTTATCTATTCATCGATTGCATTCAGAAGAACTTTTTAGTGATGCAACTAGAAGCTCTTTGGGGTCAATACATTGGTGTTACTCGCCAATTGAAATCTTAAGCCTAATTGTAGAGCAGATAATGCTTGGACTACAGAATTAGGTAGTAGCAAGATGCATACATGTTGGTTTGTTTCTGTTTCTGCACTCGCACATGGATGGAAGAAGGATCAAAGCCAAAAATAAATGCACGAAGAGATACTTCTTGTTTTTCTCACTGCATAAAATTTCCTCTTTTTTGTCCATTCATTTTATTGATGAAGTGTATTACCTGAGTAGTTCTTGGGTCAAGTTATTTGACTAGCAAGGATGTTTTATGTTGGAGCATCTTCAATAAAAAAGAGTAAATTTCACAAAACTACATATTTTGTGGTCCAAGTTGCAAAAAACCACACGCACTTTGACACTTGGCACTTGAGTACATATATTTTGGTCGTGTAGTTTCACAAAACTACACTATCGATGTATAGATTCACCCGCGAGATGATGTGGCTGTTTCACCTAGGACGAGGACATGGCATCCTATTACCAGCCATCGCACGAAATTAATATGATGCCACGTCCTCATACTAGATGAAACAACAACGTCGTCATATCACAAGTGAATCCATTCATCGATAGTGTGGTTTTGTGAAACTAAACTACCAAAATATATGTACTTAAGTGCCAAGTGTCAAAATATGTGTGGTTTTCTGCAACTTAAACCATAAAATATGTAGTTTTGTGAAATTTACTCAATAAAAAATCAGAATAACTGTCACTAGCAAGAAAATGTAGAAATGCTGCTCTCAGTATCACTGTGTTTGTCAGTCTCATGAGATATCATCCACCCTCCATCACTGTGATCTGTTACCAATTTCCTGGACGAATCTGTCCAGTGATTTGGAATCTGAATCTGAATCTGAATTGCTCGGGGATTCTGCTGACATCACCGGCAAACAATGGTAGCCTGACATAGATTGGAGTCTCATACCGAGGTGGTAGCTGCACCATGGACATCAGATCAAAGGTTTCCCTTGCCATTTGGGGAGGGATTACCGCTACCTGAAGGTATCATAGTTATCGCGGTAACCTCCCAATTATCTAAAAATCAAGAGGGTTAACGTGCGAGGTTACCACTAACCAACGAGTTCAGAGCAAAGCAAACAAGAGATTTGTCTGGAACTGTACAATCTACCACTGCGTACACCAGTACAGGGGCTTTCAGCGAGATGATCATCCATACAAAAATTACAGGAAGAGTGGCAGGCTGGCAGCTGCTAGCTAGATTAGTGTCAGAGCAATTCGTTTATGAATGCATTACAATCATTTCGTACTGGAGAGATTCATACAGCGTTCATGGGTACTGAAACTGAAACAAGCAGCCGCACTGAGATGTTTGCTCCTTCCAAATCTCAAAACATTTCCTTCGTTGAAATAATCCAACTGAACTAACTTAAAGCTCCTTAACTGTAATCAAAGTGCACTAAACCTGCAAATGTAGCTCTGTAACCAACAGTCATCACAAAAGTGCACTAGTAAATATGTTCTTTATAACAATTATTCAAGGGCATGAACGAATTAATTATATATTAGAAAGTTGATTTAAAAGGTTCTTTAAGAAATGTCAATGGAAAAAATTTACAAAAAAAAAACATACATTTAGGAGCTTAGGAAGCATGCAGTTCCACTAGACTGCAAGATAAGGACTGCACATGATGTTGGTCATCTATTTTTCCTATGGAGGGTTTAGATTTAAAGCTACAGTCAGTAAAAGTGAAGATTTTTTTTGGCTTGGATAATAACTTGGATGATCTGACCGTTGAATTTTCATCGGATGGTCCTAGTGTGCACTAGGGACTGCAGGTGAACCGAATCCATGCCCGTGACAATCCATAATCCATAAGCAGAAAAGGATGACTTCTCGTTCAGAAAAAAAAAAAGATGGATGAAACTATTATATGTTCCTTGCATTGATCATCCAGCACGTCGTCGTCCTGAGCAAGCTGCCTTCATTTTCCAGGACATGGGTGCGGAAGCTCGGCGATTCTGCTGGCATCCGAGCTCGCACGGTTGCACAAATAAACTCTTCATTGTTCACGTGCCCCTCTTGCTGTACATGTTGACAATTTGGCATGGCGCACAAGTTGACCAATTTGCTCGCCATTGTCAGGCTCGATGCAATCTCGAATTCAAATGTTCATCAAATCCCTCCTCAACCAGTTTACGGCATATGCAGTGTCCACAAATCAACATACATGCACGAATTTCAGAGAAAAGGTGTTCAAATTTACAGCTGAACATGTAGTAGTAGGAGCAAATGCAGGTTTGGCAGGGGTACATTTCCGGCAAAACAATGGTGGCCTGACATAGATTTGAATCATACAAAGGGGAGAGCTACATCATTTACATTTGGCAGAGTCACCATCAGAAGATTCGCCAGATTGGCTAATTCTTGGAGAAGTTAAGAGCAAAGAAGAGATTTGCCTTCAATTCTACTACATCAGTGCCACGAGACAATCATCCATACAAAATGTTCCTGAACCACTAGAAGAAGAATGGCAGCTGGTAGCTAAGACAGTCTACAATCTTACAAGGTCCTGCCTAGCTAGTTCCCGGAGCAATTCGCTTACGCATTAATCCCATTTCACCCTGGAAATTCAAGAATCAAGATCCATGTCGCAATCAAACTAACAGTCGCAACGAGAAGTTAGAGATGTTGTGATTCACTGCTCCTTCCAAATCCTTCCGGTGACACGCAGTTTGAGCTCCTTCTTGTCGCCACCGGAGAAGAACAAGGCCATGTTCCGCTGGATGATAAGGCCGTCGTAGCTGTCCCGAACTTTCCTGTGACTGTCTCTGATGCTTCGGGGGACGCCTTGCCAGGTCATCTTCCGACCACTGCCTCCGACCTCCAGGCTGTAGCTATAGTTCTTGGCTTCTGCATCATCTCCCATGAACCGTAGGAAGGCGATGTAGACAGGTGCCATGCCCAACTGGAATGCCTCAAAGTGCAGGCAAAAGTACTGGCCGAAACAGCTGAAAACCTGGATAGAGAATCCACATTTAGTTATAGCATACTTATCACCGTGGAGAATAAAAGAGAAGTTAAAAGATTCAAAACAGTTGTACAATCATGTTCTAACCAGGAAATGATGAATTGAAGATAGCAACTTGGCAGTTTGCCAGTGTTGCAATATCCAATTTAACCAAGCTAGTAAGCATGCACTTATCGAACAAACAGAAATTCATATTTTACGTTTACGAAAAAAATATCTAACACGAGAACTTTGCAGAATTCATGGAGTGTAAACAACAGTTGGAAAGCATTGACATACTAACTAGTATACATGTCAATCAAAATTTGTATGTGCAACCTAGTAACATGAACATTGTGAGGTGTTCTTTTCATAAATTACAGAGCACTGAGAAAATTACCGTGAGCATCCAGGTAGCATTCTCAACTTCATGAGGATTTGATTTGACATAACGGTGATTGAAGGTGCTTCCGTTGTGCATGTCAACCTTATGATCATCTTTCAAGTGACTTACTAGATACTGAATGTCACCAGCAACAGTGCATTCAGATCCAGCATATGGGCAAGTATAGGGCCTGTATTGGCACTGTGACTCATGCTTCAGCTTGCAGTAATAAGGATATATGCCCAAGCACCCAAAGTTCTGATATTTGCATGGAAGCTCTAGTGATGCAGCTACCTTTTCCAGAGCAAGGCATCTTATGTTACCCAATTCATGTCTGCAAGTTGGGCAGCGGTTGTGAACCCTGGGCTTGCATCCGGAACATAGAGTATGACCATTGGAGCACTACACACAGTGATGGAAATATTGTTAAGGAATGTGCTTACATATTCAATTTGCTCTTCAGGGTTAATGAATGTACAGTTTTCAGAACACTTGGGCTTCATAAAAATATCGAACTGAAACCTATGTTAGCTCAACCTAAATTAAAGCTAAAATAACATTTTTACTCCAAGTCCCTAGGCAGTGTTTGGCAAATGTCTAATGGAAATGATTTCCCACCCATCTTTAAATCCTAACCATTCATTCTCCCCCATCCATTTAATCCTAACCCTTCATTCATTTCCCAATCCCAATCCCACCTCTCATTTCCCATTATCCAAACACACCCCTACTGTATACCAGATACAAGCATGCCAAAAGCCTATAACTATGCTAGCATAATGTCACTGGATGGTTCAGATAAATGTAATGTAAGTGTAGTTAAGAGTTTGGTAACAAGGTGTACCTGATGAATTGGAGGATACATGGCATTTAGACACACAGGGCATTCCAGTAGCTCACGCACATTGCCAGAGACCATCGCATTCGGTTTTGGTGAATGCTGGGTGTGATCATCAACAAGTTCAGTAACATCCAGCATCTCCTCGTTCTTTGGAGGATCGATAACTTCAGAATGGGCATCATCAAGATAAGTAACTGATGCCATGGACAAGCCTATAGATATAGAATCCCTGTATAAACGAAAAAAGAGAGAATTTATTTCCAGTGGTTAAAGGAAAGATAATAAGGTAGAAGTGCATGTTTGCTCATCAAAAAATCGTCGCCAAACTAAATTTCCTTGCCTTCCCTTTGGAACTCAGAGCAAAACTATTTTTTTAACCCCTAAGGCAGTCATAAGACAAACAAACCAAACTTGAAGGCTTTATGAGCTCACACAGACTTCATATGAAATTGGATTGGAGAAGTACATGTATACTCCTAAGCATTGCAAAAACATGTCCATTTTACACACTGAACAACTGGTTGTTTAGAACCATAAACTTACAAAATTGAGTCAATTACATCCTATAGTGGTTTTGGACTATGGTTTTGGTAGATAGATGAAACTCATGATAGATTTGCAGCCATGGCCTGTCTCTTTTTCAGTTAGTTGGTCGGCGGTTCTAGGTACAAACAACTACTGCTTGACTGTAAAGACCACAGCTCTAAGAGGAGGAAAGCCGGTAGTGGAGGCGAATTATGCATTTGCAGATAAGGAATGGGAAAAGGGGAGTCACTTCTATCAAACTCCACTACACCTTGTATTGCACACAAAGCTGAAACTACTTACAGCAGCACTGAACAACAGAAACAACAAGAGTAGGGCAGAGGGCAGTTCATCATCACAATGTGGCATCTTTCCTCCTTGTGTAATGATGAATTGCTAGTATAAACAGTACCTATGATTATTGCTAATTCAAAGAAACCATGATGCTGGCAGTTGCAAAGCGTAAACAGTGGAGCAAGGAAATTACTACGAATCTCTGATATTGGAAAGACATAATCATAGACATAGCTCCCTTACATCATGGACACCTCAGAGCTAGAAGCAGGAACATCAGGTTGAGCCCATAACAACTTAATATCAAAATGCACAGTATCTCGAGCTAAGTGCCTAAAATAGCAGTAAAAAGAAAGAACATGATTCTTTTGTATAGAATCGGTTCGACCCACACGGTTGAAGCTTCGAATAAGAGAAGAAATATTCACAAATGCTTGGTCAAGATATGCCAAGAATGAGATGGATCAATCATCTAAAATTGCAGCTTTCCTAGTAAGAAGTCCAGTACATATACATCACTGATGGGGAAAACCATTTACTTGACCGAATAAGCACACCTCGACATGAATAAATCCCATCCGCTCCAAAGCATCAAACCCCCCAAAATCCCAAAAGAAAACCGACCAAAAACCCTAATCGACAGCAACCAAGGGCACCTAGACACACACATTCGCGATCTCACCACCGCATTTTCACCATACCCGAACCAAGAACGGCAGGAGCGCCTCAAAACCCCCCGAAAATCCAATCTTTCCTTTCAAAAAAACAATCCAAAAGGAAGCGAGCGAAATGCGCTACCTCAAAACGGAAGGCCAAACCAGCGGGTTTGATTTGATCTGGGATGCTTTGGGTCCAGCTTGAATGATGCTACTGCAGTGAAGGGCTCGAGAGGAAGAGGAACCGAGGAGGAGTCAGGAGCATTCGAAATAAAGCTCCTCCTCTCTCTCTGTCTCCTCTCTATCAGAGGAAGTTTTTTATGGTCTCTTGTGGTTTTCCTTCCCCATCTCCTCGGGGTTTGGAAAGGATTATTTCGATGTTACTGTTCATTCAGTGGGGGCCTGTCTGTTTGGTGCAGGTCATCAACGGTAAAAACGAATTACTGCTACTCCATTCTCTGTAGTTCGAATTCTTTAATGATGAGCAGTAGATGGACACTGATGCTTCCAACAGTGTAGAGTGACACTGAAGAACTTCATTTTCTTCCTTTTGGAAACTTCAGGTGTCCAAATGAATCTTTCTACAGTATATGAAGTGAAAAATTATGGTGAAAACTTGTCGGAGGAATCTTTTTGAACTTCTTGTAGTTTGTACTCATTGGCTTTGTTTGAGAGGCTTATCACAGCTGTGGATTCTTTCAGAATCTCTACCTTCAGAAACAATCCAAATTTCCACTTACGCCGTGTTCAGTTCCAAAATATTTCTTCAAACTTCCAACTTTTTCGTCACATCAAAACTTTCCTACACACATAAACTTCCAATTTTTCCGTCACATAGTTCCAATTTCAATCAAACTTTCAATTTTGACGTGAACTAAAGACAGCCTTACTATTAGATTTTGAGAAACCCTACTATTAGCTATGTTTAGTTCTCACTAAAATTGGAAGTTTGGTTGAAATTGGAACGATGTGATGGAAAAGTTAGAAGTTTGTGTGTGTAGGAAAGTTTTGATGTGATGAAAAAAATTGAAAGTTTGAAGAATTATTTTGGATCTAAACACGGCGTAGTACTCCAGTAGTATTTGCACTGTACTTGCCCAACCAAAGTTATCCAGATTCCAGAGCACCCCAAGCTGATGGCTTCATCAGAAATAAAGGAAACCTGAAAGTTCAGACTTGGATTTCTTTTTAATAATGAAACTGTAAAGTGGGAACAGCCTTTGTCATTTTCTGAAAAAGAAAAAACAACGAGCCAGCTTTAACAGAATGAACATTCAGGCCAAGGGAGAGAGGAAACAACAGAAAGAGACAAGACGAAATTTGAAATCTTCAGGTTCAAGGCTTCAGGCATGCTGGCTGGTCTACTAATCAATCAGCACCACGGGGGTAAAAAAAACAGATTAAGCTATTAACTACTTTCGAATTGTAGTTATTTTACCTTAGCCGTACACGTGAAAATGTGTTACTGGTCCAGTGGCATCTAGACTACCGTTGCAACTTGTTTGAATTTGCAACTTCATGCAAGTTTCTATATTAATTAAAGGACGCAACTAACTAGAACGGATCTAACTTTCTGTATTAACCTCCCTGTCATTTCTAACCCTACTAAATACTTCTCCCTTTTTTCACCACTGACTTTGAACAAAGCAGTAACAGTGATGAACTACATACGGTTCCTTGTATATTGTACGAACACAGGAGTAACATCAGGCACCAAGAAAAAGAACATGAATAGTAGGGTAATTGATTACAGTATAATTAAGTAGTTACACCCAACAGTATAATGAACATGAGCTACTACCCTCGTCCACAAATATAGTCGTCAAAAATATTATATTTGTAGACGAATGTAGTAAATTGCAATTGCTTCAGACATTGAAAAAAAGAGTGATCTGTATCATTTTCCTTCCCAAGAAAAACTGAGAAAATCACCACCAAATAGACAAGTTCAGAACTGCAAGATCAATACAAACTCCATCGAACGCATGATTAACAGAATGTCAGTCATCCAAATGGAAAAATAGCAGTCCAAATGCATCCTTGTCTGATTGCTCGCTTCCACAAGAACAATCACGTTTACAACAGGTAGAAGTTAATTTAGCAGTCAGTGTCAGATAGGGTCCCCGCCTTGTCCTTTGTTCAAATTAACGACAATAGGACGTGAAGATCACTACAAACGGCCAATCAATAACCTGTGCTGCCGATCCAAGAATTAGGGTAAATTTGATCTGTGACAGCTAAGTTTATGAAATTATCAAACTTTATGCAGTTAACTTGTAACTAGTGTCCCTGTTGATCCAAATAGAAAATATTTATCATATGTTACAACAAACAGGAGGCAGACAATGCCAAGAGTTGATACTGGATAGGATACATGGCCATGGCCTTACAGGTTTACATGAATTCCTACCTTTCTCCTACTTCGAACCAGAAGAAAACAGAACTGCGAGAATAGATAGCCCGCACATGTTGCAGCGCCAGTGTTCCATTAGTCCTGACGGCCTTCGCACCCCCCTCAATGCGGGTGCGAACAACAGTTACACCATGTCCTTGCTCCTTGAGTGATGAGAACGAATCATACTCAATCGCTGTGCTAATTATAGGGAAGGACAAATAATCCAGAGGATTTTGCTCGCACTGGAGCAAGCACTCCTCAATAGTTAATCTACCACTTCGATGAAGCAAACAACACCCAAGCTCTGCTCTAATAGTGAGATTTGCAATCTTGCAGGTGGAATGGAACTCCAACGCACTGCTCAGACAGGCAAGTGGAAGGTATTAAAATCATTGCCGCTTTGACGAAACATTAGAAAGAACAAAAAACCATTGCCACAGAAGAAAAATGCATACTTGTCAGAGCCACGCGAACATGTTAACACTGTGTCGTCAGGAAGCTCACCCCCGCCAATCTGACAGTAAGCAAATGACAAGCGTAAGCTCAAAGTTGCATCAACAACAAAAAAGAATTGCTGTGTAATGCAAGAAGCATTTCATCAGAATACCAGATCAAACTTTCACTCTTGAGATATAACAAACATGAATGGAAAAACTTACAATGCAGAGAGGCTTCTTTATTTGGATATTACGTGCAACATGTGTGCCACCAGCAGCAATTAGAATAGTATCCCCAGGCCTTTAAAACAACGCAAATAAAGGTCATCCATAAGACCATAACCCCCTCTATAACATAATGAACATTGAACAGTCAGATAGAACACGGACCTAGCTGCAGAAACAGCAGACTCAAGATTTGGATAGACTCCTGGCTCTATTGTATTTCTGATTGGCCTCTCAACACGCAACCACAGTCGAGGATGGCATGCAAGGAAGCGCCATCTGTGGCAAACGAGGGCGGTGTTATACCTATCTGCAGGTTCAAAAATGAAATGCTAAAAAAAGCTCATTTAAAGTACATAAACAGCGTCACATTATCAGGCAATAAATGGTAGCAGGGACAAAATCAAGCACGCCAACAGTGAGCTAAAGGTTTGATATACCTAGAAATAGGGACAAGATTGAACATCCAAACTTACCAGGTGGAGTGTTGCTAACTCTAGGGGTCTACCGATCCCACAGTGAAGGCAGATATACAACAAAATTATTTGTTTTCATATAAAACCTATTTCATCAATAGAGATGTAAATAGCAATATTTAGCATGAAATTTCGGTCGAATAAAGCTTCTAAAACTCAAAAGATGCACCTTGTAGCGACGTTCATGCAATTTATATGATTTGTTCACCCATTTTGGCAATTGTTGCTATTGTAGCGATGTTCACCAGTTCATGTGATTTGTTGTCTACTGGATGAGATGGCAATAACTCACATGAACATTTGCTCCAATAGCAGCAATGCCGAAATGGATCAACCATCAGTTTCTCACCCTAGAACCTAGAACAACACATCAGCTGGACCATTATGGTATTGCGGTTCCACGATCTCACTGTGTAAAGTTGTAAATCCAAGAGTAATCAAACCATGAATTCGCAATTGCGAGCACTTAAGCAAACCCTACGAATCATCCCCTGGAGAAGGTGCTTAGTGACATCTTCATCTATTAGACAAAATTAAATTTCACTACAATTACATAATAGACCCCATACTAGAACAATCCAGCAAAACTCCAATCGAGCTAAAGCCTAAAGCAGGTCTAAACCCCCAATTTTGGCCCGTTCCCATTTCCCCTCCGTCCCAAATCCTCGAACATTTTACATTCCCCAAAGCCTACGCCACCAACCGTTCGCAGCAATTTACCAATCGGCCTCAAATTCTCCCATAACAAGATTAGGGTAATCGTAAGACTACGAACGAATCGAACCTGGGATTGGGCTGAGGAAGCTGAAGATGTGCATGAGGCAGCCGTCGTCCAGGCTGTTGACCGGCGCCTCCCCCGACGGCCCCGCCGCCGACCGCTGCCGCTTCGGAGGCATCTCTCCGAATCCCTCTCCCCCCCAGTACGGCGTGCGGCGCCGGCGGCGAGCGGCGGCGCGGTGGCCTGCGGCGAGCGCGAGGTCGGCAACGGCAGCTGCACGCGCGGCACGGGGGATATCTCGCCGCCTCGACGGATCCACGATTTTTTCCGCCATCGCGGGCCCCACCTGTCAGATGGCGGTTGGTCGGGCCTGTCCACGTGGCTGCCTCCGCTGCGTCGGATGGGCTTGGACTAGAATTAAGCCAGGCCCATATTGGGCCATAAAAGTGGACGAATTACAGTCTTTAGGCCCAGTTAACTGTTTGGGTTTTTAATCCTTTTCTTTTTTTGGCTGATTAAAATGCAGATTTCACATAGATTTCTGTCGGTATATTTTTTAAATTGTTGAATTTTCTGCAAAAGTATTTTTTATAAAAAAATTTATTCGCACGTGTCAAACAAACGCATGTGAATGCACGGTGTTTTCGACTGAAAAACATACTTCTTCCGTTTCACAATGTAAGTCATTCTAGCATTTCTCACATTCATATTGATGTTAATGAATCTAGATGTAGATTCATTAATATCAATATAAATATGGAAAATGCTATAATGACTTACATTGTGAAACGGAGGGAGTATATAGTATACTTCGTACGATTGTGTGTGAGTGCGAAAAATGTGGTTACGGAAAGCTTTACTCCCCTTTTGTGTTGCTCCCCCACTTGCATTTGTTGTGATCCGATTATTTGTAATTAATCATGCTTGTGAGATGCTTGTGCAAAGTGCAAATACCATCTTTGCGGACTAATGTGATAATCAGCATATGTGCATTGGTGCGATTATTCTACTGCCCTTGCTTTACAAACTCGATACACGTACAGGTTGATTCTTTGCTATTGTCGCGAAGAATTAGAGTATGTTTTATATATAAAAGCTTTGCTAAAGCTTGGGACAAAACAATAGTAATGCAGATCACGAGTTCTTGAATGAAATTTTGTAGGAAAGCTTAATGCCTAAGGAAGTTAGCTGTGCAGCACATATATTCATCAGTGATTTGTCATTTGTGCAAAGTGCTGCAAATGTGCCCATAACTTTGCAAGTTTTTCTCCAGCTCTTTCGAAAAATCCCTGCTCTTTATAATTCCTAGTACTAGCTTGACTGTCCATTTGTCCGTGTAATCTCGTGTCGTGTGTTCGCCACCATTGCCACTCAGAGCGCAGAGAAGAGATCGATCGATCATGTCCATCAATGCCGTCCCGAGCCCCGTCCCGTCCGCCTCCGACGACGCCGAGAGCCTCAGGAAGGCGCTTCAAGGTGCGTGCTCTCACATCGCCATTCATCCATGGCAGCTGCGTTGCGTGTCGTCATCTAGAGTCAATGGTTTATAGCTATACAGCTGTTCGTGAACTTTGGTTGAAAATTAGAATTCAATAATTTTTATGATCTTATTATACCGTGGGAGTTTTTATTAGTTTTTGTGTGTTTTTTTGTTTATTCGTATGTGAGGTTTTTATTGAATTGATGTAATAATTGGCTGTGGATATTTGAGTAAAGGCCAGAACTATATTCCATTATATGAAAAAATCCATGGCAACTTCCTCTCTGGATTCTTCGACTCTTCGTGTTGTTCTTGCTGTTGTCGTACAGTGCGACATGGACGCATGGTGACGACGCGTGTTGCATCCGCAGGATGGAGAGCGGACAAGGGCGCCCTGACCCGGATCCTGTGCCGGCGAACGGCGGCGCAGCGGGCGGCGATACGCCGCGCCTACGCCTTCCTCTACCGGGAGCCCCTCCTCAACTGCTTCCGCTACAAGCTCTCCCGCCATTGCCTCCTCTCCCTCGATTTCTGGGTACTACTAAGCTTTGCCTGATCTTCCATAAACTTCTCTCTTCTGAATTCTCCAAATGCTGTATATATTTTTTTTTCTCAATCTTGAGATTTCTTGGTTCAGAAAGCCATGATCCTGTGGACGATGGACCCGGCAGAACGGGACGCGAACCTAGTGCACGAAGCACTGAAGAAGAAGCAGAGAGACGAGACCTACTACATGTCCGTGCTGATCGAGGTGTCGTGCGCTTGCACCCCGGATCACCTCGTCGCCGTCAGGCGCGCCTACCTCGCCCTCTTCGGCTGCTCCGTCGAGGAGGACGTCGCGGCGTCGCCGGCGATCCAAGAACCTCTGAAGAAGGCAAGCCAAGATCACACTGCAACTCACAATCTCATATCATGTTCAGATAAGTTCAGAGAATTCAGACAAGGAGACTTCTTTTTTTTTCCCTAATCGATCGTTGCTGGTGTGTTTCTGATCTGCAGATGCTGGTGAGGCTGGTGAGCTCGTACCGCTACGAGGGAGATGAGTGCGTCGTCGACATGGACGTGGTGAGGATGGAGGCGTCTCAGCTGGCAGAAGCCATCAAGAAGAAGAAGCAGCCGCGCGGGGAAGACGAGGTCGTTCGGATTGTGACCACTCGGAGCAAGTCCCAGCTCAGGGCAACGTTTCAGAGATACAGAGAGGATCATGGTTCAGACATAGCTGAGGTATATGATAACTTTGATAAGATTACCAAGCAAATCAACAGCATCATCATGCCAAACTTGATAAGATTACCAAGCAAATCAACAGCATCATCATGCCACAAGATAAGCAAAAAAAGATGAAGAAAACGTGTGATCTTCATTGCTGTCTTGTTCTTTCAGGATATTGACAGCCATTGCATCGGCCAGTTTGGCAGGATGCTGAAGACCGCCGTGTGGTGCTTAACATCACCTGAAAAACACTTTGCAGAGGTGAATTAACACCTAAAAACCCAACTCAGATTAGCATCGGGCCATCTTTGTAATCACAGTGATAATTAACCTGTTCTGTTCTTGCACATGCTGGTTCAGGTGATCAGGCACTCGATCTTGGGATTGGGGACGTACGAGGACATGCTCACCAGAGTAATCGTGTCGCGTGCTGAGATCGACATGAGACACATCAGGGAGGAGTACAAGGTCAGGTACAAGACCACCGTCACTCGCGACGTCGTCGGCGACACATCGTTCGGTTACAAGGGCTTCTTGCTGGCGTTGGTCGGGAGGGAGGACTGAAGAACAACGAAAGAAGTGTTCCAATGCATTGGTATATGGGAATGACATGTGGGGTCCAGACCCACATGTCAATGTGACATACGATGGTATTTCGACTTTGTGATTTTTGAGATGTACCAGGCAAATTGGGACAAATAAAGGTTGTGATTTAATAAGTTGTTGGTCACTGATTTGCAAAAAAGACAGAGAATGGATTTCACAAAAACCTTTTAAGACACTCAAAACGCAAAACCTAAAGTTTCAAAAAACCTCAGGGTTTGGGGGTGAAATGTTACAAGAAACCCAAATGTTTAAGCTTACAATGTCATTTTTGCTAGTATATTTATGCGTAATAATTAAAAAGAATATATGAGATATTCCTAGCCTCATTTTAACGAGCATTATTACGGTATTATGATTAATGTTTGTCCATATAAGTAACCGGTCAATATGTCATTATTAGTATGATTGTGTTGTATTTTTTTCAATCATATAATGCAAAAGTAAGAAAAAAAGACGAAGTAAATGTGATGGGTATGTATTTTGAGCCTACTAATGTAAACATATCCAAAAATATTATATTTAATAATGGAATTATGAGTACGTGACATAAACATGCGTTTCTTGAAACACTATGATACCTCAAAACCTGGGGTTCTTTGAATCAAATCATAATATGTGTTGTTTTGTGTTACATGTGCTTCAAACCCTGGGGTTTTCTGAAATTTAAGGATCAGTAAAATTTAGCTAGAAAGATTTTGCAAATAGTAACAAGGGATCCATTTGCAAAGAAAATATATGGGAGTAAAGTGGTACAGTGAAAATTCATGAGTTTTCGTTCTGTAAGCTCGTCTGGATGGGCCTATACATCAGTGGCCCGGCAATGAGGCCCATCCAATGCAGGCCCACCATCGAGTGTCAGGAGTCAGGACCGCTGCTGGGTCCCACATTAAACAAGCGGCTCCAAACTGGCATCTCCGCCATGAGTCCATGACACGTGGGCCCCACCCTTTACCGACAGAGAGCAGCAAAGCTCACGAAATTTTACGCCTCCCGCTCTCCGTTTCGAAACGCTCCCCATTCCCCCATCCTTCTCTCTCTCCACCTAAGGCTCGAATCGAAGCCGACCTCCTCCTCCGCTCGCCGCCGCCGCCGGCGTCGTCCGCGGCGAGATGGCGCCGCCCTTCGTCTTCCCCTCGACCCTCCGGGACCTGGAGCGGGACGGAGACGGCGGCGGCGACGACGAGCCGGCCCTCCGCCCGCAGAACCCCGTCGCCGTCGGCGCACTCCGCGCCGCCGACCTCGAGGAGTTCGTCAAAGGTATAAAACCCGCTCCCCACCACCTCCGCTTCCTCTCGAAATCACTCCATCGCTTGCCGTAAATCGATGGTTTGGTTGTGGCGTGCGGTGGAGCTGAGATTGTTTCTCCTGTATCGTTCGCTTCGTATTGGTGGTTGTAAAGTGTAAACCCTAGTTCCCGTTAATTTGGCCTCCCGCGCTCTACTCCTAGTTTGGTTCTTGCATGTATTTAAGACCCAATTAAAGTCAAATCCCTGTGATTCTGTGGAATAAGAGTTGTGGACTGTTGATAGACATTTTTGGCGCAAGATTTTGCTGCATTTAGCCTGTAGAGTCATTTCAAAGCTAACTATTGCAAGGCATATCCTTTTTAGAATTTTTTTTCATCTTGCTCCTTGGCCATTTTCATCGAAGTGGATTGTTTATTTGTTTTGCTTTTAGAATCTGCAGCTTTGGATATGACAGGGTTTAGCTAGCTCATGTGTAGTAATGGAACTAACAATTGAGTGTTCTTGCTTTTGACAAAAGGTTCGGCCTCTATTTGTGTCCCACAAAAAAAAGTTTTTTCTTCTACATGTTAAAATTCGTTAGACCAGGGAGCTTTGTGGCATGTAGGGAAATTAATGCACATGTTTGTAAGAAAAACATGCACATTCATCTGTGCATCTGTAAATATTTCAAACTGTGAAATGATACCATCCTTACCTAGCTCTGGGCTATGAATGCCTTTTGTAAGTTTCATCTCCATTCCTCTTCCTGGAAAAGTTTGTTTTTATTTTAGGCATTCACATCACCAAAACTGACGATTCATTCAAGGACATCAGACAAAAAGTTTTAGTCCCATTCATCTATTCATCCAAACTTACAAAGCTTTTACTGGGCTAAAATTTCTCAATGTGCATTTTGTCACAAACTAGTGCATATTAAGCTTAATGTAAGCTGCATGTGGTTTGTTCAGCAAAGTATTCAATTTATCTCACAATCAAAGTACTAACTCTTATTGAATCAATTTTGTAATATTCCACCCTGTTTGAATGAGCGTGCAGCTGTGCATTTTACATCGTGTATCTTTTGAACCAAAGGTTTTCTCTGAACGAGCTAATTCTTTCTTTCATTTTTTTTCTTAAATTATAGGCACATCGTTTGACCTGTCTGACAAGGAACTCTTCTGCATCGAGGAGCAGGACGTGTTTGACCGCGTCTATTCCCTCGTGCGTGACTTCACTTGCTTGCCCCCTGCCCTCAAGTTCAACCTTGTTGAGACCTTGCGCTCCAATCTTAGTGTTCTCCTCCCAAACATAGACTCCCTTTCACGAGCTTCCATGTCATCCCCTTCTGATGGGATCCCAGTAACTGATCGCATTGCTTCGCATCGGAATGCCCTTAAGATCTACTCCTTCTTCCTCCTCTCCATTGTTGTTGCTGAAGAATCGGGAGCTGATAGTTGCAATGGCCCTAAGGTAATACCTGTGCAAAAGTTACAATTTATTTGGACTCTTTGTACCCTTCTAATTTTAACTGAACTTATTATGCCATGTGGACTTAGGTGGCAGTACATGGTCGGAAGAAGAATGCTGTATATGCTTGGAATTGGGAAGCACAAAGAGGCCGCATCATGAATCTTATTGCTAATTCACTTGAAGTTGACCTATCACTATTGTTTGGTCCAGGCGGTGCTGATGAACAATATCTCTCTTTTGTTTCAAAGTAAATTCAAGAAACTAGCTGTGTTATGCTTTCTGTATTCATTCCTTATAGAGTTATAGTGATGTTGCTTTGGATGAATATGTGTAGGTGTACTTTTGTTCTCTGTGAGAACCAGAACGTGCTGAAAGATGAGGAAATAAGAAATGGCTTGTGCCGAATAATTGGTGCAATTGCTACGAAGCATCAAAGAGTATCTCAAACAAGTGCATCTGTCTTGCATTTGATTCATAAATTTGATTTCACTGTCGTGCTTCTAGCGGAATCAGTTGCTGCTGCAGAGAAAAGGTTTGGTGATGGAAGCCTTGCGATTTTGCTGATAAGGGAAATAGGTCGGACTGACCCAAAAGATTATGTAAGAGATAGTGCCGGTGCTGACAATGCCGGGAGATTCCTAGTAGAACTTGCAGATCGCTTGCCAAAGCTCATGTCAACCAATATTGGTGTTCTGATACCTCATTTTGGTGGGGAATCATACAAGATTAGAAATTCTCTTGTTGGGGTCTTGGGCAAGCTGGCTGCAAAGGCCTTCAAAGATGTTGAAGGCGATAGTGACGCCCATTCTTTAAGGCTCCGAAGTAAGCATGCTATGCTGGAAATTTTGCTTGAACGTTGTCGAGATGTGTCTGCATACACGAGGAGTCGTGTGCTTCAGGTATGGGCAGAGCTGTGTGAAGAAAATGCTATTTCAATTGGCCTGTGGAATGAAGTGGCATCAGTTGCTTCGGGCAGACTGGAGGACAAGAGTGCAATTGTGAGAAAATCAGCACTGCAATTACTCATCACAATGCTGCAGCACAATCCTTTTGGGCCTCAACTAAGGACTGCAACCTTTGAGGCAACTCTAGAAAGGTACAAGGAGAAATTGCAAGGAATGGAGCCTCCTTCTCCCGAGAAGGATGAGCTCTTGAATGATTCTTCACTGGGTGAAGTGATTGCAGGGCAGGATGAAAGTGTCAGTGATAGCTGTTTACCTTCTAGTCAAGACCCAAAGGATCAAGATCCCACAATTGTGGATATAACAAACTTGGAACAGATTAGAGCTTTAGTTGCATCACTTGAGGCTGGTCTGAGATTCTCGGCATGTATAACTTCATTAATGCCAACTCTTGTCCAGTTGTTGGCATCGTCTTCAGCCACTGATGTTGAGAACACAATTCTTCTATTAATGAGATGCAGACAATTTCAGATTGAAGGTTCGGAAGAAGCCCTCCGGAAAATGTTACCTCTGGTAATGCCTCCCTGGAAGTGTAGGTTGTTTGTGAATATGAGTTAGAATGTACACTTCGTCACTTCCTTATCTTCATAAATTTTGCAGGTATTTTCTCAGGATAAGTCAATATATGAAGCTGTGGAGAGTGCATTCATCACTATATACACAAAGAAAAGTCCCACGGAAACAGCCAAAAGTTTATTAAACCTTACCATTGAATGCAGCATTGGTGACCTTGCTGCCCTTGAAAGCTTAGTTAGTTCATTGGTATCAAAAGGAGAAATTTCATCCAACACGGTGCACTCTTGTTTCCCTTCAAAGTTTGCTCATAGCAACCTTTCAAATGCTATTTTTTACAGTTTAGTTACAGTAATGCTAAGTACTCCCCCCATTCCAAAATATAGGGCACAACGATTTTTTCCCCTAATGTTGCATAATACGAGGTTCGCATGCATGCGTGCATGCTATTGACTAGCACCTCCCCCTCCTCTAAGTTCTATTTTTAAAGCCTCTACCCTCAAGATCTCTGATCTCTAATCCCATTGGGTGCATGCATTTTATTTATTGGGATGATCCAAATTAGAAGGTGATAATAATTTTTTCTTGGTTTTTGCGTAAGAGATAGTTGCTCATTATATTTTGGAATGTAGGGGAGTACTCATTTATTCTAGCACACCAATCTCCTGTGCACCAAAAGTGATTCTGCACATAGATTGAGAATGCAAGGTAGTACTAACTTGCAATTAAGTGAGTGCATTAATTGCTGAATATGCATAAATTAAGAACTTAAGATGCATGCAAAGAATATTGCTCCCAGTTTCTCCACTTTCTGATGTGAACTTCCCTTATCTAGATCCTACAGTGGGAACTTTTTTCTGTTCATCTTGAAGTATCTTTTGTTAGCTGCTCATCAAAATAATTTATATTGCCTATAACATAACTTATACCATTTTGTCGAAT